TTGTAAAATTCTAAGACATTTCCAAGTTTCTTTTAATATTTTCATCTTAACTATTTTTGGGGAGGGTAATAAAAAGCTTGCATGTTTAGAAATTTTTTCAAAAAATAAATATGATTTGGAATCTGTACAAATTGAATTATATATAAAAAAAAAACCCATGATATATATTGAGAGGGTTTTGTTGGTATTACTTTAGAAAATTATATAGCTGGACAATTGTGTCTCAGAGTTTCCTTGAATGAAAATAAAAATTTATGAATGGTATTTTTAATTAACAGGGGAGTCAAGGTACTAAAATTTAAATGAATACACTCATTAAAATTACCATGTTCATGTTAATTCATCATATAAATGACATGAATTTTGGCTGCATTATAGAATGCAAACTTGTTTTTTTACTTAGTCTTTGGCAGGTTGAATTACAGTTGGTAATGCATAAAATGTTTTTTTCTGTTGTTTTAATTAAGACCCGCCAAGAATCAGAATTTCCAGCCTTAGTCAACAAAGGGGGCTGATACAAAGAGAATATAGAAATCAGTCATGCATGGCTGCTGAAGATTGCCTGTCCATTGGTGTACATAATGGTCACAGGTAAATGAATTGGTCATAATCAGAAGTAGAGAGGACATGTCAGTGTTTACTACAGATTTGTTTATGTGTTTACAGTGAGTGCAGGCCCAGGATTTTTATTCAGATTATAGGAAAGATTATTTTGGTGATTCTTATTTAATCAGGTATCATATACTGCATTTTAATTAAATTAAGATTTCTATTTTTGAGTTAGTTGATATGCATTATTTGAGATTATGTTGATGAACTGTTATAAGAAATATTGTCATTTGATTGTTAGTTGCATCGTGATTTAGTCATGAAGGTATAGAGAGATAGGGCTCAGTGTGTTCAGTTTTTGAGATCACAAAGTTGATCATGGTCAGTTTTGAGTAAGAATTAGAAGAATGCAATGATATCAGATGAGTGTGTTTAACTAGCTCTTTATTCAAACACAGTATTTTAAAATACAATGCAAATTTAAATTAAGTACCTATATTTTACCCTATTGTGTAACAGACTCAATTGAAATAATATATTGACCAATGCATGCATCCATGACTATAATTCAGTTTCAACTTGCCAATATAGATGAAGCAATAAATATTAATTAACATTGTTGTTCATATACTGCATGGTTATCTAATTATCAGAGAGGAAAACTGGAAGATATCGAATACCATTGATTGATTTTGTTTTGTCTCATTTCTTTTATTACTATAATTTTAAATATTAAGATTTAAGAATTTAAAACACCATTTGGTATCTATAAGAATAATCTACCGGTATTTGTTCTTACTGGAAATTCTTTTCCTTAAGATTGAAGTATATTTTAATTAAACCAGTTGTAAATATATCATTTGTTGTGTTGAGAAGTGTATGGTCTTGTAACAGGAAAGGCAGTCACAATTCGAACCCTGCAGGCCCTCTGAATCTCTAGTCAAGTACTCTACGAACTGAGTTATCTGGTCCCATCTGACTGCCATATTCCTCCCGCCTTAAAGGTTTTCAGCTCTCAAAGACACCAACCTTTTTATATAGGCTCTCCCCTGGCCAGTCTTTCACCCATCACCTGTCCAGAGCATGGCATGGCTCCACTGGGAGAGGAGGAAAATGTGACAGACCAAACTGGGATATAAAGCTTGGTCCCCTGAATCTCTGATCAGGTGCTCTTACCATCTGAGCTATCTGACCGCAACATTCATCCCTCCTTAAAAGTCTTGGACCCCTTGTCATAAGTGTTTAACCCCTCCCCCATTCCCCCTTTCCAACTTTCGAGTTGTGGTATGTAAATAACCTAGCTAAGAAACTTTGGGTGTCTGGATTACAGTGGGAAGTTTTAGGTGCTGTTGAAAGCTTTAGTTTGAGTTGATGCAGAAATAATGTTAGAGGTGGATGGGGAAAGGTGGAGGGGGGGGATTGAGGATAAGAATTTTATTTTTTACAGTGAGTGGGTGGTATGATTGATGATACTGTTTACCTGTAATGATGTGGTACTACCTTTTATTTCCACTTATCTGTTGACAGAAGACTTAATCTATGTTTAAATTAAGGTATTTGGTTTGTTTAACTATCATGTGTATAAAATATGATAATGTTTGATCAAAATGAGTATAGATATATATATAGATGGTAATTATGTTTCTTTAGAAAGATGATGAATTATAAGAATAAATTACCAATCATTTTTAAGTCACCTGAAACTTAGCATATTAGAGAAAACCAGGCAATACATTAATAGACGCAGTAGATGAAATAGTTTTTTCAAATGATTCACTGTACATGTTATGGTAATTTATCAATTTGATGTCATCATTTGATAAGGTTTGGACATTTGTACAGAAGTTTCACAAGTGGTGTTACACAACCAGTATAAAAGAAAGGATGTGTGATTATATTTTCTGATTTTCATCTGAGTTTGGCCTTAGGTCATAAATTGGATAGTGTTAATTTTTATCAAATTCCAGATCAGGTTTAAGAATACCTCTGTGATTCAAGCAGGATTTGTCATCAAGTATAGTAAGGATAAATTCTTCATAATTATTTGTCATATTGGATGTAAAACATTTCAAATATTATCTTATATTTGCATGCATGTATCAATTAAGTATGAAATTTTATAATTTTTAGCATTTTATGTTGGTAATTATTTGCCTTAAACCTTGAAATTGAAAGAATTTTCAATTCCCTTTTTTTCATGATAATAAGTACTGTAAAACTTGTTTAGTACGGACACGGATATTGCAATTCACAGATATAGCCAAGTTATCTTTGTTCATCAGCTATATAAATTTACCAAAGTCTTTAGGATCTAATGAATTACAGCAATAACGAAATAATTTCATAGGTCCCAGTTACTTCAAGTTATCCAAGTTTTAGTGTCATTTAAACATTTAATACATTTGTTGGGGTTATATAAGGTTTAAATTAAAAAAAGAAAAAGGGGGGGGTAAACAAGTTTGACCTACTGCATATGAACTCACTGATTTTCACAAGGATTAATTTTTGTTGTTTTATGATATCAAGAAAAATTTCTGCTTTGCTCATAATTGTAAAATTTCAAACAGTATCATGTTTCCGTTTGACCCACAAAATCAAATCTCCAGGATTTTGTTTTATCAAACACCAGATATGAGAACCTATGAAAATAAAAGATTTTACAGTATATGTCAAAACAATGCACTGTTTATAAGGTTATTTTCTACCTATTTTTTTCTCCCATTCAAACTATTCCAGCTTTTTTGTACAATTTAAAATTTGATTAGATATATCAGATACGTTTCTGTTTTAGAAATTATGTTCTTTTTGAATCTGCCCACTTGCTCTGAAGGTACAAGGGGCAAAAATAAGATGGGAAAGGGGGGGGGGGGCAAAAATTCCCCTGTATACAATAGAACCTTGACCTTCAGTTGGTCTTGATCTTGTTTTCTCTATTTGATATATGACAGTCTTCTCAATATAAACCTCATATGATTTTTTTTATCTTTAGCTACTGATCTCCCATTTCAATTCATGTACCCATATTGCATTTAATCCATTTTTTTCACCAGGACAAATATTATAAGCTAAAAAGATGAATACTCCATCAATGGATTTGATGATTTCATTGCCTCAGACCACAACATATCACATCATATTTATAAAGCCTTGGTGGTAGACATTTAGTGCTGCATTCCCCTGATCATAACCCAGCCTATGTCATAATATTATGACATTGTCATTACTGATGTACTCTTTTTCTCTCCTTGACCTCACTAATTTACAACTTTGAGTTCTGGTATACAAATGATTCCTTTCATATTTTTATATACATGCACATATATTAATTGATTTCCAAACTAAATAACTTGATTGTCAAAAATTGATACAATTGTCTTATTACTTACATACTACATTGCTGTACTGTTTTTTTTCCTTGACAAATTGTATGGTGTGTTGTGGAATGAAGTCTTTCATCAATTCTTTTTAAGGCAAGTTCTGGAAAATTGCCTTTAGTTAGTGATGTGAGTGTATTTTTGTTTAGAACTGCAGCACTTTTTCTCCAGGTGACTTGATTTCCATGAATTATTATGATGTGTTTTCCCTTCAGTGACAGGTTCAGGTTCAATAGATCCTGGGCCATTTCCCTGAACTCTCTATAGTTTTAACTTTACATAGTGTTCTAATTATTAGAAAGTCATTAAGTGGTATTTCTGAGAATTTGACATTTGCATGTATCAACATGTTACCATTCTCAACCATAATTAAGCAGTGAATGTCAGATATGAAAGATAATTTTAAATAACTTAATTGAAAAAAAATATTAAAGATTGATATTATATTACACAATATTTTAAAGATAAGTAAAAATTGCCTGTAACCAACCATCTTAAAAGTTAAAATGCACTGAAAGAAAGCTATTAGTTTTCATGATGCAGGAAAGTAAATAGCGTCAAGATGCAAAATTTGGAATTTTTTGAAGATTTATTTTTTCTTCAAGAACTACTTTTCATGAATGCTTGGAGATAATAACATGAATTTCTCCCTGTAAATATGCAAGTTTTCAGCCCCTGATTGGTGGTGGATTTAGAAGGGAACCATGTTGGACTCCATGCAGTCCCCTCCCCCCCATTTGAGACAAAAACTTAAACAACTTATTTTTTTTTTTTAGATATTGCTTTAATTATGCGTAACTTGCAAAAGACAGTGATCTTTAAAAAAAAAGCCTATAACCTGGGAGTTCTTAATGACCTTGACCTTTGAAAACTCCCATTCCTCTAGGGGCTGTTTGTCCCCCTTTTAAGAAATCCTGGATCCACCACTACTAATGTTCTAGTAACAAAGAATTGTAAAGTCATGAACTATAGGTCAGACTGGATCTCGTAATAACCAGAGATTAATTGTGTAATATGTGGTTGACTTTGCTTGTGAGATTATTGGTAACTTGAGATAATCTTCTTTTATTGACAGGTAAAAAGAAAAGATCAAGTGATCTTCTCAGATCATGATGTGGGGAGGAACGGTGTGGAGATGTTTTTTCATCGGCCTCATTTCTGTTGTTTATGGTAAGTTATATGGCAAAATATTAATATATTTAATTAAAATGAAATTGAACAAGTGCAGCATTGTTAAGGCAAATTAACATATAAGGACTGCTCAACTCAGGGAAAATGGAACAGTCCCCAAGACTATATACCGGTACTATATATGATATCTGCATGATATAACGTTTTCAGAGAACTGCAGTTTCCTTGCTTCTTTTGAAAAAGCCCACCATTTTGTAAAGGATTGCATATTTGTATATGGTGTTTGATATAAAACTATTTCAATGATCAGATAAGTTACATTAAAGTTACATTAAAATTCAATCTTACAATTCTCCCCTGTCTCAGAATCAGAGCTTTATTTTCAAGCAACTTGGACCCTGTTTTGCATAAGCTTGGGGATTTCAGGGATTCAAAATTAATTTGAATATATCAGAAAGAGGCAGGAGACTGAATTAGCCGTGTGATCCATAAATGTATAGTTTTTTTAATTTTATTTTTTCCCTTGATACCTTTGGTAGCTTTCAATGGTTTTCGTGCAGGCGTAATAGATACACATGACAATTAAGTGAAAGGATGAGTGAATTTTTTTATTTTTAATATAAGAGTGTTTCTTGCGCTGACAAGCATAGAAATCCTCCATCTTCATCAATCATGACACATTGGAAATGTAACTCGCACAAAAAAACACCTCTTGATCAAAGCAGAAGTCACCTTAATTTATACATTTAGGTAGAATCCAGAGAAACACCTACATATGGATATATTATGTGTCAGAAATTTAGGTAAATATCACATTTTAAAAAAAAAAAAGAGGTTATGCAATTAAGAAAAAGGGGGTCATATTAATTACATATGATGTGAGGGATATTTATAATTTGGTGTAGGAGCCAAATTCATGCAAGGATATTTAAGAAATTTCAGAGTTTGTTGTGAAACCTCTTGAGTTAAAAATATATTACAGTAGTCAAACCTCAATGCACCTCATTATCAAGTAAAAATAAGCATATTATATCATGATACTAGTATACATCATTTAAATTATCATGTATTTTTAAAACAATATCATTAAATTATTTTTTTAAAAAATGAGAAAAATTACAATTCCATTAGATGGACACAAGCACAGTGAAAAGCTATTTACAAGAGATTAACCCTTGACAGCTATTATAATTATATGTGTAGCTGATTTCAAGTGGAGTCCAATATCACTTAAGGACCAAAAAAAAATCTGTTACAATTACAAATAAAATGCACTGTGAAAGAATATACAGACCGTTCTTTGGACAATTCTGCTCCCCTAAACATTACTAATACAATGTACCATTTTCCCTTTCGGGCTTTTGGTCCATTTCAAACTCTAAACTCATAGCTGAGCATGAACCTCTTGAATATCATGTTTGGATTTGAAGTGATGCAAGTGATACATTCTTCAAAGATTTGGTGTGCTTTCATGCAGTCACAAGTGTTCAATCTCGGGTGGCACAATCTGTGAGAATCATTTTACCATTCAGATACTATCACATATTGATCCAAAAGGTTGGATCTTGATTTGAATTTGTCATCACAAACTGGTTACCCGGTACCTAATTTGGAATGGTGAGGTGCATCTATACAAGGGTTGTCTGTAAAGTTCGTGGACAAGCTAAAAACAAAAATGGTGTCATTGATATTTATTATTAGCATATTTATAATCATTTACTTAATGTGAATAAAAAAATATTCAATTTTAAATGTATATTTACAATTATGGCTTAATTATGACACTTGGGATGGTGACCTGGAGCACCGCAAAATTTTTATTTAAAAGTTATTTATCACGTTATAAATTTCATTTGTATTTTGTAAAATTCAGTGGAAACTCAGATTGCTTTTACATAATGAGGTTGACAAAAGTTAAAACATCAAATCTGCAAAATTTGAACGTTCAGAGTTTAGAAATGGCTGAGAAATCGAGGTTAGAGTCTATTGAGAGGGGATCTGCATTTTTCGAAAAAGGGACATTTTCGGAAAAGGTGGAGCAGAGAGCAGCGATAAAATTCTGCACAAAACATCGGAAAACACCAATAGAGACACATGAATGCTGTAAATAGTCGGGAAAATATAGTAAATGAAGCCGTTCTGTAGTACATATTGTACATGTATTTAATTGAGAAAACTTGGGGGTAATTGGTTAAAAAATGGAAAATTTTGAAAGAATATGTCCAAGATATATTTCATTCATCACACTGTGTTAATACAATGAGATGCATTATGTTGCACTTTTTACAATGCAATGCAGTCTTTTAAGAGGCTTTGATTAAATATTAATGTGTTAACCATGCAAAGAACAATTTTAATGCGTCAAAAACTTCTTCAAGATCAACAAGATGCCATTACTGGCCTACAGATTTGATGAGATTTCAAAGGATTTATTGAGATAAGTGCATGATTAAGACCCTGATTTCAAATGTGTTGGGATTCATGTTCACATAGTCTAAGAGTAACCTGTTGAACAAAATTTTGCACACTATGTGCTTCTCACCTGCATAGCTGTGACAGTAATCAGCTGAACTCAGCATGGGAAGGTCAGGCTTGACACAAAGATTGTTTATGATCTGTGGGTGTGTCCTGACCCTGATCTAAGGTCTTCTGGACAAGTTTCGTTTTTCTTTTTATGCCCCGCCATGAATATGGCCGGGGCATATAGTGTTTGTCATGTCCGTCTTTCGTCCTTCCGTCACACTTTGAGTTTAGCTCTCTTCAAAGCTAATTTTCAAAGAAACTATCCAAGATATTTTCATCAAACTTCATATGGTGATAGATATTGATGAGAGCTATGCAACTGCATCAACATTTTTTGACCTTGACCTTTCCTTTGACCTTGACCTCACTTTTCTTAAATTAGTGTTTAGCTCAGTTTTAAACATACCATTCAAGATGGTGTTATCAAACTTCACATGTGGATACAAACTTGCATGGATGATGCATCTAGGGATGAACACTACCAGACTTGCTGAGGATGCTGGATCTGACCTACATTTTCCAGATGAGTGACCAGATTAAAGTTTTTGGAGCAGGTCCATTCCTAAGGAACTGTAAGCCCAACTTGGACCAAACTTGCATGGATGATGCATCTAAGGATGGACACTACCAGACTTGCTTCGGATGCTGGATCTGACCTACATTTTCATTCCCAAGTAACTATAAGCCCTACCTGAACCAAACTTGCATGGATGATGCATCTAGGGATGGACACTACCAGACTTTCTTTGGATGCTGGATCTGACCTATATTTTCATTCCCAAGTAACTATAAGCCCTACCTGAACCAAACTTGCATGGATGATGCATCTAGGAATGGACACTACCAGACTTGCTTCGGATGCTGGATCTGACCTATATTTTTATTCCCTAGTATAAACTATTAGCCCTACCTGAACCAAACTGATCAAATTTTATACACATACAAATTTTCATGTTGCTTTACTAATAGGGATGGGTATCGCCAAAAATTTCGTATCGCGATATATCATGATTTTTTCCCCACAATATCACAATAATATCATGATATTTTTAAAAGCAGTTTTTACAATGATTTTATATGAAAAGTCATTATTTTTCTTAAAAATATGCTAGAAAAACAAGATTTTACTTTCTTGAAATTTTTATGTATATAAAATCAATTATGTTTGGACGGTAAGATGCCATTCTTTTCACTTTTTACAACATTATTTATACTTTCTGTAATTGTAATTTGAAAGATTGAACAAATAAATGTATAATTTCTGGACTTAAAGTTTATAATATTTACCTAAAGACCGGTATTTAGGTCTCCGTATCACGGTACGTATCACGCAACAAAAAATCGCGATATACTGGTATACCGATAAAATCGCACATCCCTATTTACTAATATATCCTTGGCGGGGCATTCATGTCATATGGACATGAATCTAGTTTTATTATGAGCTTTTTATAACCCCCGCAAACGAAGTTTGGGGGGGGTATATAGAAATCACCTTGTCCGTCTGTCTGTCTGTCCGTCTGTCTGTGCAAACGTGTCCGGTCCATATCTTTCTTACGGAGGAACATTAGAATCTACTACTCCACACAAAGATTGCCCATGACCTAAGGGTGTGTCATGACCTTGACCCAAGGTCATTTGGGAAAGTTCAAGGTCACTGGAAGAAAAAGTTCATAATTCGTGTCCGGTCCATATCTTTCTTATGGATAAACTTGGTAGGTTCTCATTTCACGCAAAGATTGTCCATGACCTAAGGGTGTGTCCTGACCATGACCCAAGGTCATTTGGGGAAGTTCAAGGTCACTGGAAGAAAAATTTCATAATTTGTATCCAGTCCATATCTTTCTTATAGATAAATTTGGTAGGTTCTCAATTCACACAAAGATTGACCTTGACCCAAGGGTGTGTCAAGACCTTGACCCAAGTTCATTTGGGGAAGTTCAAGGTCACTGGAAGAAAAAGTTCATAATTCGTGTCCGGTCTACATCTCTTTTATGGATACACTTGGTAGGTTCTCATTCTGCACAAGGATTTCCCATGACCCAAGGGTTGGTCAAGGTCATTTAGGGAAGTTCAAGGTCACTGGAAGAAAAAGTTCATAATTCATGTCCGGTTCATATCTTTCTTATTGATAAACTTGGTAGGTTCTCATTTCACACAAAGATTGCCCATGACCCAAGGGTATGTCATGACCTTGACCCAAGGTCATTTGGGGAATTTCAAGGTCACTGGAAGAAAAATTTCATAATTCATGTGTGATGCATATCTTTATTATGGAAAAACTTACTTCTGAAAAAACCCAGCGTGGGGTATTTTGTCCCGTTTGGACAGTTCTAGTTTAATACGGTAAAAAGATAAAAACAACTATTAAAATAAATTAATTTTATAATTTCTTAGAATAATGCATATATTTTTTTGTGTAAAATTTAATACATTACAGTTAAAATTAAGGCATAACACATTAATTTTTAGCTCACCTCAACGAAGTCGAGATTAGCTTATGCTATATCATCGGTGTCAGCGTTAGCATTGGCATCCCGGTTAAAGTTTTAGGAGCAGGTCCATTCCCAAGTAACTATAAGCCCTACTTAGACCAAACTTGCATGGATGATGCATCTAGGGATGCACACCACCAGACTTGCTTCAGATGCTAGATCTGACCTACATTTTCCAGATGAGTGACCAGGTTAAAAGTTTTTGGAGCAGGTCCATTCTCAAGTAACTATAAGACCTATCTGGACCAAACTTGCATGGATGATGCATCTAGGGATGGACACTACCAGACTTGCTTCGGATGCTGGATCTGACCTACATTTTCCAGATTAGTGACAAGGTTATTCGTAGATGTAAATCCTACCGGGGCCAAACTTGCATGGAGCATGGATGATGCATCTAAGGATGAACAATTGAAACTTGCTTCAGATGCTGGATCTGACTTATATATTCCAAACGAATAACCAGGTTAAAATTTTTGTAACAGATCAATCCCAATGAACTTTAAGACCTATTTAAACAGAACTTGCTTGAATATTGTTGTCAGAGTAAATACTAACTTTTAAGAAAATATGATGTGAGATTTGCATTACTTAAACTTATAACATTCGTTGAGGTGAGCTTTGTAATCTTTGATTACCTATGTTTTTTTTCTCTGAAATTCAATATGTCACCGTTAAAATGTGGACCAAAGCTGGTAAGCAAACTCATGTAAAAAATTGATAATACATTGTAGTATGGAATATTAAAAATTATCAGACAGTAGGACTTATTTGATCATAACTTTGTGATTTTGATGAAAAATGTAAGGTTAAACCTTGCCTATAGGCAGGTAATGTCATAAAACGCTGTGGTTAAATTCAGATAACAATTGATATGAACTACATTAATTTCCTACCCTAGAGGAACTCCCAAATGGCTGCTGTCTCTATTGCCTTATACACTGTACTTTTACTTACACATATAATTTTTATAGCCAATATTCTATATTCTTTTTTATGTAAATTTTAATATTTTTGATTTTACATTTAAATTATACAGGTCTGTATTTCATTAAGTAAATGATGTCATTTCTTGTCAGAAATTGCATACTGTGGATCTGGCTCTTTGTCTGCCAATCTGTCTGAATGTTTCTTTGTCTGCCTTGCTGTCTCTCTGTCTGTCAGCTTCATATTGTGTCTATCCTTCAGTCTAGCTCTTTCTGTGTCTTTATGTTTTCCTGCTTATTTGTCTGTCAGTCCCTCTGTCTTTCTGTCTGTTTCTTTGTCTGCCAGTCCTTCTGTCTAGCCATTCCTTTGTCTACATGTCTATCATTCTGTCTAGCTGTTTCTTTGTCTGTCTGTCTGGCCATTTCCTTGACAGTTTTTCTGTCTAGCCATTTCTTTGTCTTTCTATCTTTTTGTCTGACCATTGTTTGTTTATCCTTATGTCTAGCCATACCTTTGTCTGTCTATCGTCCTGTCTAGCTGTTTCTATGCCTGCCTTCTTTTTGTCTGCCTGCTTATTTGTCTATCAGAGATTGTTTATCAGTACCTCTGTCTTCCTGCCTGTTTTGTTGTCTGTCTGTCTTTCTGTCAAGCCTTTCCTATGTCAGTCTATCCTTATGTCTACCTGTTTCTTAGTCTATTTGTCTTTTTTCTGTCTGCCTATTTCAGTATTTGTCGGTCTGTCACTCTATTTGTTTTGATGATAAGATAAAACCGCTATTTTTCAAAATGGGTGGATATAAATTTTATGAAAATATTTACCAAAACTTTATCAAACTGTACAGTTCCTGCCATTGTAGATGGCGCATGTTAAAAAATCATTAGTGTTTTTTGCCATTGAAGCTAAGTCTCACCTTTGCAAATATTAATTTTGTTATAATTAGACTAAGTAGGGCTAAACATCACGATACTGGTGTTCTATCATAAATGTGTCCGAAAACATTTTAATGTGACCCAATAAATTTAAAAGTACTTTGTTTTAATCTATAGATATCATATTCATGAGATAAACATACAATGGTTAGAGGGGAAACTTGATAGTTTTTGAGGTTATTTAGGCAAGTTCACATATTACCATCATCTTCATGATCATTACATGATATAATGACTAAGGTATTTCTAAGCCCACATAAATTATGTATGCTAGGTTGAGGATAGAAAATCCTATACACCTTTTAGGTACTGTAAGTAATAATATAGTACAGAAGATATCAATTGAAAATCAATTTTCTATTACATGAGAGAAGGGCAGATATTTTTAAAACCTCTGTTCAAAATCACTTCAATATGGTACATGTAATTTATAATAGTTTGGGTTTTTTTTTTTTAATTGACTTACCTTATTCAATATTTACATGTATTTTATTTCAGGCAACAGTCTGTGTCCCAATGGAGACCCCTTTATCATCAAGAAGTGTTCAGAAGACAGTGCTTGTTCACCAGTGTCAGAGCAATGTTATCAAGGAACCTGCTGTCCTAAAGCTTTCAACAGTGGTTAGTACCTACTGAAAAAAAATAAAATAATAAATAGAAATAAAAATAATGTGAGGCATTTTATGTTCAGTAATAATTAAAATGTAGGAGGTGTATTTGATAAATATAATATGCGTGTTATGTTAATGTGGCCAAATTTTTTTAATGTCTGAAATTGAGATATGAGCATTCATGCAGTTTGTATAAACATAAATGAGTGATATGTGCTGATATTTGTTAGACAATTGTTTTTCTCATTAAAGTTTCACATATATACATCTGTAGGTCCCAAATGTTCAGTTTTATGAAATTATACATACATTTGTTTTAAGGTAGGATTCTTCTCTGGTTTCTGACAAGATGAAACATTCAACGCATATTTGCTTATATGTCTTACATATTGAGGTGTAAGGAATTTAAAAGACCATATTTTTCTTTCCTCATCACAATTGTACAACTTTAAATAGAAATGGTAAACTGTGTTTGAAAACTAGCAGGGACTATATTTTTGGCGGAATGGTGGCATATGAAAATATCTTCTTTTTTGCCTCTCAAAATTATAATAGAACAATGAATTTTAAGTTATAATTTTTACACAATCGAAGACTTGGAGAAATTTTCAAATGTAAGTTAGATTAGTAATGAGGGACTAAACTTTCAAAATATATCAAATAAATATGATTTTTCAAATAAACAAGAACTTTATTAGCTTTTAAACGCTTCCTATCGAAGTGCAGATTTGAGCCAAAAATCCATAAAAAGTATTTTTTCTCTCTTAGTAAACGATCAAAACTTTTTGTTTTTGTGTCATTTTGTACATTTATAATACTACTTTATTATATGTGAAAATAAGAAAAAGTTAAATATAGGAAGCATATGAAAATAACTTATATATCCTAAAAAATTAAGAAAAACAGAGAAAATTTTAACCTAATAGTTAAGTTACATTTAGATTATATATGTTTTTATGAAAAAGAACAATCATTAAACTTTTGAAATAAAAGTTATCACATATTGGCAACAGTTATTTTTAGCTCAAGCATATGAAAATAAACTTATATATCCTAAAAAATTTGTTCAAATGAAGAAAAACATTTTAAAAAAATCTTCTTCTCAAGAGAAAATTCATATGAAATCATCCTCAGGTTGTGTAGATTCAAATTTGTTCAAATCATGACCCCCGGGGCTAAGGGTGGGGCCAAAATGGCCGACCCAAAGTTTTACATAGGAATATATAGGAAAAAATCTTTAAAAATGTGGGCCAAATTTGTGGAATCATTCTCAGATAGTGTAGATTCATCATACTATAGACTTTAAAAATCCTATATAGTAATATGTTTTTATGCAAAAAGAACAATCATTAAACTTTTGAAATAGAAGTAGGTATCACATGATTGGCAACAGTTATTTTTTTATTCTTAATGTCAAGGAAAAAGATAATGACCTTGACCTGACCTTGCCTCTAATATAAAACGGTCAAATTTAATTTCACTGATACTATCACTTACTGATATTGTCTTCTTGATCCTGTGAAACTTTCATTAATTTTTAAATATTAGAAATATGAGAAGAATCCTACCTTAATTCTGTTCTTTTTGTATGACAAAGAGATGTGAATTCGTATCCTCCACAAAAAGAAAAATTGCATAAATCACTTTTTCCATCATGAAATCAATACCCTATGAACCAATATATTTTCTCTTCCTCATTTCCCAACAATTTTTCTTTTTACTTGTAAGCAAACCTTAACTCATTCTTTGTTTTACAATGAAATATCTCACAATTGAAGTCAATTATATATTTTCTTTTTAAAAGTCTAATTATTTTCTTTTAACTTAAGGTCCAAAATGTCCAGGAGGAAACCCTGTTGAGATAAAGAGCTGTGCTTCAGATGAGTTCTGCTCTGTGACAGAATTCTGTAACCAAGGAACATGTTGTCCTAAATCAGTCAACCAAGGTGATATTTCTTTGAGATTGTTTTTAAATGTTATAAATATGTAAAATAAAAAAAAAATAAGTTAATTGTAGTTGTTTCTAATTTTTCAAGTCTTTCAAGTTTATTTAACAACCTTCTGATATGTATACACAAGTTAAGAACACTTAACAATCTACTTGTAATATCACTATCTTCTATATGTACCTTTTGTAATAATTTTAGATTCCAAATGTCCCGGAGGAAACCCTGCTGAGATAAAGAGCTGTGCTTCAGATGAGTCCTGCTCTGTGACAGAATTCTGTAACAAAGGAACATGTTGTCCTAAAGCAATTAATCAAGGTGATACTGCTTTGAAATTTCTTATAGGGTTGGTTTTATGGCATAAATTATAAGATTCAAAACACTCTAGTCAGTGCTGATTTTTAGCTCAACTCGACGAAGTCGAGATGAGCTTATGTTATACCCCCGGCGTTGGCGTCGGCGTCAGCATCCCAGGTTAAAGTTTTAGGAGCAAGTCCATTCCCAAATAACTATAAGCCCTACCTGAACTAAACTTGCATGGATGATGCATCTAGGGATGGACACTACCAGACTTGCTTCGGATGCTGGATCTGACCTACATTTTCCAGATGAGTGACCAGGTTAAAGTTTTTGGAGCAGGTCCATTCCAAAGGAACTATAAGCCTTACCCGGACCAAACTTGCAAGGATAATGCATCTAGGGATGGACACTACCAGACTTGCTTCGGATGCTGGATCTGACCTAGATTTTCCAGATGAGTGACCAGGTTTAAGTTTTTTGAGCAGGTCCATTCCCAAGGAACTATAAGCCCTACCCAGACCAAACTTGCACGGATGATGCATCTAGGGGTGGACACTACCAGACTTGCTTCGGATGCTGGATCTGTCCTAGATTTTCCAGATGAGTGAACAGGTTAAAGTTTTTGGAGCAGGTCCATTCCCAAGGAACTATAAGCCCTACTCGGACCAAACTTGCATGGATGATGCATCTAGGGATGGACACTACCAGATTTGCTTCAGATGCTGGATCTGACCTACATATTCATTCCCAAGGAACTATAAGACCTACCCGAACCAAACTTGCATGGATGATGCATCTAGGGATGGACACTACCAGACTTGCTTCGGATGCTGGATCTGACCTACGTTTTCATTCCCAAGGAACTATAAGACCTACCTGAACCAAACTTGCACGGATGATGCATCTAGGGATGGACACTACCAGACTTGCTTCAGATGCTGGATCTGACCTACATTTTCATTCCCAAGGAACTATAAGACCTACCTGAACCAAACTTGCATGGATGATGCATCTAGGGATAGACATTACCAGTCTTGCTTCAGATGCATCTAGGGATGGACACTACCAGACTTGCTTCGGATGCTGGATCTGACCTATATTTTCATTCCCAAGTACAGTAAAACACGTTTAGTACGAACACGGATATAGCGAATTAACGGATATAGCGAAGTTTTTCTTGGTCCCCGGCAAAATTATTAACAAATCTTTGTAAAATTTTACGGTTATAATGAACTCGGATATAACGAATTTACGGATATAGCGAACTGATTTTGATTCCCGTTGAGGTTAAATATAATGAATTTTACATCTTTTATAACGAACTTTCAAAGATTTCAAAATTTGAATAATTGAACTGACTTTATTTTCTCTCAGCATTTGTATATAAAATTCAGTTCATAATAAAACCTTAGTAATCGAAGGTATGTTTTGTAATATTTGTTTCCCTAACATATTTGATAGTAACACTTGAAGGAAAACATGCATATTGCGAATTCGCTATACATGGTTATACGAATTCGTTATACGGATATAACGAATTACGGACATAGCGAATTAAATTCACAGGTCCCAAGGACTTCGCTATAACCGTGTTTTACTGTAACTATAAACCCTACCTGAACCAAACTTGCATGGATGATGTATCTAGTGATGGACACTACCAGACTTGCTTCAGATGCATCTAGGGATGGACACTACCAGACTTGCTTCAGATGCATCTAGGGATGGACACTACCAGACTTGCTTCGGATGCTGGATCTGACCTATATTTTCATTCCCAAGTAACTATAAACCCTACCTGAACCAAACTTGCATGGATGATGTATCTAGTGATGGACACTACCAGACTTGCTCCAGTTGCTGGATCTGACCCATATTTTTATTCCCAAGTAACTATAAGCCCTACCTGAACCAAACTTGCATCTAGGGATGGACACTACAAGACTTGCTTCGGATACTGAATGTGACCTATATTTTCCAAACAAGAGACCAGGTTATAGTTTTGGGAACAGATTAATCCCAATGAACTTGAAGTCCTTGATATCTGCAGTATTAAACAAAGTTGTGAATATTTGTTTACACTATACATGATTTTCACGCTACATGCGTAGAAATGTGTATATGCCTTGTAAGGGGTTAAACACAACTTGCAAGAATATTGTTGTTGGGATAAATACTAGATATTAAGAAAATATGATATGAGATTTGCATTACTTACACTGATAACATTCGTCAAGGTGAGCTTCGTAATCTTTGATTACCTATGTTTTCAGTTATTTCATTTACATTACATTTTTAATTCACTCAAGACTTCAATATCTAATCATATTTAAGGTCAGCAATAGATAGTTTTCAGTAGACCCAAATTAACAAGAGTTATTTCCCGTTGGCTGCCATATTGGGGGTCAACATGCTCATATTCCTTCATTATTCAACCAATTGCAACTTTAACTCTTTATACTGGCAATTGTTGGGTGGTAAGCATTGTTTTTCTTAAAAATATATATTTGTTAGAGCCTCCTTTATTTCATAATTTTTATTCCAAAAAGATTTCCCCTAAAATATTTCTGTTAAAACACCCTCTTATATTTGGTAGGACAAAGAGGGAAAATTACAAGGTTGACCACCAAGATGGCGGCCAACGGGAAATAACTCTTGTTAATTTGGGTCTACTGAAAACTCTCTATAAGATCAGTTTGAATTTTTGAATAGTATTTCATCATTGGAATTCATGTATCATTTGTAATAATTTTAGATTCCAAATGTCCTGGTGGAAACCCTGTTGAGATAAAGAGCTGTGCTTCAGATGAGTCCTGCTCTGTGACAGAATTCTGTAATAAAGGAATATGTTGTCCTAAAGCAATTAATAAAGGTGATATTCTTGGTTTGTTTGGATTTTTTTTTGATTCAGACATATTGGAAATTTAAAACATTGTAATAAATTGTACTGGTAATATGTAATTTTTCAAGTGTTTAAGGTTTGTTTAACAACCTTCTAATATGTATGCATGAGTTAAGCACACTTCACAATAATCTATATGATATTGATTTTAGATTCCAAATGTCCTGGTGGAAACCCTTCTGAGATAAAAAGCTGTGCTTCAGATGAATCCTGCTCTGTGGCAGAATTCTGTAACAAGGGAACATGTTGTCCTAAAGCATTTAACAAGCCAGGTATGACCAAAACCAATAAAGAAGGAAAAAGTAAAGTGATGGGATTGAAAGGAAAATTTTGTGAAATAAATTGTCACTTTCAAGTTGAAAGAATTTCTTTGTTTCTTAGTACATGTATATATTCTTAAATAATTCAGAAATTAAGGTAATGAACCAAAATGCTATCCTTTGGGAAAGGAGGTTTGTTATTAATCCATTATAAAACTTTGAAGAAAAGTGGCTTTCTCAATAACTGTATATTTTCCAATTATTTACAACTCTTATATAAAATGTTGCTTGAAATCTAGGCAAATATTCTTTGTTAATGCATGTATGTTGCAAGATTTAGTTCACTAGCTTAATATAAATTGATTTTCCCTATACTATTATTGAAAATTGGCAATTTCTTATAATCCTTTGGTATTTTCCTATTATTAATGAAAAGTTCAGGAAATGTCAGTAGATAATACTAGAATGGCCTTGTACACTTTACAGGACACTATAGATAGAATATCTTGTACACTTTACAGGACATTGATAAAATATATATTGTAACTTTTACAGGACACTATAGATAGAATATCTTGTACACTTTTACAGGACACTATAGATAGAATATCTTGTACACTTTACAGGACACTATAGATAGAATATCTAGTACACTTTAACAAGACACTATTGATATCTAGTACACTTTTACAAGACACCATTAATAGAATCTTGTACACCTTTACATGGCACTATAGATAGAATATCCTGTACACTTTTACAGGACATTATATATAGAATATCTTGTACACTTTACAGGACACTGTTGATAGAATGTCTTGTAACTTTTACAGGACACTATAGATAGAATATATCTTGTAACTTTTACACGATAGAATATAGAATATAGATAGAATATCTAGTACACTTTAACAAGACACTATTGATATCTAGTACACTTTTACAAGACACCATTTATAGAATCTTGTACACCTTTACATGGCACTATAGATAGAATATCCTGTACACTTTTACAGGACACTATAGATAGAATATTTTATTCGCGTAAGTTCACTTCATCGCGACTAGGAAACCTTATAGTATATTTGTCTATTAAAAACAGATGCAAAAATGCTTGATCGCGAAAATTAATCGTCGCAAACTAGTTTATCCCTGGTTAATCGCGAAAAAAAGTCGTCGCGAATAAAAGTTGGTTTACAGTATCTTGTACACTTTACAGGAAACTGTTGATAGAATGTCTTGTAACTTTTACAGGACACTATAGATAGAATATTTTGTAACTTTTACAGGACACTATAGATAGAATATCTTGTACACTTTACAGGACACTATTGATAGAATATCTAGTACACTTTAACAAGACACTATTGGAATCTAGTACACTTTTACAAGATACCATTAATAGAATCTTGTACACCTTTACATGGCACTATAGATAGAATATCCTGTACTCTTTTACAGGACACTATAGATAGAATATCTTGTACACTTTACAGGACACTATTGATAGAATATCTTTTACAATTTTACAGGGCACTATAGATAGAATATCTTGTAACTTTTATAGGACACTATTGATAGAATATCTTGTACACTTTACAGGACACTATAGATAGAATATCCTGTACACTTTTACAGGGAACTATTGATAAATATCCTGTACACATACTGTTGATAGAATATCTTGTACACTTTAACAAGACACTATTAATAGAATATCTAGTACACTTTAACAAGACACTGTTAACAGAATCTTGTACACCTTTACAGGACACTATAGATAGAATATCCTGTATACTTTTACAGGAAACTATTGATAGAATATCTAGTACACTTTAACAAGACACTAATAATAGACTCTTGTACACCTTTACAGGTGACTACAGATAGAATATCCTGTACACTTTCACAGGAAACTGTTGATAGAATATCTTGTACACTTTAACAGTACACTATAGATAGAATATCTTGTACACTTTAACAGGACACTATAGATAGAATATCTTGTATACTTTACAGGACACTATTGATAGAATATCTTGTACAATTTTACAGGACACTATAGATAGAATATCCTGTACACTTTTACAAGACACTATTAATAGAATCTTGTACTGTTGATAGAATATCTTATATACTTTAACAGGACACTATAGATAGAATATCCTGTACAATTTTACAGGACACTATAGATAAAATATCCTGTACAATTTTACAGGACACTATAGATAGAAGATCTTGTAACTTTTAAAGGACACTATAGATAGAATATCTTGTACACTTTTACAGGACACTATAGATAGAATATCTTGTACACTTTTACAGGACACTATAGATAGAATATCCTGTACACTTTTACAGGAAACTATTGATGGAATATCCTGTACACTTTTACAGGAAACTATTGATAGAATATCTTGTACACTTTTACAGGACACTATAGATAGAATATCTTGTACACTTTTACAGGATCCTGTCCGACAGTGGCCAGCGGTACGGTAGGGATATGTGTTGAGCAGTGTTCAGATGACAGTTCTTGTGGAGCGGATCTAAAGTGCTGTTCTAATGGGTGTGGTCACACCTGTCAAAAACCAGGTAAGCCAATACTGGTACACTCCGTAAACATGTTGATTAAATGTATAAATAGGGCTTGTTTTTAAAAACCTATTAAACATAATTTAGCCATTCAGAGTTCTTATGTCAAAATAAATTTCATCTCATAATAACAATGTGTCATCATTACTGCATACAATGTTAATTAAGGGATTATCATATATATAATGATAATTTTATTTTACTTGAAGAGATCAAAAATTATAATCTGCTCAAAAGATATTATACATTTACAATATTTTATGCAGTTAAAAAGGCAGGTAAATGTCCATTGAGTCTGAAGAACCTAGGAGGTGTGTGTATTGGACAGATGGACGTCCCTAGCTGTAAGACTGACAATGACTGTCCAACCTCAGAGCTGTGCTGTAGGAGTGAATGTGGAATCCATGTCTGCTCACCGCCAGGTATTATATGTACATGTATACCTTGTAATTTAAAATGAGTTAGAACTTTGGAAAGCAATACTATTTCAGCTTCATTAAGGTTTTGTTAATAAGCACTGTCATTTTGATGACTTCTTCTGTTATACTGTATATTGTATTTAACAGAAGAGAAGACCCCGTGCCAGAGAGAACTAGAGGCCGCCTCTCTACAAGTCTTATCTCAGGTGGACAGCTGTAACCCTGTCTTTATTCCAAGGTCAGTACGTCAGGTTGATTTTAATTGAAATTTTATGTCAAAGTTCCCCTAATAACAGCACAGTAAACTTTGTCTAGCTTTCATCTGATAGTCCAGTAAGCTTTATATTACTGTAGACATACTTTTTTTCCATGGGGTCATAATTCCGTGGAATCTCAATTTCCGTTTAATCCGCGGGTTGAAAATTACGTGGATTTCTTAGACTGTCACTATATGCCTTGCATTTATGTTAAGTATGCTGGGACAAATTTCTGTGGAAAATTTGTGACCGTGTACAAAGCGTAAATTAATACCACGTGCAAAAAAGTACTTTTACAGTAACTGGAAGATCAGAGCAAAATATCTTAATTCAAAATGTGTATCATGTATTTTATTGTACGTATGAACAATGTATTTTATCTTTAAATTCCTAATAATTTACATCTTTTTAAAATCGTAACTTTATATAGGTGTGATTCTAAAGGGAATTATGAAAGAACACAATGTTATGATCACAACGGCATGTGCTTTTGTGTTTTCCAAAATGGAACAAAAATTCCAGGGACAGAAGTGAGAGGAAATCCAGATTGTTCCAGGGGTATGCATTTTTGATGTTCAAAACACTCTTGATTTTAAATGCTGCATGAAATGTTAACTATTCTGGATTTAAAACAGTGTTATTTCAAGTTATGGTAGGGATGCTGGATGATTATTAAACATAAATGAACTCAATGGATCAATTTAATTTTGAGTTTATTTTAAGTTTATAGAATTAAATTTAAATTCTTTATGGCAGCAACCAAACCCGGTGTGTGTCCACACTACACCAGTCTACCAGCGATAGATCTTCGCTGTATGGAGACCTGTCAATCAGACGACAGTTGTCAAGGCGACCAGAAATGCTGCTCCAATGGGTGTGGTTATCATTGTATGGGGCCTGTTGGTAAAAACAGTATGTAAAACTCTGTACAGTAAAACTTGCTTATATCAAACTGCCAAGGATGGACGATTTAGCTTCATTATAAATGTAATTTTTTATGTTCATTAAGTTTTCAATGTATTTTAAAGTCAAGTAGGGAATTATAATCACTTCCCTCTAAGCATCAGTTCATTATGAGTGTGTTCAATTTAAGAGTGTTTTAGGGTATCTCAATTTGTTCTAAAAGTATTGATTTTTAGGTATAAAGATATTATTTTTTTTATTTTGTTTTGAAGGTTTGACAACAAGAAAGAAAAGAGACAGTAAGTCAAGAATTTTTGTTGGTTATCGGGGATAAGAATACATGGACCATGTATTAAAATGATTTTCTTCAAGTTTTATTCAATTTTTTTTTTCATGTAAACTGACACCATTTGGATCAACTGCTCTTTAGTGTATTAACTGTCTTTAAATGCCAATGTTCATAAATTAGTACAAGAGAGACCTTTTCTGAACAATAAATTAAGACACAGTACAACTTCAGTATGAGGCTGTATACATAGAACAGTAAGTGCAGTGATACACTTTGACATGACTGTAGTTTTAAACATACCTTTATTTTTACAGCAAATCCCCGCTGCACCTATGATCCACTTTTTGTCCCAGTTACAGAGTGTAGGACCAATGCCAATACCTGCTCTCAGGGGTCTATATGTGACCCTGTCACTCAGTGGTGCTGTCCTCCTATGTCAGGTAAGCATTCATTTTTTCAAGGAGGCACTGTTTTCCATTAAAAGATTTTTTTGTCGTAGGGTCAGTTATATAATTAGTGATCCTGTGAGTGTCACTAAAGGTTGCAATCTTTCTTTATAAAGTAAGCTATTTGGATGGTATAATGTCTGAAACTGGAGTCATAGTCCACATTCAGCAAGCCATAGTTTTTCAAAAGTATTGATGAAATATGATTATTGGACCCTTACCTGTAGACCCATATAGAAGACTCACTGTCTTGTATAAAGGAATATAATTTAAGGAAGTGAAATTTGATTTTCTAACAGTTGAGAAATGTCCAGTTGGATACCAGGTGACATCATTCTGTAACAATGGCCAGGCTTGTCCACCAGGTCTGCAGTGTTTACAAGGATCCTGTTGTCATGTTCCTGTCAACTCTGGCTCAGGTGAGCACTATCTAAAACAACTACTGTATACAGGGAAAATTCGCCCCCATTTTATTTTCGCCCTAATCACATTTGGGCAAATTAAAAAATTGGGTGAATTTAATAGCACAATTTAAGTTATCTTAAACAGAATTGTGACAGGGCAAAATTAAAAGGCGAAAAATTGTTGGCAAGGGCAAAGAGGCAAAAATAACCCTGTATACAGTATTTTAGCTGATGTTAAGAAAATCCATGAGCAAATTAAAAATGTCAGACATATGGAAATAAGTACCATAAAAAGAACTTTAATATTTAGTGGTGTAATTTTATTACTGAAACATGTCATAATATACTGTAATTATCTGAGGTTGATACCACATTATTTTACATTTTATATATATTCTTTGATATATATTGTGTCTCTCTGTTCTAATATTGGAAACTATCACAATGTGAAAAGATAAAATATAGAATTTCTTCAAGTGTTAAGTTTAAAAATGAGTCTTGAAACATGTTTTTGTTTTGTTATTTCATATTAGCATGTACAGGAATTTTGTTAAGAAAAGTGCTAAAATATGATAACCACTAAAGAAGAATGTTTGCAATACATTTGAAGAAGAATTTTTTATTGTTTTTTTGTCCATTATTTGAGTTAGAATATCTGTATTTCAGGAATTGTAGATTACACCTGTAAAGCTGATAATTACCGCACCACAACCAAATGTGAAGAGGGAAACTGTGCCAGTGGATCCTTCCAGTGTGAAAATGGCTACTGCTGTCCTACAAGGTTAATTAAAGGTGGTACATGTATTTAGCTTATATATTTATCTAAAATAAAAGGGCCAGCCAAGCTTTTTTATTAAAAAAGATTATAGTTATTTTACTCTTCTTACACCATTAATTATGAAAAAACAGGGGTCAGGATGAGGACTCCTGGTCGTATGTTATGTCACCAACCAAGATGTAAAAGGTGAAGGTCACAAACAGTGATCAATCTCATAAATCCAATGAACAAAATCATGAACAGGTCAAAACCACAAACCCTGGAAATACCAGAGGTAGGATCAGATGCCTAGGGGGAGTTAGCATCCCTGTCACACCCAATGTAAGCCTTATGTGTTGATCAGGTAGATAGATCAGTACCCTGTAACCAAATTATGTAAAAAAAAAAATTATTGACTTGATAAATGGTATGTAACATGTTGGTAAAATATAACCAAATGAAAGGTTGCATTTAATTAAAAACAAGGGCATTATGATGACTGTAGAAAATTAGCAAAAAGCTGACTCAAAAGGAGTGGCTGAAATCCTCATAACAGCAGCTTGTTTGTCAGTAGCTTGCCTCAATTTAAAAGTTGATCATCTTGCTTTTGTTAATCAAATCAGTTGGGAGACATGACACTATATGCAGGTGATGTCGGAATGTTATTTTATAATTATAAAAAAAAGTTGAGTCATCCCATTTCCTACCCAGTTCATAAATTAGTTGACCATAATTGTTTTTAGTTAGTTAAAGATCCAAATATGAAACAGTTGTGGCAGAATGGCAGTCTTGGAAAATCTTAATTTTACAACACTATTATTAAAAATCCAAGCAAAAATATTTAAATATTGTAGTTAAAAAAATGAAAGGGAGTTTATTGTCGATTAGATTAAGGGAGACAACTCTAAATGATTTCAGATATCTCAGAATATCAGTGTAAAGTTGATGGCTACAAATCCACGACTAAGTGCAGTGTGATGGTGAGGGGACATGCGCTAGTTCTACCTTCCACTGTGAAAATGGTTACTGCTGTCCCACCAGATTAAATGAGGGTAAGTGAGAAAACAAATGTTTTTAAGGGAGTGTGGATTTTTATGGAGATTATGGAGTTATTGTTATGCACATTGATTTTATGCATGATTTACTTTTTTTCTTATATTATTGGATGTTGATTTTTTTTTTTGAATTTCATTGTTTTGCATGTTTTTATTTTTAAACTATGTTGATAAGTAACAAACAAAAACAAAACAACAAAAACAGCATTGACACGTCAAAGCAATCAAAAACTTGCTTTAGTATGAAATAAACCACATACATTTTTTAGAAGTTAAATGTGCCTTGACTGTTATATTACAGGAACAATTTGTGTATACCGTCGTTATATAGCAACCTCAGTGACCTATATAGGGTCTGTAGCCTCTGGGACCATGCCTTCAGTAGAGGCATGTAAGGCAGCCTGTGACCGTAATACAATCAGTGATTGTATCGGGGTAGTATATCAACAAAATACAGGAAAATGTACAAAGTACCCTGACACTAGTCATTTAACCAAAGTGGCTGATTCTGAGTCTGAGTTTTTTGAGAGGCATTGCCAATTTTCTGCAGGTATATCAGTATAGAGGGTCTCCTTTGTAGGTGCCTCAGTTTGTCCTGTTCTGCTCTCATCTCTCGTGGTGACATTGGCTGATTCTATATTTAATTAAGTCTTTGTCTGGTGATAGTACAATTTCAAATACATGTACTAACTTTTCTGTGAATATTTACATTGGGTTCTATCTTTTCAGAAACCAAACTTGGTTTTAATATTTATGTTTTAGCATATTTAGTAGGCTTCTGCAAAAGTCTTTTAAATCAATGTTTTTAGTACTCCTCAATACTATCATGCTTCAAGTCTTTGGTGTGCATGTGCTGTAAATTGTTTTTATCCCTAAACATTCTGTATTCTGTTGCATGAGCAGGTGCTAGTACTATTTCATTGGTTATGCATGTGAATGGTAAACTACATTGCATAGATAAAAAATAAATTTAAAAGACTGAAAGTCATTTTCTTTATCCAAGGATACAATAGAGTTCCTAAATTGGTTTACATGTACCAAAATGCATTTTTTCTTTATATTTTGATAGTCATAGTAACTACTTTAACTTTGAAAAGTAACAAATGTAATGAGAAGTTTTTATGTCTTTCTTTTGGCCAGGACTGTGCCCTGACCAGAACAATGTTCTTATGTCTGACGGTGTTCCTAAGACGTGTAACATGGACACGGATTGTGATGTCATCAGTTTTGGCTGTATTAACGGGCACTGTTGTCCAAAGGGAGGACTCACTACAGTGGCACCAGGTGAAATATACCAGTCACTGAATATTATAAATCCACAAACAAATGAAAAGAGAGGGAGGGGTGTAACAGTATTAAGATATAATCGTTTTGTGAAAATGGGTAGCACATATATTTCTTCTTTAGCTTTGAGTTTAAAATTCATAAAAAATTACAAAAATTGGTTTTTCCGTTGAAGTGAAAACCTGTTCAAATGGGGCGGATCCATCCAAGAATGTGAATGGTTTAACAAAGACGTGTAAGGTGGCCAGTGATTGTGGGGAACCAGCTACCTGTGAGAACCAGATTTGTTGCCCAACGCCAATACAGGAAGGTCAGAATCTTCCTAAGTTAATCTTCAGCTGATTCATCAATGTTTATTAATAATTGGAATAACTTCTGCATACTAAAAAGCATTTACAATAAACATTAGGGAAAAGGGGGAAAAATTAATGTTGACTGGAGTTTGAAGTGATTTTTTTTAAAAATTTTTAGTATAGGGTAATATGAATATTCTTCCAGATTTCTGTCCCAACAAGAGCTTGCCTCTGATGGAGAATGGGAAGCCTAAAGCTTGTATGGGGGTCCTACTGTCAGAATGTGGCAGCTCCAGGGACTATGCATGTAAAGGGTCAGGGGACTCCAAGTACTGCTGCCCTACAAGGATTAATAATATGGGTAGGTCCTGAATTGATTTTATTTTTTCCTTTGAGGACAAAGTCTGTTATTGAATAAATGGGATGCTTCTGCTGTTTTATTTTTTAAAGAATTCTGAGTTTGGAGGAGGGAGACATGCACAATTTGACAATGTATATCTCAGGTACATATTGTTAGAGAAGGGGAATCCTTCAGGACACATTTGACAGTCTGTTGATTTATCTAAATGGCTTGATTTTTCAGAACTTTGTCCTAACAAAGGAATGCCTCTGTTGACCTCTGTTGGTAATGCTCAGAGATGCTCATCCACCATGGACTGTGGGGACAGTACCTATAGCTGTCAGAGCTCTAACATTGATGGATACAAGTACTGCTGTCCTTCAAAACTTCTCATCACAGGTATTCAACAGCATTAAGGTCTACTTTATGTGAAACTAGTGAAATAACATATAGAAGGGTGCTAACTCTGGTTTATTTTAGAAGTTATGTAGTAGCCTGAATAAATTTTCACAGCTAAATTTGCACCCATGCTTATACAGTTAATTCTCGATAAACCGCCACCTTTTGTAATTTAGAAATCACGGCGGTATAACGAATTTGGCGATGAATTGAATTTTCCAGCTTTTAGGAAATGAGACGTAGAGTTATCGTTCTTAGAAATACCATTTAGCGTTTCTATTCTTATTTTTACATATACATGTATATATAAACATATTTCTAAATTTGAAAATACTTCAAGTAATTTTTATGTAAATTTCACTAAGACAAAATATTTAGCTATGAAATAAAGACAAGTACATGTGTATGCATGTAAATCGGCACGTTTAATATTGAAAAAAAATATGCTGGGTCGATCGTCGTGATAAATTGCCCATAGTACGTAAAAAGAAATTCTTGAATAAATCCATTGTTTATGACATTGTTGTTAATGAAACGTTCACAATTTCTAACGTATAATTATTTCTTAAGCAATCTTTGCACTGGTTTTGAAAGCAGAGATCATCAAAATAATATCGTATTCGGCGTACGGTACTTTACAACGACAACTTTCGAGGCGAAGCCTTGACTAAATGGTTTTATTAAACAGAAAACAAAATTATTCTAACAGTCATGTTAAAATTATTGTTTATTTAATAATTTCATTGTATGTACCTTAATTGACTGGCTTTACATGCTTTGTAACAACAGGGATACCGTCAACCAATTAGCCGCGCTTCTCTGACCACATGCACCTGTGGCGGTATTATCGAGATAATTGACACTTAAAAATGGACGTTTGTTGTGAAAACAGGGTGGCGGATGGCGGTATGCGAATTTGGCGTTATAAAGAGAATTTTATATAGCAGGAAAAACGTTCTTTGGAAAGCATGGCGGTATTGCGAAAATGGCGATGAATCGAATGGCGATAATTCGAGAATTGACTGTAATCACTGAATACCAAGAAATTTACTTTGAATAGTATGTTATAAATCATTTTCTTTTATCTGGTATAGGTTTACTAAAAATTTTGCATAAAACACAGTTTATATGTACTGAAAATTCATCTGGATTATGAAACTTTTCTCTTTTCAAATTCCTGGTTGTCTGTTTGCCATTAAGATAAAAAAAATTCAGCAAAAATCATCGATATACAACAAAGGAAAAAACATACAATTTTCAAACACTGTTAGTGATTATTATCTAGATGTGAAGGTACTGTAGACGTACTTTTTTCCACGGGGTCATAATTCCGCGGAATCTCTTTTTCTGTTCAATCCACTGGTAGAAAATTACGCGGATATCTTAAGACTCTCCTTATATGCCTTATATTTGCATTAAGTTGGATGGGACAAATTTCCGCGGAAAATTTGTGACCGCGTTCAGAGCGTAAATTAATACCACGCGTAAAAAAGTACTTCTACAGTATTTAAATAATAAGGCAGTGTAATTCTATGTTACATAAATTTTCTACATTCTTTGCAGAAATGTGTCCTAACCAAGGTTATGTCATGGTTCATGGAGGTCATCCTAAGAGATGTAGCATGGACTTTGAATGTATCGGCTCCAGTGGAAAGTTTTCCTGTGTCAACAACTACTGCTGTCCCAAGGATGCCAATCAAGGTTCTTCTGTTGAATAAAAAAGCATATGTCTTAAGCAGCCTGTTGATATCAAATAGAGACACATTTCTGTCTAAAGCTTAGAAAATCATGTCAATTCCTTTTGTTGTAGCTGTGTGTCCCAATAATGGAGGACTGCTATTAGATGAAAAACAACAGCCTAAACTTTGCACTGACAACATAGAATGTCAGGGGTCAGGGAAAGGGGCTTATTATTGCAATGAGGGATACTGCTGTTCTCAACCGGGTACACACACCTTTAATATTACAGTCAAGTTTATAAAGAAAAAGAATATATCAATTATGAAAGTATCAACTTTCTTATCATCTGTTCACAACTGGAGATAATAGATATTACAGTTTGTGCTTATTTTCTAATTTTCAGGTTCTATTTCTGTGTGCCCCAATAACGGAATGGTGAAGATGATGGACAACAAGTCAATGACCTGTGTAAAGGACGCAGATTGTGGGGAGGTAACCTGGTCCTGTGAGGGGGGCCACTGCTGTCCCCTCCCTATCAATACAGGTAAAAATCACCAGAAAACTACCTATGGGAAATACATAAATTACTTATCATACTTGGTTGGAAGATAAACAAGAATACCTTTCAAAAAGCACCATTACCTAGTGATATATTAGATTGGATGTGTTATTGAAACAGATTTGTCTGAACTCAGGTTGATCATGAATTAAGTTGCATAAATAAAAATTTATTAAAACTGATTAAGTTGGACTGTTAAAAACATATTATTTTTGGAGAATGACAAAATTTACTGTCAGAAAAGAACAGATATTTTGAATTCAATAACTTATCATGAACTTATGAGCAAAACATTTAAGGGAAAAAAATATATACATGTAGTTAAATGTATGAGATGGATTTCCTTTGTTCCAGTGTGCCCTAATGGATCTGCTCCGAAGTGCTGTAAGTTGGACCTATGTGTCCACCATTCCTGTCCTGCTAATCCCTCAGCTCAATGTCGCATCAACCCATGTGGTGATTGTAAGGCTGAGTTCTACGACGACAAAAACACACTCGTCAACTGTTTTTCTGGTAATATTTAGATTTTTTCTTTTTTTTTTTGTACACAAAAAACTTATCATGACTTTTCTTTAAGTTCAAGGTAGTCTTCCATACAACTGTATAGAATGCTGAAATTTGGTCCTTTGTAGGTTTAAGTAGATGTGAGAAGATGAGATTGAAGGCCCTTTCTTTGAGCACATTTTGGATGGACACAGATGTAGGATTCACTAAGCAATACCTGGGACAAGTTAAATCAAAGAAGCAGGTTGTCCTACCAACTGCAGAAAGTAAGCTCTCAGTGTTGGCAAATTGCTTTTTTACATGTACCTCAAGACTTTACTCTGAAATTTAATTAATATAACATAACTTAAAAGTGGCTAGGAATGATAGAATCAGTTAGTTTTTATTGGAATTATCATATGTAAGACATTGTTATGTCACCTGATTGTTTGTAGGAGTGATATCCTATGGTAAGGCTGGAGAATGTCTAGGATTACATCCTACAGATTTTGTTTGTTTGTAGGAATGATATTCTCTGGTAAGACCGGGGAGTGTCTATGACTACATTCTACAGGTTTTGTTTGATTTTATTTGATTGTAGGAGTGATATCCTCTGGTAAGACCGGGGAGTGTCTATGACTACATCCTACAGGTTTTGTTTGATTTAATTGTTTGTAGGAGTGATATCCTCTGGTAACACTGGGGAGTGTTTGGGATTACATCCTACAGATTTTGTTTGATTTTATTTGATTGTAGGAGTGATATCCTCTGGTAAGACCGGGGAGTGTCTATGACTACATCCTACAGCAGACCTGCCAAGTGACCCGCATTCGGTGGGTCACACCCGCAAAATTGACCTCTCACCCCCCACTCATAATGACCCGCGGCGTGTCATTGTTTTCACCCGCAAAATCGATCATCCCAATTTTTTGACCCAATATTAATTAAGCATATTTGTCTCAACAAGAAAGATCTGAAAATTCATCCTAAAATTTCCGATTTGTGTTTTATAAATCAGGATATGAATATTTTGTTTATTCAATGCACACAGATTAGTATCTTTGTTTGCCGAGGTGTTAAAAAAACTGTTAATTAGCCACAGGAAATCACTTCACGCTTGATCGCAGAATGACACAGCTGTACAGGTAATATGCCTGGAGCATTTAGGGGATTAATTACGTAACCATTTGAAGGGGTATATGCATGGTGAACAACATAGATTTAGAGGTTAATTAAATATCATTTTATTAAAAACAGATATTAATTAAATACAATGATATGATAAACATTGGGATCGTTTTTTAAAAACGAAAGTAAAAAAAACGAAACTACAAAGCATAACTGATAACAGCTGATTTTATCAGCTCTCGTATATTGAAATAATTGTTAAGTGTAGTGGTTATAAGAAAATGATATTAATTAAGATAAAGCAAAAGAGTCTAAAGTGAAGTATATTGAATTTCTCCCCCCCCCCCTCCTAAAATGTAGTATTGTATGTCGTGTTTCTTTGTTAAATGGCTATGACAAGGGAAAACCCACTTGTCAGTCACATCATGACTCTAATGATTTTAAGTTTTTGTTTAGGGTGTTAGGTATCCTTCATAATTTATTTTGTAGTATTTGATTCATTTAATTTTTTTTTGTGTGTGTTTTAAAATTAATAATAGGAAATTAGATGGCACATATTTCTTATATACCACCACCCCATGCATCAGCAATTTTTCAATATTAATCTTTCAATGTAATGTCTAATTACAATTTTCTGATTGTGTAATATGTTGAAAATTAATGTAGAATCTAACAAATGTTTCCCAGAAACTTTTTAAATTTTTAAAACTTTGCAAAAATTCTATTGAACAAAAAGTATCTGAATCTTACTATCAATCTGAAAGTGTTCTTATACAAGCAATTTTAAGTAACCTGTCCTAAGTAAAAATTAAGTCTGCAATAAAATATAACATATACATGCATGTGTTTTACTGTTTGCATTGATGCCTAAAAATTGGGAGCATTTTGTTACTCAAACCTCAACAAAAATGTCGCCGTGCGCTATGACCCAACATTTCAATTCTGAATGTTGGGTCATGACCCCCCACAGCATCAATTTTGGTTGGCAGGTCTGCCTACAGATTTTGTTTGATTTAATTGTTTGTAGGAGTGTTATCCTCTGGTAAGGCTGGAGAGTGTCTAGGATTACATCCTTCAGGTTTTGTTTGATTTAATTGTTTGTAGGAGTGATATCCTCTGGTAAGGCTGGAGAGTGTCTAGGATTACATCCTACAGATTTTGTTTGATTTGATTGTTTGTAGGAGTGATATCCTCTGGTAAGGCTGGGGAGTGTCTAGGATTACATCCTACAGATTTTGTTTGATTTGATTGTTTGTAGGAGTGATATCCTCTGGTAAGGCCGGGGAGTGTCTAGGATTACATCCTAAGGCTGTCAAGGCTCTGACTCAGGACTGTACCTCAGACGAAGATTGTCAAGGAACCAGTAAATGTTGTCTCAATAAATGCCAGGTTCCTATTAGTGGTAAGAATCTATTGATAAAACTTTAAAATGCTTAAGAAAAATGTTGTTGGAATTTAAAACAACAGCAAACAAAAAAAACATTTCTGAGATTTAAAAGTAAGGAAAGCAAAATATTAGATCCAAGCATAGCAATTATGATTGATTTTGCTAATCCATTATTTTATCCTGCTCCTTCCCCAGTATTGCCCCACCAGGCAGCCTGTGCCCACCGCCCTGTGACTGGACCATGTAAGGGTCGTATGATCCGACACTTTTACAATTCCACCAGTAACAGGTGTGAACAGTTTGTGTATGGAGGATGTAAAGGCAATGAAAACAACTTCGGGTCTCAGAAAGCTTGTGAGAGGGCTTGCTCAAAAGGTAAAATGTAAAGTAATTTAGATATAAAGTAATATAAAGAAAAAAGTATACGGTATAAAAGCTGACGGTGAAGTTCCAGGAATGAAAAATTTAATTCTTTTTGAAAAATTCTGTATCTAGTAGAGTTCTTAATACATTTTGAAACTTCAAGGAATGAAAGCTTGACATTCTTATATGTTTGTTCACCCTAATGGTGATCTACTCTACATAAGTAAAGATCATTATGTGTACTGAATATGTATACAATTAATTAGAAGTGAAAAAATCCCAGCTGTGTCTGTTTACAGCTAAATTGTTGTTCTTGCCTTAATAACAACAATAGTGTATCTTCTTTTAATATCTACCTGAGTAAAATGCTTCTTTATGTAAAAGGTAGTGTATTTTGATTCCACGTACTCTACATGTTGAGTTCCTCTTGCTTTTAGCTGGACTTCCCCCTCAGTGCCTTCCTGACCCAGATACAGGCAGATGCCGGGCCCGAATCCCCATGTACTTCTATAACGTTACCAGCAACAAGTGTGAGAAGTTTTACTATGGGGGATGTGAAGGGAACAGGAACCGTTTCTTAACCCTCACACAGTGTCTCAGTACCTGTAGTAAGTATTAATAATGATTATCTTGTCAATGGAACAATTAAGATACATGTACTGTTAAAGGAATGAAGCTTTATTATGTACACAACAATCACATACAAACTAAAAGATTTATGAGCATAAATACAATAATTGTTTGATCTGAAATTGGTCAGAAAGAGAGCTTAATATCAATGATTGAGATACTGAAATTCTAATGCTTTTGTGTATTGTCAACCTGATTTCTTACAGGCTCTAGAGATGTGCAGGCTGCTCCATGTGAGGTAAGATATTTCATTCTTATTTCAAACAATAGGCTCAATGAACATTTTGACCTGTACATTATGAATGTCTGTATGTATATATACATAATACAGCCCATAAACTTTCCTTTTTGTACAGAACCATTCAGCTAATTTTTACTAAATTTTCAGCCAAACATTGCTGAATGTGACTGGAATTAAACTTAAAAGGCCATCAATTATTTCTTTCTTCTTCCCTGTTGAAAGAAAACATAATGCTAGTTTTTTGACCAAGCATAAAAAATGTAAATATACTCAAATGTAGGCAATATTATTATTTAAAACTCTTAGGTTGAGATTTTTAGCAATTGAAAGCAGTTATGCATGCTTTTTACTTTCATTTCAGAAAATCCGATGTGCAGCAGGCACCATTTGTTTACCTGTCAGTGACACTGAGGCAAAGTGTATCTGTAAGTCAAACCTCTCTTCTTAATTTGATGAAGTTATTGCTCAAGGTCAGATGACACAATACTCAAAGACATACTATTTTCCTCATGAACTTAGGAATTTGCTCAGAAGTAATCCTTATCCTAATAAATAAGGTGATTGTGTCATTAGACTTTTTAAAAACTGTTAACTGTATTGCCATTATGTTTTATTTGTATACAAGAATAATAAGATTACCTTTAAAACAATATAAAATAGGTTGTTCATCAATACCCTGTGATTACAGAAAATAGCTTTTATAACCTATTTTACATGAAGGATATGGGGAAAATCAGAGTTGTGGGTAACTGTCAGTCATGCCAGCAAAACCGGCTTAAAATTCGCATGACCGGTAAAAATGCTATCAATGTCGGTCCAAATGACCGGCTCCTTATTTGGTTAAAGTTTTTTGTTTTGTGCATTTCCCATCTTAATTATCGTACCTTATATGCGATTACGTAATATTTTTTCTTTAAACGAGATCGAGGCTGTAAATGAAAGCGAAACTAGCATGGTTCTCGTGACCTATTAAATTCACAACTGGGGCCGAGCTAGGTAGAAAACATATTAAAGAAAAACTTAAGATAAAGACGAGCTAAATATGAAAAATTTCAACAGAAAGAATTCAAGCACAGGTGGAGAAAGCATTTAACCTAGTATTTCCGACTGTCCAGGATTTTCGTTTTTTCTCCGATCGTGTTGATATCTTTATTATCAGATTATCAATGCAAAGAATTTTTAGACCCATTTTCTAGGTTAATATAATTCCAAAATGTATAAATGTTTCAAAAAATTACATTGACTGTACTGAGTTAGCATTGTCATCTGCCAAAAAGTGGTGGTATAATTGTATCTCGTATTGTTATGAATGCAAAATTAAAGAAAACGGAAGAGTACTTGGAAATGGAGACTGAATTTTGTTTTATTAACAACATTATTTATTAAATAGATGTGTTATAAAATGAATAAATGTTATGCTTTTTTCCATTTTGCGACTTACTATTTCGGACTGACAAAAAAAAAAAGAGGAGCAGCTTAGTTTGTTTTCTTGTCAGTCCGAATGACTGGCTATCTGAAAAAGTTTTCAACAACTCTGGAAAATACAACTAATTTACAATAGATGCAATTTATATGTAACTGAATCACAAAAAGAATGATACATTTAGAAATTAATGCTGAATATTATACTGTATCATTTTGAGCTAGCAGTTTCGTCATTAATGTTCCTGTATTGACATTTTCACAGCTGATAAAGTCCCGCCTGTGGTGAATGGTAACTTTGTGCCGGATTGTTTGGACGACGGACGGTTTGCTGAGATGCAGTGTCAGGGATCTCTGTGTTGGTGTGTAGATGATATCGGGGTCATGAAGCCCAACACCATGAGAGTGGGCAAACCACCCTGTTATAAATCAGGTAATAAGAGTGGGCAAATTGCCCTGTTATAAATCAGGTAATGAGGGTGGGCAAACCGCCCTGTTATAAATCAGGTAATGAAAATGGGCAAACCGCCCTGTTATAATTAAATGAGAGTGGGCAAACCATCCTGTTATAAATCAGGTAATGAGGGTGGGCAAACTGCCCTGTTATAAATCAGGTAATGAGAGTGGGCAAACTGCCCTGTTATAAATCAGGTAATGAGGGTGGGCAAACCGCCCTGTTATAAATCAGGTAATGAAAATGGGCAAACCGCCCTGTTATAATTAAATGAGAGTGGGCAAACCATCCTGTTATAAATCAGGTAATGAGAGTGGGCAAACTGCCCTGTTATTAATCAGGTAATGAGGGTGGGCAAACTGCCCTGTTATAAATCAGGTAATGAGAGTGGGCAAACTGCCCTGTTATAAATCAGGTATTAAATGAGTGTGGGCAAACCATCCTGTTATAAATCAGGTATTGAATGAGAGTGGGCAAACCATCCTGGTATAAATCAGGTAATGAGCGTGGGCAACCATCCATTATAAATCAGGTAGACGGTTTTAGGAATACTCAGGTCCCTTATGAAAAATATTTTATTTTGTATTTAAATTTTAAAGTAACCCTTCTCTTCTTTTCTTCAGTGACAGGGGTAACTGACACCAGTGATGCCTCCAGAGTTCCAGGTATGTTTAACCACTATAGTTAAAGAAATATAAAAATCATGATTACTCAGAATATCTTGCACTAGAAGTTACAAGCTTTAGGAAATGACAATATAATATTGAGTACCCTCTGTAACCATATTCTATATTTCAGTATGTGCTGATGGCAGTGCCCCAGTGCTGTGTGATAAAAATGAGTGCGATACAGCTAAATGTGAGGGTAGGAGTGACGTCACCTGTGTGGTAGACCCCTGTAATAAGTGCAAGGTCTCCTTTGTGGACACAAATAACAAGCCAGTCACATGCAATGGTAACCAGCTCTTACTTTAACTATTATCTCATACAATATCAATATGCAATTTTTGTAGTAAATATGTCAAAATTTTATATTTAATGTGCATTCCTATATCCTTGTGAAAATTGACTGTTTCACCATAGTGTTGAAAAATATTTTATCCTGATAAATTTTGTAGTTGATAAATGTGCACTGAAGAAGCCCATTTCCACGTCCCGCAATAAACAAGGCTGTGGAAATCTGGAACAACGATGGGTGTTTGATGCTCAGGCCAAGGAGTGTGAACATTTTCTGTTCTCTTCGTGTGATGGGGAAGATATTTATTACAAAAGTCAGTGGGAGTGTAGATCTAAATGTATAGGTAGGTCACAGAGGAGTAGATCCAAAGATTTACTGAGAGTGTACATCTAACTATTTAATCCTGTATGTAGGTATAATTTTTAAAAAATTAAAAGCAGTTAAGTAGCCATATAATAATCTTTAGGTGGAGATTAATACATACATTATACTCTTTAAGGTGCCATCTGTAATGGAGGTGGACCTAAAAGTTGCGTCACCAGCTGTTCAGATCAGGTGTGTCGTCGATTTCCTGCCGCTCAGTGTCAGATTCACCCATGCACCTGTGAAGTCATGTTCTTTGACCTGGTTTCCAATGTTCCTGTGAACTGTGATTCTGGTATTGTCATATATTGTACATAATATGATTCATATCTTGAGGAAATAGCAAACAGAAAAAAAGTAATAAATATATAAATTTTTATTCGCTTATTAACAAAGAGAGCATTTTCTTGTTTAAATATACCTTAATTATCCTCATGAAATTAAATCTTACACTTCTGAGAATTACCAACTACATGCAATGGTCTTTATCAATCTTATAGTAACCCCACTTTGCCAGCTGAGAAGATCACAAGAAAAGCGCAAAGCTTTGATGAAGGAGATGTATAATTATAAGGTATCAGAGTCTGTACCGATATCTGTGTGTGACGTGAAGGGGGAGTTCTCTCCCCAGCAGTGTGACGCGGCCTCCGACAGGTGCTGGTGTGTGGACGGCCTCGGAAACAAACTAACAGGATCAGAGAGAAAGGTCTCGGGTCCAGCTCAAAATATCGGCTGCAGTAAGTACTCAAAATTTTAATGACAGAAAAGTACTAAAAACTGTGGTCCATTGCTGTATGTGTATTTTATATGTGTATATTCAATTTTAGGCCACAATAAAACAGTGTCTGCCATGGTATCATTGCTATTCAAGTTGGATTATGATGTGTATGTCAAAGGAAAAGAAGAAAAGCTTAAAGGGTAAAAAATTATTTCTGTTATTTAAGAAATATTTTAATGACCTGTGTTGATTCAAAGTAAATAATTAAATTAGAAATTTAAATATTGATATGCCTGAAAACTTATGTTTTAATTACCAACAGTCTTAGAGATACCTATACATGTATAAGCATATGTCACTAATCTTTATGTTTATAATTCTGACTTGATCTTTTCTTTAGGGTTGTGATTGACAAATTAAAGGAAATATCACCCAAAATGATCCAACATATCAAGACAATAAAAGTAAGTGCTGATGGACAGAGTGTGTTTGTTATGAGACCAGGAAAGTTATTTTTGTTTGTGGATATTCGAAGAGGTAAACAACTGTATATGTTATATGTTAGTTATGCATATGTAAGTCAATGATTTTTTTTATTTTTGTAGATAAGAAAAGGCAGTGTATATGTTGATATTGAGTTTGGACAAACATCTGAAAACTCAGAACCAGAAGACATAGGAAGTCTAGTGAATGTATTGGAAAATGAGGTAAGTCAAAGATAAGTATTTTTAGAGGAAAAAGTGATAGGTCTAGAGAAATAACCATATTCATATTATCTCATGTCAGATGGAAAAAAAAAGTAACAAACAAAATTTTAAAGTTTAATTTTTCAAATTATAAAATATTTAATTCTGAGCAGAAGGTTCAGTTATTATTTGAATGTACATTATAATTAAATTTCTACATCAGGTAAACAATGGACTGGACATGAGGTTTGAAGGCCAGACCATAACAGCAGAACCAGAGACTAAAACCACCTTTACCTTCCAAGCTCAGACATCAGGAGATATTTCTAAATCCCCCACAGCAGAAAAAGATGAAAGTGCAACAACAACTATAGTTGTCGTAGTTGTCATTTGTGTTGTTGTTCTGATAGCCATTGTGGCATTCATTGTTGTAAGTTTTTTGTAAAAAAATTTTTGTAAAATTTACCTTAATGTTTTTTTGGTATATATTGGATGCAAAAAACTCCTTAATTTCTGTCAGTAACAATTTTTTTCATTTATTTTTTCTTAGTATCGAAAGAGGAAAGGCCAACAAGAAAAGAATTTTACAACCTTGAATACTAGTGTAAGTACATTACAATCTCAGACTAATCAAGAGAACTTGATAAAGGGTCATTTTAGATACAATTCATCAGAATTTGAAGAGATATTAGAAACCATTTTAATATTTTGTGTCAATCTTTGATTTATTACAGGATCCTGAGAGTCCTCCAATGAAACAGAGTTCGGTGTACTACCATAATCAGGCCTGTGATAAAAAGTGACATCTACAGGAGTTGCAACTCAAATTTTAATGTCAGGGGACACAACTCTCAAGAAATCCATTAAACCTTTAGAAATCCGTTTTATATTGCACCATCAAAGAAAATACATTGTATTTTGCTCACAATTCATGTGCTAACATTATATATTTTTAACTTTTCATGTTTCATTGTTAATATATTGTCCTGCCTTTTTATAAAAGTAGTGACAGGTAATGGCTGTATATGCTGAGATTATCTCGTCTTTTTGTTTTCCTTTTTTTCCATGTACTTCTACTTAAAACTGGACTTATTTAACAAATTGCACAGAAGTGCTTCACATATTTTGAAACTTGTTTAAAGATTTTTTGTGTATTTGTGCAGAAAGAGGTGAAAATGTGCGAGCTTAAATAATGTATTGTCAGATATTAAAGAAGGTCTTAAGTTTTAAAACATACCATGTAATATTAGAATTAGGTGTATTCTGAGCTAACACTGAGAGTAAAGTGTTGTTGTAAGAATTGACTAAATTATGAACATTGATGAAGAATTCTAGCTCATTCTTTTTTATCGATACAAAATGTTCTGATTAAGCTTTACTTCCCTGTATTTGTGCTATAGAACTAGCTTATTTTCTTCTCCTGTCAACTTCTACTTGTCAGAATACCATAATGATCTGTAGTTCCTTATCACCAATAGATACCTCACTTAATGGTGCTATATATTTTTTATTTCAATACATGGTTGCTGGTTCATCTATGTGCAGAATCTCAACTTCTCGTGACATGGGAAGAATTTAATAGGAAAGGTTTTTATATTTGAAGTGAAAATTATGCTGAATATACATGTAATTGCAAGAACTTGTACATATTTTACAAATAAAAAACTAAAATCAGTATTTATTTGTTAATTGATTTATGGTACAAAATCCAACTAAAAAGGAAAAATAAATACATGCTTTTATAAACTGTGTGAATCTAGGCTTGCTTGTGGTAAAATAAGATAAATTTGTAATACACAACATTTCTTACATAGTATGGCATGCTATAAATCTGAATATAAGTGCAGCAATGTACATGTAGAAAAACTGAATATTTTAAATACTATTATTTAGTACAACACATTTTATGAAAGCATCAAGTGATGCAATAACATGTCAACAATAATTTCTCTCTGTCCAAGGGCATATGATTAACACAAGATTCTTAAATAACACAATTTGAAATGGAAAAAGGAGCTGTAGCATCCCTTTAATATCCACTATAACAATATTCATATATTTAAAATAATTTATATCCCTTGATTCCTTCTTAAGTCAAAAAGAAAATCAAATTCAACCAAAATGAAGTGGAAACAATACAAGTCTATGTATATGTGTCCACTGCCTGACATTTGACAAACTCTGTAGTGTGTATTAAGGCACGTGATAATAAGACCATCAGCCCCCGTATCTGTATCTGGACCTCCTTCCTGAATTCCCACAGTCACCTGTAATATAGGAGTGTACAATTTTTATGCCAAAAAAAATGGCCAAAGGAAAATCATTTTGGAAATATGCCATTGATTCGTTTGAAATAAACAGCCAAACTCAGATGGATTTGTCAAAGTTTTGACAAGTAATTATTTTCACATGACTAATTAAGACACTTTTCCTTGACATTCTCAATGTCAGAAACAAGAGGACCAAATCAAGTGGAGAGCTACACTTAACATCACTGGGTTGTAATAATTAGCCAGCCATGCATGTGCATGTTCGATAATTCCTTTCTTTTGGAATGAAAAGAAATAACTAGAGAGGTACGTGGTACTTATGGTGATAGGGACCCAAAGTGAGTGAAAAAGAAATGTACTCACACGACCCAATTCTCTCCTCTAACTGGGAAATCTGATCACTGAGAGAGGAAATAATATCAAAGTCGTACAGATCCTCTGTTGTAGTGCTTGGTGGTGCGGTGGTCGATGACGAAGCAGATTTTAGTTCCTCTACTTGGGTGATGGCATCATTATAATATCCCTCCAGAACAGAAAAATTACCACGCATCTCATCCTAGTAAAAATCAAAGATTAGAAAATGTGGTGTTTTTGCAAAATATAAAAAATAAATAAACCTGCGGTGGAATGCTATTATAATATTAATGTAACATTCTAGATTGAAAGGAGAATGCTTACTTTCTCTTTTTCTACTTTGTTAAGTTGTCCTTGTAAATCATTGATTTTGTTCATCATATCTGCTATAGGTGGTAAACACAATGGACAAACTGAAAAAAACGCATGATTTTACAGGCATGGGTGATGTAACGATCAGACACATTACAACAAGATCATTTAAGTAATAAGACTCACATTCACACTTGTATTTATTTAGTGATTTAAATCCATGGAAGCAGCCACATTCGTATCCCCCAATGGTATTTTTACAAATCTGTTGGCAGCTACTTCTACCAGTTAAACATTCGTCTACATCTGCAGTAGACAAAGAAAAAATCATGCTCACATATTTTACACGAGTGTAAAATATGAAACATTTGGAGTTTATATTGGCTGCCTTGATGCTCACCCTTTTCACATTGATGACCTGTGTAATATGGTGGACATTCACATTCGTTTGGACCCACACAGATTCCGCCATTTTTACATCCATATCTGCATATTGCTGTAAATAAGGCGATGATATTCACAAATTTCTAGGCTAAGAATCATTAACCTTGGTGGATTGACCTAATCCTATTTCTTTATATTTTGTAACATTAAAATAGTTCAGTAAGACATCCTGTATACGTATTCGTATTTTTAAAATTTCTCCTTACGTGCTAAACAGGCCATGTCACGTGGGTTTTTCTTCGTCCATCCTGGACAACACCGTTTATGTTCCCCTTGCACCATACGTTTATAAAACACCGTGCGATAGGCTATCCTCATGTACACCCTAAATAAGATTTAGGTAAAACCAAAACGCTTTATGAAAATTAAGAGAATTTTAGACTTTATTTTCCCAGAGCTAACTGTGCTTAAGAAATTGCTAGGTACCTTGTGGAGTTGACACAAGTATCATTATTCGAACACAGCCGAGGGTTGTAAAATGGCCTCCGGTAAGTCTGTCGCGTTGGTACCATTTCTATCCTATCGGTTTTATACGTACAAACATTTCTCCTGTTAGAAAAAATATGATAATATTAGAACAAATCTATGATAAGACTGGCATTGATGCCCTGTATCAAAGATCATCATATAACAAAATGCATCTTTCTGATATGAAGAATATTCTTTATTAAATATGGGAGGGGTCTGTCTGTCCCCTTCTCTGTAGGGTTTAAATGATTTCATGAATTATATACAATATATCCGTCATGATTGCATTTATTCGGGTATGGACATTTTAAGCAGTGTTCATTGTGCAAGTTTGTATATTGATTGAAGTGTACATCGTAGTCCATAAATGCAATTTTTACATCTGATAACCCCTTTAAAGTCAGATTAGGACAATCTTTTCGATTGGTTAACTTAAGTTTTAATAGTGTTTGAATCGTTTTTCTTGGTGTCAAATACAGACACATGGCTTCTGCGACCTCTGAGACAGACCTGTGACGAAACAGAGAAAGGCACTTGAACTAATTAAAACCAGAGTAAGTGGCTGCTTGGTGACATACTCCAATTTTTGGGGCATATCTCTCCTTTATCGGCCTGTTATATTAACTATTGTACACCTTCTAACCACAAGGTTAAGTGCAAAACTCCAAGCATTCCATTACTAAACTGTCCGAATTTTTCCTCTTTCTAACTTTTTTTTGTTTCAATTAAATCTAAGTGCATGTACAGGATGTATTAATTTGGTAACGCTATTAGTCTTTTTTAATACCCCGTGATGCTAAAAAATTAAACCTTCTGAATATTTCAAAGGCTCTGGAATATTTTGAAGAGATTTCATTATTTGAAGCATTGACTTTTTAAAATTAGTTATTGTTTTTAGCCTAGTCTATAGGATAGGCCGGGTCAGTATACTACACTGACGTCGCGTTTTCCCCGTCCCCCTATGTCTTGTCACGTCGTTCTTAACCACAGCACGTTCAGCAGTTTTGATAGGGAGTGGTGGATAGATGTAACTTGTCTTCACCACCTCAAAATTTCCTAAATGAATATGCACTTCTATTTCATATAAGAAAACTAGACATATATAAACTTGCATGTACATCTGAGGCCCGTTTTACAAAAGCACCTACGACTAAGACCACAATCTAATTTTGTTTCACGAATTTAATTTACATTTTATTAATAATGGTTTTAATTTATCTTTAAGGAATGTAGTAAGATATTTTACACAGACAATTTTTAACAGATTCATCAATTTTGCCAAATTTATAATCCAGTCTATTATAAATATATGGTCTTGTAAAACAGGCTCAATATCCCATACTTTTAAGGACCCTCTATAACTACACTAAAGAAAACAAGATGTTTGTGAAACACTGATGCCCCCGTATGGCAACATAGCGAAGATTAAACTTTTCTAAAATGCAAACTGAATATATTGGTACCCAAAGTAAGTTCTCACAAGAAATACAATTGTGAATATGAAAGCCCTAGCACCACCTGTTCAAAAGTTATGACCAAGGATAATTTTTTGAAAGGGAGGTCAAACTAAAGGTCAACGTCAAAGGGGCAAAATTGTTGGTTTATACAAAGAAAGGTCTTTTCACATGGATTATATATGTAAAGTATGAAAGCCATCGCCCTAACATTCAAAAGTTATGGCCACGGTTAACGTTTTTAAAAAGTAGTTCAAACTCCAAGGACAAAGGTTTAAAGGTCTTTGTATCCAATGAAAGGCCTTGTCACAAAGAATACATTTATGAAGTATGAAAGTCCTAGTATCTACCGTTCAAAAGTTATGGCCAAAGTAAAAGTTCAGAATTTTTGCGTAAAAGTGTGTCAAACTCCAAGGTCAAAAGGTCAAATTTTGTTGTACCCAAAGAAAGGTCTTTTCACAAGGAATACACAGGTGAAATATGAAAGTCATAGCTCCACTTAATCAAAAGTTATGAGCAAGGTTTAAGTTTTTGCTGACAAACAGAGAAACGATTATAGGGGCATAAATATTGTTGGAAACTAAAGAAATACATCGTTTATTAATAAAGTTGAAAATTATATTTAAATCTTGTTTGTAATTGATCAAAACAGAGTGTATCAGCGATTTAGCTCATGGAAAAAATGAACAAAGACAATTTACTAATGATTGCTTACCTAAAATAAATTTTAAGAAATACATGTAAAAATGAGGTCAATTGATTTGTGTTGGATAAATGATATGTCAATAAATGAACAATAATTGAGTTGTATTTTTTTAGTTCAATGGGTAGAAAAATCTAACTCATCAAAAGATGTGCAGTGAAAAACAACTTTATAATAAATCAAATTCTTTTTTTCCTGAACATCCTTATTTCGCTGCAATCAGTCTAAAACCCTTAAATTTCTGTGTTAGAAGTATAATCTTTATAACAGCCCTTTTTTCTTAAATCATTATCGATATCACATAAATTGTCTGAAACAGCACGCAAAATTCTTCCTTTATTAATATTATCAGCTAATAGTTCCTCTGAATTCAGTTTCATTAAATTTACGAATGAAATGAAAATACAGCATATTCTGCTTTTTATTTAAATAATTTTTCAATTTATTTTTTGAAGGAATATCAAACGTTTAGTGAATTTGAAGAGATAAACTTTAAATGCATCTTCACACATACTAGTACTTGCTCTCAAATGTCAGTAAGGTAAGGCAATTACATTGGCACAAAACTTTGAATTTACCGAAAAATTAAAATCATAAAACGGGCAATACTTTCCAGTTAGTTTACGCATCCTTGGTACTTAACTTTAAACACATGTATTTCTAATTTCCATTACTATTGCTGATACATATTTTGAGAGGTGTGATTTAATAAAACAAGCTCCGTACCTACGCATGTAAAAGTTACAATTTAACTGTACAATCGACTTGAAGTGTCAGTTCTTCATTTTATCTGGCAAATCAAACAACATGTACATACAATATACCACTTCCGATGTCAAGACTGGTTTGTGAAGTCTTAATAAAGTGGGATTCTTTGATATCAAAACAACAAGATTTTATAAATTGAGATGCGAAAATTGTTAAAGAAAGTAAAAACAACAGGGATGTTTATTGTTAAAGTTATGATTAAAAATTCCATTTCAGATGCATATTGTTTACATCTAAGTAAGCATTGTGTGTGTGTGAGAGAGGGTGTGTGTGTGTGTGTGTGTGTGTGTGTGTGTGTGTGTTTTATACATCTGATCTAAAATTCTGAATGATTTTGTGAGAATGTCTAAATAAAAAAAAAATTAGGCTACATTTTCCTGTTAGTATTAAAATCCAAGTTTAAACAACCTTAAAAATAATTAAACTACAAGAGATTTTTTTTTTTTTTTTTGCAAAATATGGCGTACGATTGGGACGATATAGGTATTTTCTATTAAAAAAAAAAAGAATTGAAACTTGTCCAAACTCGAAAATCCTATCTCATGGAGGGGGGGGGGTAGGTGAACTTCTCTCAGTACCCTTTTAATCTACGTTTTCAATAGTAAAAAGTCATATTTGAAAAAAGGATTAGCCCCCCCCCCTTCCCCCAATGCTAATTGCCAGTATCTAATAAAGATTGCACAAGCAATTCATGCCTTTTAAGAAGGAAAAATTGTGGAAATGTACTAGTAACTAATCTGAAAAAAAAGAAAACGTAATATAATTAAATGTATCTACAGTGAAACGCCTTCAGTACTGATCATCCCAGTCCTACCAATGTCTTCATTGACGCATTGCTGTTTTACATTTATCAGTATGAAAGAACGTTAAAGTAAAATGTGTACTGTAAAATGAATTTAATTGGTAATTAGGTATAAGTCTATATTCAATTTAAAAACACAAATATATATTTTGAGGGTCTACAAGTATTCACTCCTACGTATTGTAACTGCGTTTCCTGTATTTTCTGCACATGTGCTTATAGCTGATGACATATAATGTTGAGATTTCAAAAGAAATTTTATTAAATTTTCAGTTATCCCCATAAGACGACATATAAGTATTCATGGAAACAAAACAATTTCAAAACTAATTCTTTTTAATATTCTGCTGACTTAATTTTGCTAAACCTGCGAAATAGTTATCAAAGAGATTAGTTTCCAAAAAATGCAGTCTATGATTGATTGACCAATAATCATTTATTAGTAGTAATAATGTTACTACTTTGATTATCGGTAATATGAAAGAGCTACTATCGACTGAAAGTATTGAGTGGTATCTTACCCATGTGACGGGGCAGTTTTCCCAGGTAGACAGCCGACAAAGTGAAGGAAGAATGCAAGAAAAACAAAATATCCAAAATTCAGCATCTTTCAGCTCACACAGTAACGTCGTTCTTGTTTTTAAAGTTGCTTTTATCCTTTTCAAGCTTCTATTTGGAATGTTGCCTGAAATTAAAAGTCCTCAGATTGGGTGAGCTGTTTTCGATTCGACAGAAGTGTGACAGTGTGGGTTGTACGGCTGCTTTACACGTCTTATTGCGTAAAAAACTTTCAGTATAAAGTGACGTGCATGGTCTCTGGATAAAATTTTATCAAACTTATTTGAACTGTTGAAACAAGAATTTGATACAGTTTCGCCTTTCAGGCTTACATTAGTCACATAACACTCACTCGTGTTCGCTTCCCCTCCCATAGTGCAGGGAATTACCCCCTCCCTCTAATTCAGCATTTTATTAGTTTTGTTTCTAAAAAAAAAAAAAAACCAAACAAACAAAAACCAAAAAACAAACAAACAGAGAGACAAATAAACAAAAAACAACCCCAAACAACATTAACTAAACAAAATGAAAAAAAAAATACCCAACTCTGGTTGAAAGTATGAAAACAGGAAAAAAAACATTGATATATCTATATGTACGTCTTTAAAAGTTTGTGGTCTGCAAACTTAAGAGTAAGAAGTGTTTTATACGGATACAGATGATTGTTTTGTTTTGTTTTCCTGCTTCTTGTAGCGGATGTATTTTACGTATTTGAACAAACACTCTCCCTCTCTCTACCTAGCTCTCTCTTCCTCTCTCTGAGACATACAATAAACATACATGTATTTTACAACATATTTTCACACTGCAGAATAAGCTTTAAAATGTTTTAATTATTAATAATATTTTAATCTTTAATAATGACAGTAAAATAGATTTGAGATATGTTAACTTGTGTCGTTTTCACAATATAGTCGCACTTTTCTTTCAAAATATTAATTGAACATATATTACACTAATTTACTTGTTCATATATTGAGAAATTTAACTTGCTTCCAGGCATTACAAAAGAATTGATTTTATAACTCCTCATTTTTCAAGCGGCCGTGCATGAGCAATTTTACGTGACAGACTACAACCAATCGTACGCAGGAATTTCATATATAGTTCTAAATGTGATAAAAATCACCCGGGGGGGGGGGGGGGGGGGGGGCAAACGCCTGGCTCTAAAGGATGTATTCACTATGACAAAAGAATTGACCTATAAGATAGGAGAGAACAATTTCCAGGAAAAAGTGACGTTTAAAAATAAATCTTTATTTTTTGTTTTCTACCGTATATATTATTTACAACTTTACAATAAACCTCCAAAGTTGGTCGAAACACCATTTTGTCCGTTAAAGCGTTGATTTTTGCATGAATGTTGGCCTAGAAGTCCTTCAGGGCAGGCCTGCCCCTAAATAAAATTGTGATATTTTGATAGGTTGGGATGTAAGGAATAATTTAAGATATAATTCTTTTTGGGGCATCCCTGCCCTATGTCGAAATTCACAAAAAAAAACCTGCAAAAAATAAGGAAACTTGATTTTGATAATCTACTTCAAATTTATACTATTAATTCTTATATAGTCACATTAGCTCAATTGATATACTAGTATTCCGTGGATACTCTCTTTTTAAAGTTGGGGGTTCGAGTCCACCTGCATAAAGTTTTTTTTATTTTAGCTTTTTCAAAGACTATTTTATTTCTTTTTAATAGAATTGTGTATTTTTCATCAATTATCTTTTCTTTATGCATGTTCATTCTTGAAAAACACTAAAGAGAGATCAAATCGTAACAATCCAATGTACAGTTGTCGGAACAAACCCAGTATAAGCACACTTTCTCCGAGGACAAGAATAACTCATTTTGTGTTACAAGTATTCTTTGCAGCATTGAGCTGCGCTGAATTTCAATTGTATATACATATATTCCTTAGAATTGATTTTGGCTACATATATCAGTAACTGTACTCCCTTGAATTTCATTTAGGGCTACATATAATTTGCACACATTAATGACATGTTTTATCATACCCCCGGATAAATAGCCTAGACATAAAGAAAAGAATTTCAGAGACAGTAGACATTACCATTGTGCACAAGGAGAAGTAAAGAAAAATATCAATTATAAGAATTATTACATTTGGAGATAACCACCTCAGAAAATCAATGTAAGAGTTCCTCCTACTTCTACTCATCGAAATAAAGATTTAGGAAAAACAAATTGTTATATGTATTCAGCCTAATGAATTTCAATCGGAACAGAAATCGACAAGCTTTTTGTAGAGAAAAAAATCAAGCCCGTCCTATAAGTTAGATCCCTATTTATAATATGAAGTGATCCTTTAAATGAAAGTCAAAAGCCTCTCGGATGAAACCTTTTAAAAAATTGTGGAATCGTTGTTCCAAGTCTCATGGTAGGCTATAAATATGGTGATCTATAAAAATGCGTGGTGATGTATTAATTTAAATGAAAATGTTCGAATGGTACTTAAAACAACAATCAATCATTCATTTCACCAAAGAAAATCTCATCCAATATCATGGGCATATTTTTTGCTACGTTAAAGTTATTTCCCACTTACAGTTCATAGATACATCAACAATATTGTTTATTTGTGACATCCGTAAAATCTATAATAGTACTGTTATAGATGACATAGAAGCCAAAAATGGATATACCGATCGACTCATCCTACTGCTGTGATCGGGAGGTCGTGAGTTCGAATCTCGGCCTAAATCAATTAAAAAAAAAAACGGGTTGCAACTGTTCGCCATGCGCTCTGTACATTGAAGTGAAAGTTGTGGGTGCTTTCGAAGTTCGGATGAGACTTTAAAAACCGAGGTCCCGTATGTCACGGCAGGCGTTCAGTTGTTACGATAATGACCCCTCGGGCCCTCAGTCTTTGTTCAATGAACTAGGCCTAAACTGAGCAGATGGATACCGAGTAAGCACTAAGTGATTGATTCTGTTTGTTGTTTTACGTCCCATTCGAGAATCTTTCACTCATACAGAGACGTCACCATATCATGCCGGCGAAGGGCTTCAAATTCTGACATTTACTCGGCACTTAGGGCCATAAGCACAACTCACACTGCTCAACGCGTTATCGGCTACTCGGTTGTTATCGGACACTCGGTTGATAACAATTTTTGACAGGTTAGTAAATTATTTTAAATAAACTCTGTTAAAATAGAAACAGAGAATATTCATTGTGCTTTTTGTAAACAGAAATGAATACGGATACAAAATAAAGCCTCGATACGTACTGGTATAGCATTTGTTAGCCTTTGGAAGGCTTTTAAAGTCAAATTTATTATATTTTGCAAGTTTTTCTCCGATTGGCATTGCTGTAAATAGCCTTTTTTCTTCAAAACCCTTGTTTACCTTGCGTTAATGATTGTCCACAAGAAGACGTCCTCAGAATCTTGCGAATATGTAATTAAAGGGCAAAAAGTGCCCGAGTTTAACTTTCAGTATGTTATCGGAAATACGGTTGAATAATGCACTTTGTTATCGGAAAACTCGGTTTTGGTTATCGGAAACAAAGGTTGTCATAAGTTAAGGGAAAACGCAAAGAAACAACAGAAATTCTAATTTTTGGCTATAATATGCCTCTTTAAGAATATGTAACTTTTCAAAATTGTGTGTTTTATGGCATTTCTCACTGAAATCTGCATTGACCTGTTTGAAAATATGGTACAAGTTTTAAATTTCATTACAAGGTACCGAGGTCCCTTGTGTGGCGCAGTGGTTAGAGTGTCTGCTTTAGAGTCGCCAAGTAAGGAGTCGATCCTTACGTCGCGGGTTCGTATCCCACAGTGGGACGTCGCAGTAGGTGCTAGCACAAAAAAGATCCCTCACTGCTCAATGGCCCTACAGGTGCTGAGTATATGACAAATTTTGAAGCTCTCCGCCGGCAAGTGATGGCGTCTCCATATGACTGGAAAAAACGAAGGAAGGCGTTAAACAACATACAATCGAGTTGCTGAACGCATGGCGAAGAAACAGTTGCTACCCATTTTGATTGACTTTGGTCAGTCGCCGCTGAGTTTCAAACTCACAACCTTTCGAACACAAATACATTTATCAGTTTGGTATGTACATACAAAACAAGTTAAATTCAAAGGTGGTTAGGTGAATTTCCAAAAAGGTAGTTAGACCAAAATATATGACATAAAATTCAAAATTTTGACTTTAAAATTATTTTTTTAAAAATCGTAAATACGGATCTCTAAAACATCGGAGGTTGTTACATCCTGCAGTGTACTCAAATTCAATGTGTTGATAGCACTAATGCTCAGATGGATGGGGGGGGGGGGCTGAAATGGATTTTGCATTGCTATTGGGTGTTTATACTGAAGCAAAAAATCTCTACCATCTCCCCCCCACCCACCCTGTAATTGAAAACGCAAATAACTGTTTGTAGAAAAAGTTAAAAATACGAGGAACTGAAATGAAACAACCAGTACCCCTCCTCCTTAATAGGTATTTTTAACGGTTGGATAATAAGCTATGTATTTTTTTTTTTATTAAAGCGCTTCTAACACAATAAAATTCCAGTCGGCTCCCTTAACTCATTTTTTTAAAAATATTTTTTTCTGAACCACGCTTTTTGTTAAAGGATAGTCTCGTTAATCTACTACATATCCATATTACATTGTATAAAAAAGAATTAAGAATTATTATTTTTCTTTAATGTTGGGAGCTGTCTGATTGACACAAGATCACATGATCAAGTATTTAAAAAGTCCTATAAACTGGGTGATTCTATTTTAAAGCTTCTAAAAATATGTTAAACGTTCTTCTGGGGAGCAACATAAGTCCTGACGTCACAACCACAGGCACTTATTTCATATATGGGGCATACCTGCTATATATGTGTAACTGTGACGTGATAATATGATTAACATTACTGGACCAAAAAAAAATAGTTCCCCGGGGATCATGGGGGAAATTGAACTTGTTTTTCCCCTCAAAATAACGTAATACATGTACATGTAAACTATATCGGAAGACTAAAGCAAAATTGTTATCATTAATTAAACATGATAAGTTTCGTTTGAAACTGCCTGAAGCAGTTTCTAAGAGGTTATCTTGAATGGAAAACAAGAAATATGGTTGAACAGATGAGTAGTTCTATAATAATTTTATAATTATTAATCTTGTTTTATCCTGCAACTACCCCTTGCATTGACCTAATAAAGGCAACCTAATAAACCAAAGCTTTATCCGGTCACTGCCCTAATAAAGCCTCGTGCATGTATTCCGACGTTCTAAAAGCATTGTGACGTCACGTATACTGCAATTTTTACGCCATGGCGTCATAGTATACACCTATTTACTGGCTATGAGGACAATAGCAAGTTTATCGTCCCCCAAGACAGCAAACTATTTACCTCGGCTGCGCCTCGGGAAATAGTTTGCTGTCTTGGGGGACGATAAACTTGCTATTGTCCGAATAGTCAGTTAATAGGTTTTTTATTATACCGATGCTGACTTTACTTTTGTTACGTCATAATACATACGTCACAATCCCTATAAAATCAGACGTTTTTCGAGATGAAAAGTGAGGGAAACAGAATGCTGCCGGTGAATAGTTTGATGACTATTTCACCATGGGCAGATAGCACAAAAACTATTTCACAGTAGGGGCTGTTTGGAAAAGATAGCATGTTTATTCGTCATATTTTTGTATAGAATAAATTTACAGAGGTATAATAATTTTCACTATGCCTAAGATGTACCTAAATCGGTCGAAAATAGCTTGTTTTGGACGTTCAAATGTAAAATTTTGTTGCAGGATAAACAAAATACATGGTAACTGTCTTGAAATATAAGCGATATTTGGGCTCGGGTCGAAAACGTAAGAGGGCTCGGCAAGCCTCGCCCTCTATCAACGTTTTCTTACCCTCGCCCAAATACCGCTTATATTTCAAGACAGTAACCATGTATTATATATATATATATATTTATATCAAAACAAACTTTTACGTTTGCTATTTTCAAGGATTGGCAGATTATAATGGAATTTTCCAATCTATTTATGAAGCTAAAGGAAACTTTTTAACCTGAGTTTCCGATAACGTACAGCCGTCAAAAACCGAAGTATCCGGCAACATCAACCGAGTTGACGATAACATGTTTTCAACTAATGAGACATTTTAAAAGACTGACAGGGGCGGATACAGGATTTGTGGTTGGGGGGGGGGGGCGTGGATAACTTTGTTGAGGCAAGGGGTCTGGGGGCCGCCTTAAGGCCCCCAGTGGGTCCAGGGCGAAGCCCTGGTGGGGGTCCAGGGGGCGAAGCCCACGGAAGCTCCTGGGTTTTCGTGTATTTTAGAGTAAAACCCGGCACTATAATAGTGCATATTTTTTCAATTTTTGTGTTAAAAGTGACATATAGGTTCGGATGTTTGAATGATAATATTGTATTGAATGTTTCTCAGTTCTCATTGTATTGTAACACATGCCACCATAATAAACGATTTACCTGCTTAGTACTTACTAATAGTGGTATTGGTTAGTGATGTACCAAAGTACGCCGTGTTTAATACTAGTTAATCATACTTTGAATGGGGGGGGGGACCAGGGGTCGCAGCCCCCGGAAGCTCCTGGATTTTTGTGTATTTTAAGAGTAAAACCAGGCAGAATAACAGTGGTTTGGTTGGTTTTGTACCAAAATGTGGCATTATAAATATTAGTCACATCATACTTTGAAAATTTTAGGGGGGGGGGGGCGTGCGCCCCCACGCCCCCCCCCTTAAATCCGCCAGTGACTGTTTACTAACCTTTAATTTGGATTTTTAATCCCAGTTTGCTGATCTAAAGGTATCTAATTGTCCATAGAATAAATAGATCAGTTTGTTTAATAGAATAAACTAATTTTGAACTGTACAGAAGTTAAAATGTGGTGACATAGTCCGAAAATTTTGTAAAATATCATTTGAAAGAGCTGTAGATCTTTTGAAAGAGAGTGATTTGGTTTGTGCTTTCTGCTGCTGAAAGTATCATCAATTATCTATCATAGATCACAAACTTTAGTTGCTGAAATACAAATTTATCGTTGATAAATGAAATTTAAAATTACCCACATTTTCTAAACATTGCTTTTCTTGCACCGAGTGTCCGATAACAACCGAGTTGCCGATAGTGTACGTGCAACTGATAAATGTCATCATTTGTAACATTTATAATATTTAAATGAATCTGATAATAAATCGAGATAGCGAGTTGATGTGCCTGTTAAGTTTTAACCGAATCTATTCAGTGATGTTGAGAAACTGGTCGACGAAAAAGCATTAAGATTTACTTGAGAGAATCGGGAGTCGGCAGTACTAGATTTACCACCAGCCCCAAAACGCGCCAAATTTTGACAAACCGTACGTGGACGGAGTTAACATTATGGATATCATTCGGTCAGTGTTTACATACGCACTGCCATTGCAGGAATGGCTTCATTCCTTTGGAACTGTATGCACAGAAGATGATTCCAACAGGTAGGTATCGTCATAGCAAATAGGTATGTTGTCCCAATAAGGCCATATAGCGCGTAATAGTAACACTGCGCTAGCGCTTTATCACTTGCCAAATTGCAAAAATGCGTTGATAATGTTGACGTGGACGCGCGAAATGACAATGGGCTAGTTCACAATTACAACAGATTGTTGGCAGTTGCACATATTTTGCTAATGTTAGTGTGCTAGCGCATAGCCGAGACAGAGTTAGATTGAATGTTCTATCGTTAAAATGATATTGTCCTACGGACCCGGTGAGGGCTTGTACCGAGACACAGTTAGATTATTCTAACTACAGGCCGGTGTGCTAAATCTAAGTGCGACATCACACTAACACAACTGTACACAATGTATTGTATGTAAGTTCAAAGGCATCATATAGAGACATAACCATATACCGATAAAGAGCTTCAAATTTAGACCTTTACCCTGCACTCAGCCAGGGACATTGAACATTGAGGGATCTGTATTGTGTTAATGCTTACCCTGAGACCAGAGACTTTGGTTTTTAAGGTCTTGCAACTTTCAATTCAATGTGCTGAGCATCTGGCAAAGGAACAGCTCCAACCAATTTTTTGTCAACTTAGGTCAGTTGGAACGAGTGCTGTTCCGACTTAGCGACTGTTTTTCGTGTAAGCAGTTCAGCATGGCATGTGTGTTACTGTTAGCATGACAACATTGGGTTAGGCAAAAATATAGATACAATAAAACTGGGTGCGTCGATTTACCCAAATGGACCCCAAATGGAAACAAATGGAAACCCAAATGGACCCAAATGGAAACTCAAATGGACCCAAATGGAAATCAAATGGACCCAAATGTAATATTAAATATATATATTATCATATTCTCAAATTTTTACTTATTTAAAATATTGAAAATAATGAACTTTACTTAATAAAAGGAGAATAATTAATATTATTATTTTCTTATATTTTATTTTTAAAAATATGCTTTTTTTCCATTTGGAATAAATTTTGCACATAATTAAACACAAAACTGAAGTAAATAGTGTTCATGGCCATAAAAACGGAGTGGAGAAGGGGGGGAAGAGACCAACCCCCCACCCCCACCCCATGATTTTGTCGATATATAAAATAATATCAAAAATAATTCAATTTCATGTCTCAAAATACAATGCTAGAAATTAGTAATTGATTTATTAACACTCCATTTGTAACTGTAAGTTAATTTTTTTTTTAACATTTTAAATAAGTAATAAAATACGATAATACATATTTAATATTCCATTTGATTTCCATTTGGGTCCATTTGTTTCCATTTGGGTTCCATTTGGGTAAATCGACGTGCCGATAAAACTTGGTTAACGATGTCACTGGGACCTATGAAATTACTTTGCTATATCTGTAATTTTTTATATTCATATAAGGAATTTGTGAAATTTATGTAACCGGGGATCCAAAATGATTTCGCTATATCTGTGAATTTGCAATATCCATGTTTTTACTAAAATGAGTTTTACTGTATTTTGGTGCATTGCAATACAATGACAAAAAGCATGGTATTGCAATACGTTTTGTAATACCAATATAAGGGCAAAATGCTTTGACTTAGGTATTTTATCATTTAATATAAAGAAAATTTATCAGATAGATGACCACTCACTGACTTAATTCATAATAAATACAAAAATGCTGTTCATCATATACATTGTACTTCTTCAATTTTTCAGCTATTTACGAAATTTGGAAACAACGATAGTAGCTTTCAATGTGGATGTGCGGGACAAACTTGTTACCACATCTTCTCCACCTTCAGAGACAAAAGAGCTGGTACTGAGAGTTATTGAGGTTAGTATGTCCTACATGAAGGATTTCCAAAGTTGATGCAAAAAAATATATGTCATCTGCCAACTTTATCTTAAATATAACTATTAATTTTGTGAAAACTTTAATATGATAGAAGAAAAATCGCAAAAATTTGCACAGAAAATGATATGTTTGTAATGACATTGGAAGAAAAGTAAAAGATGAAAGTTATGTGACATTCTGCAACAGGGCTAAAATACAGGATGAAAATTACTATACAGGTGTTTAAAATACATGTGTCAATGAGAGAATATCTTTTTTTTCAGAAATTGATGCGTCAAGGTGAGAGTAATGTCTTAACCCTGGGGTTTGGAATGGTAAGAATTTCTTGGAATAGTAAGAATTTCATTCTTTGATGATCCTTTTAATGGTTATCAAGATGTGTTTGTGAAACACTGATATTCCTATAAGCCAGCCCAAGACCTAGGTTAAAATCAACTCCAAATCTTAAACATTGATGGTACCCAAAGAAATGTCTTGTCAAAAGGACTATTTAAGAAATATGAAAGCTAGCACCAACCATTCAGAAAAATGGCAAAGGTCAAAGTTTTTCAAAAGTAGGTCAAGGTTAAGATTATTTGGTAAAAACATTGTTATTAAGGAAGAGGTCTTGTCATAAAGAATACACGGTAATATTGAAAACCCTATAGCACCAACTGTTCAAAATAGTTATAGCAAAGTTAACTGTCCAAAATAGTTACAGCAAAGATAAAAGTATTTCATCAACATTTCAAAATCTTGTGAAATATTTTTTTGGTGAATAAGATTTAGCAAAATTACATTAATTTAAATTATGATATTTGTTTTTGGTAGATGTCTGATGACCCAGATGCTCAGGTTTCCTGTTTCACCAACATAGAATACAGACATCCTAACTCCAGTGTCAACTTATTACATCAAGGGGTGTGGAAAAAGCTACATCAATGGTAAAATTAAATGATCTCAGTATCCTCCTAACTTAATTGTATCCCTATCTGGTTCTCTGATTTTTAGGTCACCTGAGTCACTCGGGTGACCTATTGCTATCTGTTTATATCCGGCGTCATGCATCGTGTGTTAACATTTGAACATTTTCAGCTTGTTCTCTGCAACTGCTCAACCAATTTCAACCAATTTTGGCACAAAGAATCTATGGGTGAAGGGGAACAGAAATTATGAATTTCATGGGCCTTGCCCCCTTGGGGCTTAAGAGGTGGGGCCAAACCTGTAAAATTAATGCAATCTTTAAAAATCTTCTTCTTTACTCATAGACATCAAGCAGTCAAACTGTTGGCATGATTGTAATCAGCATTGAGTACTCTACCAAAATTGTGAAATTCATGGCCCCAGGGTCGGGGTTCTAGCGCTAGGGCGGGGCTAAATAGATTATATAGTGAAAATGCATTATTTCTTTGAAAATCTTCCTCTCTGCTCCTGGGTATCAAATAAACTAACCAAGTACATGTACATAGTTTTGTTAAATAAGGCTGTCTCTTTCAAAATTGTGAATTTCATGGCCAAAGGTTTGGGGTTTTGGTACAATCGATCTATTTTGGACAGAGTTATGTCCCTTGGACATGGAAAAATTCCAGTTATTTGCAGTTTCCCTTCATTTTCTTTGCAGAGTTTAATATATAGAAAAGAAATTTAGCATACAGATCTACCATAAAAATATCCTAAACAGTTATTAGCTCTTCTGAGCCAAAGGCTCAAAGATCTAATGCTATGGCCATTTGTGCGGTGTGCGTCGTGCGGTGTGCGTTAACTTTTTAGAATATGGGCCATAACTCAAGAACCCCTTCGCCAATCATTGTCAAATTTGTTACAGGGTATCCTTGGCCCAAGGGCTACCATTTATACTAAAACTAGGGTTGGGACCCTAAAACAAGGGGAGATAATCAGGAAAATAGAACCAAAAGTACTGGTTGCTAAAAAATCTTCTTCTCCAAACCACCTGGCAGATTTTCACCAAACTTGCATACAAGGTTCAGGATATGTTGAAGATTAAAAATTGTTCAAGGCATGACCCTGGGGCAAAGGGCGTGGTCTCAAGGTCACTTCAAAGTTAACCAAAATTTACACTTAATAAAAACGTTGATATTTTGCTTACTATAAAGACTAGGATCATCAAATCTTGTAAGTTGATGCATCTTAGGACTTCACATCATGTTAACACAAAAGTAGGTCACGGTGACCTACTTTTTAAATTTTACGGGCTTTTGTTTTCAGATTGATTTGGAGGCATATTTTGGACACTTTAAGGCCTATGATCATCAAACTTTGTCAATTGACACATCTTGGAACCTCGGACAGTATCAACTTTAAAGTAGTTCACCTTGACCTACCTTAAGAATGTTATGGCTTATCTTTTCTAAAACATTTAATCCCATTATTTCAGATACTGAGAGGTTTAGCTTCACCAAATCTTGTAAGCTGATGCATCTTGGGGCCTTAAAACATATTTATGAAAAAGTAGGTCACTGTGACCTACTTTTTGAATTTTGCAGGCATTTGTTTTCAAATTGTTTAAAAGGCATATTTTGAATACTTTCAGACGTATGATCATCAAACTTTGTCAGTTGATGCATCTTGGGTCTTCGGAAAATGTCGACCAAAAAGTAGGTCACGGTGACCTACTTTTGACATTTTATGGCTATATTTAAGTATCTTAGGTACTTTTTGGCTTATAATCATCAAACTTTGTCAGTTGATACAACTTGGGTTTTCGGAGAATGTCGACCAAAGAGTAGGTCACTGTGACCTAGTTTTGACATTTTATGGCTATATTTCAGTATCTTAGGTACTTTTTGGCTTAGAATCATCAAACTTTGTCAGTTGATACAACTTGGGTTTTCGGAGAATGTCGACCAAAAAGTAGGTCATGGTGACCTACTTTTGACATTTTATGACTATATTTATGTATCTTTGGTATTTTTTTGTTAAAAATCTTCAAACTTTGTCAGTTGATGCAACTTGGGTTTTCGGAACATGTCAACCAAAAAGTAGGTTACTGTGACCTGTTTTGAATTTTATGGCTATATTTACTTATCCTGGGTACTTATTGGCCTAGAATTGTCAAACGTTGTCAGTTAAGGCATCTTGGGTTTTCGGAGAATGTCGACCAAAAAGTAGGTCACAATGACCTACTTTTGATTATCTCAGGTTCTTATTGGCTTAGAATCATGAAACATTGTCAGTTGATGCATCTTGGGCCCTCTGAAAATGTTGACCAAAAAGGAGGTCATGGTGACCTACTTTTGACATTTTATGGCTATATTTAAGTATCTTAGGTACTTTTTGGCTTAGAATTATCAAAACTTTGTCATTTGATGCAACTTGGTTTTTCGGAGAATGTTCGACCAAAAAGTAGGTCACTGTGACCTAGTTTTGACACTTTATGGTTATATCTTAGGTAGTTTTTGGCCTAGAATTATCAAACGTTGTCAGTTGAGGCACCTTGGGTTTTCGGAGAATGTCGACCAAAAACAAGGTCACAGTGACCTACTTTTGATTATCTCAGATAGTTATTGGCTTAGAATCATCAAACATTGTCAGTTGATGCATCTTGGGTCCTCGGAAAATGTCGACCAAAAAGTAAGTCACAGTGACCTATTTTTGACATTTTATTGCTTTATTTAAGGATACACCAAAGGCTTTTTTCAAGATTTTTGTCAATTTTGAGATTTTTGGCTAAGAAAACAATGCTAATCACTGCTTTATAATGCATGAAAAATTCTTGCTGATTATTGAATGGTTTTCTAATTATTTAACAATAATCAAACATAAACACTAACACATGTGAATGTGCCGTTATTGAAGCTTCTGATTTGGTCTGTAACTGCCTGCTACTGAAAGGAGCAATAAATCACTGTGACCACTTGGGGAATTCTTCACTAGCCACACAGAAGTTATCAGTAATTAAACTACAGGGACTCTAGATTTAGGGAAGGAGATGTAACAGGTCACTAATGACCATGAAATAGGAGGTGGAGCTTAGCTCTTGCCATTTTGCCGGGAAATCTTTCTGACTCAGAATTGAACCTATTTTACTTCATTAAAAGCACCTAAATAAAGAATAGAACCTCCCATTCTTGTGAATATGCATAGGAAATATGGATAAGTGACAGGTATCCAAAGCTGAATCTCCAAGGTGTCATATATTTCTAGCTTTGGCAGACTTTGTTGTGTAATGGGTTTTTGCCCTCTACTGTAAAGTAAGATCAGACAGTTGGTGGTATTATTTCAAAGGATTCAGCTCCCTTATTTATTGACCAATTTCTCTGAAAACTGGCTAGATTGTGTCTAAAATGTTTGTTCACAAAACCGTATCTCAGATTTTTGATATCTTGCTCAGTTCTCGAATTATTGGGGGAAATGTAGAATTGGGCTAATAAATTGGTAACATTGAAAGACAGATGGATGTAACTTTTGAATAAGAAGATTTATCAAAAATCTGAGATACGGTTTTAAAATTCAATCTTTATTCTACATTGAGGCAAAATTTTGACTTTGAGAGGTGGAATACAAAAAAGTTGATTTATAAAATATGAATGCACTAATATTTACATTAAAATATTAATAACTTTTAAATACGATGAAAATGAAAATTTAAATTAAGATCATTAAATAGTAAAATTAAGAAGCTTTCAAATGATTTATACTTTTAATATGTTATCTTTGTTAATGAAAGAATTACAAGCAAATTAAATTTTGCCCTTTGGAAACCTTTGGTGTATCCTTAAGTATTTATCTCTGGTACTTATTAGCGTAGAATCATCAAACTCTGATAGTTGATGCATCTTTGGTCCTCGGAGAATGTCAACCATAAGAAGGTCACAGTGACCTACTTTAATATTTGAGGTACTTATTGGCTTAGAACCATCAATCTTTGTCAATTAATGCATCTTGAGTCCTTAGAGTAAGAGGCTTCAAATAGAAGTGATAGATTGTACAATTTATCAGAAGAGCGATTCAAGGCCCTTGGGCCTCTTGTTAATCATGCAAGATCCTAATCTTTGAATATCCTGTATTTGTGTAGTATTGGTGATGTGTGGATGAGAGCTCTGTTAGAAGAGACAGCTATATTTACATTGTGTGGTGAATCTTGCTACATCCAAGTTACAGGTAAGCTAGAAGCTGTGATCAAAACTAGTCTTAAAAAACAATGTTGATGACAGACAAAGAAATATAGTTGACAGTCACATTTTATCTTTAAACCAATGAAAGTGTGAAACATCAACAGAACAACCATTTTAAATTGAGTGCAATATCAGTTGCAAGCTTCCATTCCATGCTTCCCATTTATCCCACAGGTATTCCAATATTTGTCAAAGTAAAGTCTACAGGTGGAATTTCAGTGTCCAAGGGCACAAAGCGAAGAAATAAGTTTGCTATGAAAGTTCGAAAGAGTAAGAAACTAAATGGATTTTTGCAAGAGTTATCATATTTTCAACAAAATTAAAAGAAGTTTGATGGCTTAGATTTTGGGCCTGTACAGTGGTTCTTAAGTAAAAAAAAAATATACATACATGAATTTTTATAAATTACAGGTGTAACAGTATAAATGTAAATAAATTTGTTTTGATAGGCAGTCTGAAAAAATCAAAGAAATCAAAATTATCACATCATCAACCCCAAGCTCATGAACAAACCGAGAGGAAACAGAGCAGAAAAAGAAAGAGGACTGAAGACTCTGAACTTCCTAAACCAAAGAAAGTGAAACTGCAAAAATTTGTCAATCCAACAGTAGAGGGACCTAGAAATGTAGAGCAGTCTCAGAGTTTTAACCCATACAAGTATGTATACATGCCTTTATAGAGAGATTACAAATTTCTTACAAAGAGACTACAAATTTCTTACAAAGAGACAGATACATGTCATACACTGACCACTGATTCCCCTGCCTTACAGATACCATTTGTACATGACTCAGTCCTATTTGTACTCGGCAGACCACAGAGAAAAATACCCAGCAGCTCGTAAGTTGGTATTAATGCTTTTGTTCATTGCTAAGAGAAAGATACAAACAGTAAAACTACATTTAGGTTTAAAAAAAAAATACAAAGAACTCACTTTTTATAATCTCAGTTACAAGTATTCTTTTAGGAATCCCATCAAATTGTTTTCATGTTGATATAAAAGATCTTGGTGTAAAGAAAGCAAAATTTGAGGTCTCAGTATCTTCACTAACTGTAACCAAGTTTTAATGTATTTTTCCTGTAAATGTTTTCTCCACTATGTTTGAATAAGTTGTCAAACAGAGCTGTATATGAATGTGTTTCTCTTTGATTTCTACCAAAGATCCTCTGTCAGGTCCTAATCCATGTCTATATAAGGAGATTTTCACACTGGATGTCAGGGATGATCCTAGAGTATCAGTTCTCAATTGTAATGATCAGACGGCCCTGAAATCTAAAGACATTCCATTTCTTCCATCTTTAGAGGAACTACTTGGAAAATTACATGAAAACCACAAGTAAGTGAAAGTTATCTTGTATTAAGTCTAAATGCAATGATTCCCGACATTTTATATAAAGTATATGGCATGATGTAGTAGTATATTCATTCCATACTTTTTTAGAAGCTGTAAATATTTAGCCTTCCTGCACACTTGCTGTCCAGTTTCCTCATCCAGAAAGAGAGTCCATAGATTGGGGAGAAGAAACCGAAGCACCCCCACCCATGTTCTCCTCCAAGATTATGTTCCTCCTCAAAAGGTTAGCAGCTGCTTTACTGGATTAACTAGACAGTTAAACATGCTCATAGCAATCAGGCATATAATGAATTGATGTCTATAGCAAAATTTTCTTTTCCCATGACTTTGAAGTATATAGTAAATTTAAAAGACAAAACAAATTAGGTTTATATTGAAGTAAAATAGTTGGTCCCTGGCTCTTCATTAAGACCGCGGAAAATTGACTGGCAAAATTGGAAATATACAGCTTACGTCATTTCTATCTGTTACAATCAAAACGTTCAGTGATAAACAATGTAATGGGCGGGTACAATTTGACGCGGACGTGGGGAAAACATCGGATTGAAATTGCAGATTGAAATTCATTTTCAATCCACCTGAACTGTTTTCAAAGCTAAGAGTGAATATATGATCCAAAAATCAACTAATTTCAACTCCCGAATACCTATTGTTTGAAGTTCACATTAATACGAGTTTTCGCTTATAATTTTAAGGGCGCGAAAGATCATAGAAGACAAAGATTATTTTTTCAGGATATACTTGATAAGAAGGGGGGGGGGTTAAAAAATTGTCGAGTCAGGTCATGACTTAACTTGACAAAGTTTGTTTCTAGGATTATAAGAGTGCATGAGTTTTAAAGTTATTCTCACTGAAAAATGTTGGACAACTTTATTTAAAATTGTTAAGCCCCCCTCCCCTAACACAAACATGTATTTACCAAACAGAAATGAAATATTTGTCCCTTAATATTTATTTAAAACACTGGACCAAAAAATTCAAACTGTACCAAAATTGAAATTATTTGTCTTCAGTCAGTAACACTGTGGCTTCTAGCGTAGCTGAGGTGGATTGAAAATGAATTTCGAACTGCAAGTTCAATCCGATGTTTTCCCCACGTCCGCGTCGAATATTGTACCCACCCATTACATTGTCTATCACTGAATGTTTTGATTGTAACAGACAGAAATGACGTAAGCTGTATATTTCCAATTTTGCCAGTTAATCTTCCGTGGTCTTATATGCTTTTTTTTTTTTTTTTTTACAATACATTGATATACAGTCAATTCTCGAATTATCGCCATTCGATTCATCGCCATTTTCGCAATACCGCCATGATTTCCCAAGAACGTTTTTCCTGCTATATAAAATTCTCTTTATAACGCCAAATTCGCATACCGCCATCCGCCACCCTGTTTTCACAACAAACGTCCATTTTTAAGTGTCAATCATCTCGATAATACCGCCACAGGTGCATGTGGTCAGTGAAGCGCGGCTAATTGGTTGACGCTATCCCTGTTGTAAAGCATGCAAAGCCAGTCAAGGTGCAATTAAGTAAATTAATTAAACAATAATTTCAACATGAACTGTTAGAACAATTTTGTTTTCTGTTTAATAAAATCATTTATAAATCAACACTTCGCCACGAAAGCGGTCGTTGCAAAGTACGCCGATAACGATAAATATTTTGATGATCTCTGCTTTTAAAAACAATGCAAAGTTTGCTTAAAAATTAATTATAAGTCAGAAATTGTGAACGTTTCATTAACTATGATTTCATAAACAATTAATTTATTCAAGAACTTATTTTGCGTACTATAGGCAATATATCACGACGATCGACCAAGCATTTTTTTTTTCAATATCAAACGTGCAGATTTACATGCATACACATGTACTTGTCTTAATTTCATAACTGAATATTTTGTTTTAGCAAAATTGTACATTAAAAAATTACTTGAAGTATTTTCAAATATAGAAATATGTTTATATATACATGTACATGTGATAATAAGAAAAGAAACGCTAAATGGTATTTCTAAGAACGATAACTCTATGTCTTATTTCCTAAAAGATGGAAAATTCAATTCATCGCCAAATTCGTTATACCGCCATGATTTCTAAATTACAAAAGGTGGCGGTTTATCGAGAATTAACTGTATATAAAATCTGTTTTACACTTGATTCAATTCAATTTATTCACTCAAAACCATGTAAATGGTACATGAGGTACAAAAACATATAAAACATATATACATATAATACAGTGGGTCAAGGAGAAGTTTTACAACCAAAATAAATAAATGACAGGATTGATTTTATGCACATATCTTATATTGAAGTATTTTGTATGTTGAATAGGTGTACATCTTTTTGAGGAAAGTTTTCATCACAGTTATTCCTGAGGAGCTTCTTGGCTGCAAAGAGAACAGGAACTGTTTCTTAAAATGTAATGTCTGAGTTCACTCTTCTGAGCTCACAATGGATATGATTCTCATTAAGAAACTGCTTTCAATGTGTAATCTTTACCTCATCACCTTTTTCAAGAATCAATTTATTGATTAATGTTCATATGAAACAATTGACAACATTTCTTTTTATTTACAGCTGTAAAGAAATTAATATACCTAGGAAGATATGAGAAAATTTGTCTTGGTGAGATCATGAAAGGAATAAAGGTAAAAATTAAAAAAATATATATACATGTAGATATCACTCCTTTAGCTTTAAAATGAACTTGATTTCTTCTTATTTTAAAAATTTCTGCTTATAATTTCTAATTTCCTTGTTGGAATATATGGTGTTGTGTAGCTTTTTAGATTATTGACTTTGTTGTCCCCCGCTTTCGCGAAAGCGAGGGGACATTAAATCTCATTCGTCTGTCCTCGGTCATCACTATCTTGTTAAGGTCGGTCCGTCAGATTTGTCCGTCCGTCACAAAAACTTTAACCTTGCCCATAACTTTTGATTTAGTGGAGCTATAATTTTCATATTTCATATGTGTATTCCTTGTTATAAGACCTTTCTTTGGGTACCACCAAATTTGACCTTTTGACCTTGACCTTGGAGTTTCAACTACTTTTACTAAAAAATTCCAAACTTTTACTTTGGCCATAACTTTTGAATGGTAGGTACTAGGACTTTCATATTTCACATATTTATTCTTTGTGACAAGACCTTTCAATGAATACCAACAACTTTGACCTTTTGACCTTGACCTTGGAAATTTACGAACTTATGAAAAAACTATATTCTTGACCATAATTTTTGAACGGTAAGGGCTACGGCTTTTATACTTCACATATTTTATTCTTGTAAGAAGACCTTTCATTGGATACCAAGAACTTTGACCTTTTGACCTTGACCTTGGAGTTTTAACTACTTTTTAAAAATTATAACCTTGGTCACAACTTTTGAACGTTAGATACAAGGACTTTTATATTTCACACATTTATTTTTTGAGGCAACACCTTTCATTGGATACCAACAACTTTGACCTTTTGACCTTGACCTTGGAGATTTACGTACTTCTGAAAAAACTTTAACCTTGACCATAACTTTTAAACGGTAAGGGTTAGGGCTTTCGTACTTCACGTATGTAATCTTTGTGAGAAGACCTTTCATTGCATGCCAAGAACTTTGACCCTTTGACCTTGACCTTGGAGTTTTAACTACTTTTTAAAAACGTTAACCTTGGTCACAACTTTTTTTTACTTTTCCTCACAGACAAAGTCAATTCCCTGGTTACCTAGGGATTCTCCACACTGCTTGAAGCTTAATTTAGTGTCTACTCTGGTGTACTGGTTGATGAATAATTTCATCACTACTCTTGTTAAGGTGAGGGTGTCAGAGGTTGAATTTTTCTCTAAAGAAAATATATTTTTTATATCCTTATGTCAGGACTCCCATTTTTGTCTCCCTTTCTTTGAGGGAAAGGGACTGGAATGGTTGCATGTGTCAAAGTAATCAGCCCTGATTCTTATAATTGCAGGATTTTTTTTATGTAACTGAAACTGCTGTGTACAGAAATCAGCTGTTCTTCTACAGAAAGAAAGTATGGTCCAAGTTACACAACAATGGCATTCAAGGTAAATATTTACAACACTAACACAAGCAATGGAAACAAGATTTGAATGTGAAAAGTTTTTTATGCCCCCCTTCAAAGAAGGGAGGGCATATTGCTTTGCTGCTGTCTGTCGGTCAGTCTGTCGGTCTGTCGGTCCACTTAGTTTCCGTTCATTTTCTTCGCAACCGTTGCACATACTGAAATGAAATTTGGTATACAGATATATCACATGAATATCTAGGTCAAGTTCTGTTTCGGGTATGATCGCGCCATTTTTAGCTCACCTCAACGAAGTTGGGGGGAGCTTATGTGATACCCTCGGCGTCGGTGTCGGCGTCGGCGTCCCAGGTTAAGGTTAAGTTTTTTGGAGCAGTTTTCTTTTTAATTACTTCTGTGTCCTATACTGATTAGACATGCATGGAAGATGGTTTTAGTGTGTTTTATTGTACCAGACAAAGTTTCAGATGCTGCAATTTCAGCAAAGGAATTACCAGGTTAATGTTTTTGGAGCAGGTTAACATTTTTGGTGCAGTTTTTGGTGTGGGTTTCATTTCCAAGTAACTATAAGCCCTATGTTGACCAAACTTGCATGGATGATACATCTAAGGATGCATACTACCGGGCTTGCTTTGGATGCTGAATCTGACCTACATTTTCCGGTTGAGTGAACAGGTTAAAGTTTTTGGTTTAGGTTTCATTTCCAAGTAACTATAAGCCCTATGTTGACCAAACTTGCATGGATGATACATCTAAGGATGCATACTATCGGGCTTGCTTCGGATGCTGAATCTGACCTACATTTTCCGGTTGAGTGAACAGGTTAAAGTTTTTGGTTTAGGTTTCATTTCCAAGTAACTATAAGCCCCATGTTGACCAAACTTGCATGGATGATACATCTAAGGATGCACACTACCAGGATTGCTTCGGATCCTGAATCTGACCTACATTTTCCGGTTGAGTGAACAGGTTAAAGTTTTTGGTTTAGGTTTCATTTCCAAGTAACTATAAGCCCTATGTTGACCAAACTTGCATGGATGATACATCTAAGGATGCAAACTTCTTTAAAAATCCGGGCTTGCTTCGGATGCTGAATCTGACCTACATTTTCTGGTTGAGTGAACAGGTTAAAGTTTTTGGTTTAGGTTTCGTTTCCAAGTAACTATAAGCCCTATGTTGACCAATCTTGCATGGATGATACATCTAAGGATGCATACTACTGGGCTTGCTTCGGATGCTGAATCTGACCTACATTTTCCAGTTGAGCGAACAGGTTAATGTTTTTGGTGCAGGTTTCATTTCCAAGTAACTATAAGCCCTATGTTGACCAAACTTGCATGGATGATACATCTAAGGATGCACACTACCAGGATTGCTTCGGATCCTGAATCTGACCTACATTTTCCGGTTGAGTGAATAGTTAAAAGTTTTTGGTGCAGGTTTCATTTCCAAGGAACTATGAGTTCTTTAATGACCAATCTTGCATAGATGATACATCTAAGGATGCATACTTCCAGGCTTGCTTCGGATGCTGAATCTGACCTACTTTTTGTGGATGAGTGAAAATGTTAGTTTTGATGCATGTTTCATTTCCAATAAACTATAAGCCCTATAATGAGCAAACTTGCATGGATGATACATCTAAGGATGCACACTAATGGACTTGCTTCGGATGCTGAATTGGACATACATTTTTCAGATAATAGACAAGGTAAAAGTTATGGTTGCAGGTCTGTTACCAAAAACTATAAGGCTTATATAACATTGTATAAACCAAACTTGCACAAATGCTGCATCAAGAGATGAAAACTCTCAAATTTGCTTCAGATGCTGGACTTTCATTACATTTTCATGAAGAAGAAGTAGTTTAAATTTTTTATGTAGGTCTATTTCAAAGTATCAGATCAAAATTGCTTTTAAAAATATTTTCATTTTTGTTGGTTAATTGTGTGACTTTGCCTTACTTAAAGACAACATTCGTTGAGGTGAGCTCTGTAATCTCTGATTACCTATGTTTGACAGAGTTATGCCGCTTGGACTTAGAAAAATTCCAATTATTTGCAGTTTCCTTTCATTTTCTTTACAACAGTTGCACATTCTTAAATGAAATTTAGTATACAGATATATCACATGAATATCTAGGTCAAGTTCTGGTTTGGGTACGTTCGCGCCATTTTTGACAGAGTTATGCCCCTTGGACTTAGAAAAATTCCAATTATTTGCAGTTTCCGTTCATTTTCTTCACAACTGTTGCACATACTGAGATGAAATTTAGTATACAGATATATCACATGAATATCTAGGACAAGTTCTGGTTTGGGTACGATCGCACCATTTTTGACAGAGTTATGCCCCTTGGACTTAGAAAAATTCCAATTATTTGCAGTTTTCCGTTCATTTTCTTTGCAACCGTTGCACATACTGAGATGAAATTTAGTATACAGATTTATCAGATGAATATCTAGGTCAAATTCTGTTTTGGGTACAATTGTGCCATTTTTGACAGAGTTTTGCCCCTTGGACTTGGAAAAATTCCAATTTGGGGGGAGGGGGGCATAAGTGTTTTACAAACATCTCTTGTTTTATGTTGTAAAATATGACATATTTTTAAAATCTTGTAGATCTGAAGAGAAGAGGAATACTGTCTAGCATCAAAAAGGTAGTGTTCCATTTCTATGACACCGTCATTTTATTTACAAATGTAGGTTCATTTTGGTTGTTTCTCTTCTTCTTTCATTTCTTATGAAGTGGTGATATTAAATGTTCTTGAGGAGAAAAAAATGGATATTTGTGCTCAAAAAAAATCAAATTCTGTTTCTTGTTTAAGACTGAAGTTACATCAGCGTTACAGAGAGGTGATTGTCTGGGGGAGGCAACTATCAGATTTCTACCCAAACTGAGGTCACTTCGTCCTATTGCCAATCTAGGCAGACAACCCCCAGCCATTGCTAAATCTGTAAGCTATGTCCAATAATGAGTCCCCAATCTCTAGCTGTTTTTGATGTCTTGACTGAATAAATTGAGTATTTCTTAACATAAGAGAGATAATAAGAGATCTTTCTTTGAGCCCCAATCTCTACCTGTTTTTGATGTTTGATGTCTCAACTGATTAAATTGACTATTTCTTAACATAAGAGAGATGATAAGAGATCTTTCTTTGAGCCCCAATCTCTACCTGTTTTTGATGTTTGATGTCTCAACTGATTAAATTGACTATTTCTTAACATAAGAGAGATAATAAGAGATCTTTCTTTGAGATTTCATGTGCAGTGAAACAAGTTGATAAAACCCTTTTTTTTTAATTTCCAGACTTTACCAATTAACAAGCAGCTTATGAATGTATTGACTGTCCTTTCTTATCTCTCAGTGAGTATTTTATTAAGTTGACAAATCAGTTATAAACCAGAATCATAACTAGTTTCAAATCAGGAATGTAAATCAAAATACGGCTGTGATGTTAGTTGTCTTCTATTGAAAAATCTAGAATGCAGGTTTTCTGATCAGTAGATAAATTCTAAATAAATCCTGTGTGGTACTTGATAACTTGTTTCCCTTTTCAGTCGTGTGATCCGTCCAGTATAGGATCAGCTACATTTGGAACAGATGACATTTTCTCTGCCTGGAAATATTATGTTATGGACTGGAAAAGGAATTCAAACAGGTTAAATTGCATGATTTATTCATTTTGACTGACCTTGATATCGGAAAGCTTTCTCATAACATTTGTGCTTAATTTTCTAATATAATGCACATAAATAATAAACCAATATTTTTTTTATAGGAGACCATTATATTTTGTCAAAACAGACATCAGTAGTTGCTTTGATGGTATTTCACAAGAAAAACTGCTACACATCTTGGAAAATATGCTTTCAAAGGTAGTATTGAATTCCTGAAGTTTTGTTATGATAAATACCAGTAAAACAAATACTTGTAAATCTGACAAATTTAAGTCTATTTATCATTTTTCTTATCTAGGCTCCAGATGAAGATGTAATCATCAGAAAATTTGTGTCTCATTACGTATCAGATGGGAAAGTTGTGTGCAAGTTTAAGAAGATTGCTGCTGGTTTTGGGGATTATATTCCTGACTTTGAAAAATTTATCAAAAAACTTGTAGAAGACAATAAGCTCAGTAACATGGTGTTTGTGAATCAGGTTTGTAGAATTGTTGTTAAAGATGGAAGCATTCTGATTTGGCTCGACTTTATTAGACCAGATGGCTTGAAATATTTTTGAAAATGGTCATTTTGCAAGTAGATCACCTATAAGCTTTCTGATCACATTTTGTCTGTTGTCTGTAAACTTTTCACATTATCAACTTCACCTGGACCACAGAGTCAATTTCAACCATACTTGCCACAAAGAATCATTGGATAAAGGAGATATTACTAAATATGAAGTTGAGATAATTAAAAATTTGATTGGACCTTTTTAAAATCTTCTGAATAGCCAGTGGGCCGTTAAAAAAGTTGAAACCTTCATTACATTGCGAACTTGAGGTTAGGAATATATTAGTAAATCTGCAGGGCCATATTGACTCAGGTGAGCATTGTGTCCCAATAGGGCCTCCAGTTTTTACATTGTCAATAGAGGTTTTGTTTCTTACCCTTGTTTTGCAGATGATAAACCAACAGATGCATCTAGAAGAGGTCTTTGAAAAGTTGAAGTGTCACATATTGAATAATATTATCAAAGTATGTTTTTAATAGGAATAAAAATCAGTCATTGAATTTTTTTACATATATAATCTGTTATCAGCATATCAGGAAAAACAGAATCTTGTGTCAGGAGAGTTCTTTTTTTACAACTTTTTAAAATGTATAATGTCAGCAAGTATATAAATTTTACTTTACTTCAGAAGATGGAGAGAGTAACGAATCAATCCTTCTATTTACCCATAGATTGGGAGACAGTATTTTAGGCAGACTACAGGGATCAGCCAGGGGTCTGTTCTCTCCACCTTACTGTGTAACATGTATTATGGACACATGGAGAGAACATTTTTGCCCCCACAGGAAGAAGAGCTCCTGATGAGGATGGTAGATGATTCTTTGTTTGTCACGCCCTCTAGACAGAGAGCAGAGATGTTTCTGTGTAAAATGATCCAGGGTAAATGTGCTTAATGTTTATAAAATGCATACCGGTCAGATGTAGCAGAATATTTTGAAACAGCGATACATTGAACCCAGGTTATATATATATTATATGACTCTGGGTATGTGTATGATCATTGACAAAAATGAAATTTTATGAGGTCATTTTAGCACATATGTGAATGAATTTACACATATTTTAAGGTCACCTGAGTAAACTCAGGTGACCTATTGCTATCTGTTTTCGTCTGTCGTCGTGCGTTAACATTTGAACATTTTCAGCTTCTTCTCTGAAACCACTGAACCAATTTCAACCAAATTTGCCATATAGCATCTGTAGGTGAAGGGGAACGAAAATTGTGAATTTCATGGTCCCTGCCCCCCTGGGGCCTGGGGGTGGGGCCAAAACCACTAAAATTAGTGCAATCTTTAAAAATCTTCTTCTTTACACCTGGACAGCAAACAGTCAAACTGTTGGTATGATTGTAATCAGCATTAAGTCTTCTACCAAAATTGTTAAATTCACGGCCCCAGGGTCAGGGGTTCTAGTGCTAGGGTGGGGCTATATAGGTTATATAGTGAAAATGCATTATTTCTTTGAAATTCTTCTTTTCTGCTCCTGGGCATTAAATAAACTAACCAAGTGCATAGTTGAGTTGAAAATGACTGCCTCTTCCAAAATTTTGAATTTAATGACCCCAGGGTCAGGGGTTCTAGTGCTATGGTGGGGCCATATAGATTATTATAGTGATATTGCAATAATTCTTTGATATTCTTCTTTTCTGTTTGCGGGCATTAAATAAACTAACCAAGTACATAGTTATGTTGAATAAGACTGCCTCTTCTAAAATTGTGAATCTAATGGCCCCAGGGTCAGGGGTTCTAATGGCAGGGCGGGCTATTTAGATTATATAGGTAAAATGCATTATTTCTTTGAAATTCTTCTTTTCTGCTCCTGGGCATTAAATAAACTAAGTACATAGTTATGATGAGTAAGAGTGACTCTTCCACAATTGTGAATTTTATGGCCCCAGGGTCAGGGGTCCTGGTGTTAGGGTGGGGCTCTATTGTTTATATAGTGAAAATGCATAAACTCTTTAAAAATCTTTTTTTCTGCACCTGGGTATTATACCAATGAACTATGTACATAGTTATGAGGAGGAAGGGTGCCTCTTTGAGATTTGTGAATTTCAGGGCCCCGGGGTCAGGGCTTCTTGTGTTAGGGTGGGGCTTTAATGTTTATATAGTGAAAATGCATAAATTCTTTGAAAATCTTTTCCTTTGATCCTGGGTATTATGGCAATGATCTTAGTATATATTTATGACAAGGAACGCTGCTCTTTCCAAAAATGCTTAATTTCCTGGCCCCTAGGATAGAGGTACTTGAGTGGGGGGGGGGGACTGAAAATGATTTAATGCTTTGAAATCTGCAGTTTGGTATTAATCAAAAACATGATGAAATAAAATTTATAAAATTTCCAAAATTTTGAAAGATGTGGCCCCAGGGTCAGTGGTTCCTGTGGGATGGGGTGCACAACTGATATGATAAAGTGGAAATGCATTTTCTCTTTGTTACTGTGATCTACAGGAACAACCTCTGGGTATTACTAACCAAAGTAAGTATGCTGAGTGCATAATAATGATAAGCAATGGTGCTTCTTTCAAAATGGTGAATTTCATGGCTTCTGGATTAAAACATGAATCAAATTCAGTTGTTGGAAAGTTGTTGCATGATACTCAGGTGACCTATAAGGCCCATGGGCCTCTTGTTAAAACAAAATTTTATATTGCTTCATTTAGGAAACTCTGAGTACAATTTTTCCATCAACACTGACAAGATTTTAGTCAACTTTGCTTATGATCACGAATCTTGTGGCATTATGAAAAGGAATGTTGGAGGTACATAGCTTTTCTAAATCAGGAATGAGGATTAGTAAAACTGATAGCTCTTTGTTAAAAATTTGACTGTTTTACTAGGCTACATGATTATAGAAATGAAACCATCGGCACATGAGTCACAGTATAGATCAATCAATAAAGAAATGATTCAAAATTAAAAATAATAGTTTTCCATCAATAACATGTACACAACTGTGCTTGCCCCCAACAGCAACACTGCAGTATCAACATGTTAACTTTCTAATGTGTGTATTCTTAGTTTGTTTAATCAAAGAAATTTTTAGATTGGTTTCCATGGTGTGGATTGTTGTTTAACACAGCAACACTTGAAGTTGGAAATGATCTCACCAGATATGAAGGAACAAGTATGTTTTATTGTCATCTGTGATATTGTTTTGTTACTTGAAATGCTCAATGCATAGGAATAGTTTCCAACTTTTTGTCTCCATCTTTGGGTAATACCATATGTTAAAACTATTGAAGAAGAGTGTAAATTTTTTCTCATAAACCACTAATCTTGTTTTTTTTTAGTCTTTTACGTCATTTTCTCAGAAAATCATAAAGTCAAAGGATTTTTTTGCATACAGAGATTTACTTTAATACAATAAATGTCTACCTCTAAATACATGTAGGTTGAAATAAATTGACACAAGTTTAACCGCTTTCTTTAAAAGCTATGTATTTTAATAGGAATGAGATACACAATGACAGTTGATGTTTCTACCTCCCCAGGCCTTACAATGAAAAGAAAATTATTGATGTAAGGATTCAAATTCAGCTTTTTCATTGTTTTTTTTTTTTTTTTGGAATAAAAAGAAAATTTCAAAGAATTATTCACAAAATATAACATACAATTTAGTATTTCAAAAAAGGAGTTATTCTTTTCAGTCTCCTGTATAAAGATTGTAAACATATTAAAATGGATTAAACTTTCTTCTTCTTTAGGTCCCTACGACCAAAATGCCATGCAATTTTCCTTGATACTGAGGTAACTTTGTACGTTTTATAATTACATTACATGATCTTCTTTATACATGTACAGCGTACAAAAATCAATCCCCTTAATGCATGACCTGCTCCTCATCTTGTTAGAGCTTGTTATTAACATATGTAGGCCACATATTGAATCCTTGACATGTATGAAATTATCAAAGGCAAATATGCAGCAAAAAAATAACTTTTCCAAAAGCCTTACAAAATAATATGAATGAGTTAGATTTTAGTTTTGTGATGTATTTTGTAGTTGAACTCCTTAGAGGTGTGCCTGTCTAACATATACAGACTCTTGTTGCTGACGGCCTTTAAGTTCCATTGTTATTCTTCATGTCTGCCAGAGAAACAAAGAGTCCATGATAATCCAGGCTTCTTTCATGGTGGGTGTTGTTTATTGAATAAGAATCAGTAACTATCTGTTTTATGACCGTTAAATCAGCATTAATGGTTGCAAACTGAGTTTTACCGACGACGCGGAGCCGGTAAAACTGATGTTTGCTACCATTAAATCAGTATTAACGGTTGTAAATACCAAATTAGAGGATTAGTTATTCCCATTCTAATGCAATCCATGCATTTTGTTTGTTGTTTACGTCTTATTATACGCCCCGATCAATAGATCCGGGCCGTATATTGTTTTTGTCCTGTCTGTCTGTTTGTCTGCAAACTTTAACCTTCGCAATAACTTTTGAACCATGAAAGATAGAGACTTCATACTTGATATGCATACTCCACTAATGAAGCTCTTTCAAATGACACCAAAGTCAATGACCTTTTGACCTTGACTGTGACCTATATGCCAAAAATAGCTTTTTTCTGCAAACTTGAACCTTCTCCATAACTTTTGAACCATGAAAGATATAAACTTCATATTTGGTGTGCATACTCCTCTAATCAAGTTCTTTCAAATGACACCAAGGTCAACGACCTTGTGACCTTGACTGTCACCTATGTACTATAAATAGCTTTTTCGAATTTTGTTGCCGTTGGGCGCATAGTGTTTCACAAACACATCTTGTTTTGTTGCATGAAAAATGTCACAAGGCATTGTGTTTTTGCGTCGCTCTATTATGACGTCAATGAAAAGCTTTTTCACTCGTTAATGCTCGTTTTACTCTTCAAACATCAGTGCATTAGCCAATCAAAACGTGTTTTACAAAACATTTGCATTATAATATAATTTGTTAGTCTTTAATAATAATAATTTTTTCTCTTTCATTATTTTTTTCCAGCCCTGATCAATGATATAGGTTCCTATCTCTGTTCTCAGGCAGCCATGCAATGTACAAGAAAGGTTTGTTAAAAATTGACATTACTTATAACAAATAGGGGCATAACTAAAAATATTGTGGAAAGTGAACAACTTATTGTAAAGTCATATCTTAAAATAATAATATAAATCATGATCTTAAAATTTGTTTAACATCGTTGACTTTTCTTACACAGTTTGGAGACAGATTTGTTTTTGAAGTTCCTAAAGGAGTAGTGGAATGGTGAATATTTTTTATGCCCGCATAGTATAAAATTGTATATTTTCAAGGGGTCAAATTTTTGTGGTTTGAGAAAAATATATTGGTTCATGGGGATTTGATTTTGTCGTTGAAGAATTTATCTGTAATAAAATATGTGAAAACTTTCATTTCGTGGTGGACATAAATTAGTGGTCTCTTCATACCTTGAAAACCACAAAAAATTAAACCCCCTCGAAAATTTGTGATTTGTGTATATTCAAAGATTCTAGCTTTTTAGTCTGTTTGTTTGTCTTCAAAACCTTAAACATTCTGTCTAATGGTTGGTGCCAGGACTTAATATTTCACGTGTGAATTCCTTGTGACAGGAACTTTCTTTTTGAACCATTGTTTTTGATCAATTAATCTGGGAGTTTAAACTACTTTTTAATATTGTTGAATATTGGCCCTTAGGTGCTGTATGTTTCTCAAACACATCTCCCTTTTTCAAGTTTATCACTAAAAATAATAAATGTATTAAAAGTAATAAAAAATAAATTATAAATAATTGGAAGTAATAATACACACATGCAGTATTACTAATAAAGATTTTTTTTTAATTATTGATCTAGATCTATCTGTAACCTTTATTGTCAGCAAATGTTTTCCATTGAAGGTTATGTTGGTATGCGTTTTTGATAAAGATGAAATGTCACTCATTGAGCTACAAGGAACTGATTCAAATGATAAGCCAGTCTGTGAAGCAAAAGGAAAAACTTCTTCATGCAGAGGTACAGTTTTTTTGGTGTTATGATTTTGACCAAGTTTGAGTAATGAAAACTGTATTTATGGATACCTACTACATTACAAGTGTTCATTAAGATTTCTATTTTTAGGATAAGCATGCCTCTGTTACTCTTAGAAGATTGTGTAGACAAATTCCTGTGGAGCTGGAGAAATTGAAAAATTAAAACTGAGACATTAATACATTGTAATAACAGATGATAAGTCCTTGTGGGTGGAAGACTGCACAGTATTACACTATAGTTATAAGAACAATTCTGGTAATTATTTTCTGTTTTATGTGCACCCATTAAAAAGGCATTTGCATGTACTTAATTTGTGACAAGAATAACATTTAAAAATTGTTAAATTAGACAGATAAAAAAAATTTTGGTCAAGTACACATTGTTTAAAAAAAACACTCTAGTTATAGTATTTAAGGTTCTATTGGAGACATTTAAGGACAGTTACCGGTGTTTGTCTGGTGAACCCATATGTATATTATGTGTACATGTATAAATAGATACAGGATGTCTTGAAGTAAACATGTAGAAAAAAAAACAGTTTCTGGTTCTTTGATAATGATTCAGAAAGACAGTACGCTACAGTAAAATACATTTATTAAAAAAAATGTCAGAAACTAATGATTTCTCTTCATTATAAGCAAAATTTGTTTTATCTGTTAAGTTTACAATATACATACCAGTATTTCAAAGCCATGGGGAATCAGAATCACTTGGCTGTTAGGGTCAATTCATTAATTATAAGCGTGTTTGCTATAACTGTGTTTTACAGTATGCTGGAACTTAAAAGACTTCTTTTTTTTTTACTCTTTTGAGCCTCAAAACATCCTTGGGTGAAGGAAATTCAAGTTAACATGAAAAGCTGCTGTGGTTGAAAGTATTTCAATTTGTTCTGTGCTGCATTTTATTTCTGGAGTTTTTCATTGCATTTCTGACAATTTTTATTTTTATTTCTGACATTTTTAATTTTCTTTTATTTTCATTTTGAACATTTTTGAAAATTTTTTAGGGTACCATTTTAGCAATTTACTGTTTACAAATGTAGGTGGGAATTAAGCTTTATTAACAGGAGATTGATATAACACTTATTTCAAACCACATTTTCCAAATAAAATTGTTACAATGCACTATATGTAAAAGGTAAATGAATGTTTTTCATGAGTAGAATGAGCATGCATTTTTTGTTCACCAAATTCAATGTCCTCAGAAGTGTATGTCATTGTCTACACTGAACTTATGAATAGCAAATATATCAAACTATTTATTCATATATTCTTAAAAGTACACTTTGATATATGTCAGAGCTAGAAATAAATATATCATGAAATTTTGAGAAAAAAAAATTTTTATTTGAAAAATTCTCTGGAAATGAATATGTAGCCCTCTCCGATTTTTTATCTGATATTTTCCCTCCCCCCCCCCCCCCCCCCAGAGAGAAAAACCGAAGAAATCAAGTTTAGTGTAAATATTAAAAAATAATTTATAATCACAATAATCTATTGACATTTATACTTTCGAAAAAAAATTAAATCAAATTTCTTATCACACATGAAAAGGATGGGAAACTCGTGTTTACAAATTGATTAACGATAAATTCGATCGGGATCGAAATTCAAATAATAATCACAATATTGGGAGAATTTGATTTGTATACAACCCAAAACAAAGAAAAAACTAAATTTTACGACAACAATTTGTAAGGTAACCAAGAAATTGAATATTTCATTAAATTTATAGTCCATTTACTCAATTGAAGTCTTTGTTGAAGTAATACATATGATATTTTGTAGTTTATTGTTTATTATATATATGACCTAGTTTATTTTGAGAAAATGAAAATATGCTTTAAGTCAAACATTAAATTAACAACTACTTCAGTATTTATGTCAGAGAGTGAATTGTACCAAGCGATTTTCTTTACAGTTCAATTTAAATGAAGATATTTTAGCTCTAACTTTTGTGCCGGTTTAAAATTCTGTTTCAGATCTAGATGGAATACATTTGGGAGATTTTGTATTTTCAAGTCCATGTTCTACTTTTCGGTATTTTATTGCATGTTTGCACATTTGTTTCTTTTAAAAGCTGGATGCTTTAAGCTTAAGACATTCAATGCATTGCAATTTTTGTTCTTGTTTTTACACAGCCATGGATCATCTAGCGATAAAACTGTCAAAATCCCTCTGATTCATTAAAAAATTTTGCTGAATGAAATTGAATAAATATTTAAAATTTATACATAAACAATTATATGTAACATGTTTATTTTAAGAACTTTATTTGAAACATATTGCTCTCAGAAAGAAGGACGACTCTATGCATGTTTCATTGACTTTAGAAAAGCATTTGACACAGTAATACATGAAGGCATCAAAATTAAACTGCTAGAAATTGGTGTTGGATCTAAATTTTACAATGTAATTAAGAGTATGTACAATTGTATAGATCATGCATTAAGTTGAACAATCGGGCGCCATTTCAAGTCACTGAGACTTTCCCTATTAAGTTAGGAGTTAAACAGGGAGACAATTTAAGTCCAAATTTATTCAAAATTTTTATCAATAATCTTCCAGAATACTTCAATAATATAACTGATGATAATATTCAGTTACACGATAAATTACTTCATTGTCTAATGTATGCAGATGATATAGTTTTATTGTCCAAGTCATCAAAAGGACTTCAACAAAAACTTAATTGTCTTGATAAGTTCTGTACTGACTGGTGCCTTGATGTAAATGTTTCAAAAACCAAAGTATTAATCTTTAATAAAGCAGGTAGACACTTGAAAGAAAACTTCACACTAAACAAAGAACCTCTTGAATGTGTTACTTCTTATAAATACTTGGGCATACATTTCACTGCATCTGGAAGTTTTACACTTGCTCAGGATGAACTTTACAAAAAAGCTTCAAAGGCATTTTTTAAATTACAAAAAAATTTCCTATCATTGAACCCTAAAATAAACACAGCTTTACATGTATATGATCATACAATAAAACCCATATTACTTTACGGTAGTGAAATTTGGGGGGCCTTTAACACTACTACATCACGATTTAGAAATGGACCCATTGCACTGGATGAATTATTTTCTAAGTCACTTTGTGAGAAATTACATTACAAGTTTTGTAGATTTTTATTAGGTGTAAATAACAAAAGTACAAAATTTGCAGTCCTTTCAGAACTAGGTAGACACCCTATGAGTTTCAGTATTGTTCAGAATATATTGAAATACTGGCATAGGTTAGAGAATTTGGATGACACATATCCTCTATTAAAAGCTGCGTATACTACCTCGTTATCCAATTTCAATAAAAACAATTTATCATGGTTTGGTTCTATTGATATGTTTAAACAACTTCTTCCTCAGTTAACACCTCATCTGAAATCATCTACATCAACATTTAAATATCATTGTGAATGCATTCTAAATTCATATTTTCTTGAAAAATGGTATCAAAAGAAGGAAGAATTAAGTAATTGTGGGAAATTGGACACCTATTGCACAATTAAACAGAACTTTGGGCTAGAACCTTATTTATTAATTTTAAGAAAGTTTGAAAAAAGAAAGATTCTAACAAAATTTAGAATATCTTCTCACAATCTGATGATTGAAAAAGGTAGACATTACGGTATTCCAAGAGAAGAGAGAATATGCCCCAATTGTAAAATAGAAGAGATAGAAGATGAAGTACATTTTCTTTTAAGTTGTCCATGCCATAGTCAATCAAGAATAAATTTACTATCCATGATATCTATGAGGTGTCATCTTTTTAATAGCTTGTCAAAAAATAACCAATTTTTATGGTTAATGAACTGTGAAGATGTTGATGTGCTGTTCAAATTGTGTGAATTCATAAGTCATGTATAGTTCGACAAATTCAAAATCATTTGAAGTACCTTGGTTGGATAATTATGCTACACTATGTAAAGGTGTTGTTGATATTTGTGTTGTATTATATACTCTACATTGGACAGAAGTGGATAACTTTAATACATGTATAATAACAATATACTATCCTTCAGCACTGACTCTTGCTGTCCATTGTAGTTTAGTTTAATTAACACATGTGTCAATGTACAATTTGTTTATATAATATATGTTTATCTCCATAAATTTTATGTCTGTTTATTCTACATGAGGCAGAAGTGGAATTCTGTATATCCTTTAGCACCGACTCTTGCTGCCTCCTGTTGATGTTTCAAACATAGTTTTATGCATTTTGATATGTATATATTTACATATATATGTATATCATGAATAATACTTATGCACACTTTTTTTTGTACAACAAACCATCATGTATGTCTGTATATGAAACTTAAATTGCCACCAACATATATATCAGTATATATATATACTTAATAGAAGAATTGCTCTTCACCACATGTTGTATTCTGTCTATTACTTTAATATTATGTTTATATGTAATTATATATGTTATATGTTTATGCCTAATGGGCCCTGATTGGTAATAAATTCTATTCTATTCTATTCTATTCTATTCTGTAACATGAACATGCAAAAAAGTACATGACATGCACATTATTCAATTTGTTTGCACAAACTGTTGCAGTTGTGAGACTATATCTTTCAAAAAATAATGTTTCATTAATAGTTCTAAGCAAACACCAAATTTATGCATGTTTATTTATTTGAAAAATATGTTTAGTTTTTATCTGCAAAGTTTTTTTGGTTTCATGTAAATAGCACACTCACCATAAAACTTTTCCTCGAACTTCTCCAACAACCCTCATACATTTATTTTTTTTTCTCTTGCAGCACCGTTGCATCCTTAATAATTTCATCCAGCAAGAGATTAGATATAAACATGGAAGACGTCGTGATATCTGATGATGGAACAGAAGATGAAGAGGACCAGAAGCAAATACAGAGTGGTGACACCAGGAAAAGCGAGAGGAAAAAACGACCTCGTATTTATTATTCTCCTGAACGGACTGACGGCAAAAAGAGACGAAATGTAAAAAGAAATGGGAATAGTGTTACTGGACCAAACAGAAAATGTGATTTGCTACCAAATGGTAAAATGATTTGAATCTACTTGTAAATGATATTAATTACTGTGACATATTTTGAATGGTGTGTCCGGCTGATGCTCAGTGGTGTTAAAGATTTCAAGTATATAATGTGAACTATAACATGAATTATATTTTATTAGGGAATAATAAACAACAAATTTTGATTGATGCTGTACTTAACAAAAGAGAAAAGATGTGTTTTTGCAAAATGTATAAATTTATATGAAAGGAGTCAAAGAACTGTATCTTATTGATTTAGATATATTTACATGATTGTGTACTTTACCAGGGGAACCATTTAGTTGTGGCAGATGTGGCTCTCCATACGTTGTCAACAAGAGAAGTAAGACATCTCTGAAGAACTGTCATTCCAGACACCGCCCACTGCCGCACGAGTCCCTAGATCCCCTCACTGGAAGAAAAATACTGATATGCAATCAGTGCTGTAGGTAGCAGATATGTTTAACCATGACACATAATTTTTGAATTGATAAGGAAATATATTTGAAATGACATTTTTTTAGGAGCAATGAGGATTGATAAACAGCTGTGAAGTTGAACTTGTTTCAATTTAATTTTAACACTAAATGCTATGGAACAAAACAATATCTTATACAATTAAAAATGTTGTGGCTGCATAACTGATTATATCTCAAGTTCATTGGATTTTAGATCTTGTGTTTGTAAAAAAGAAATCAAAGAAAACTTCTTGGGTGAAGAAACCTGAGGCGGCGATAAAAGATGAGTATATAAGGCGGTGTAAAGCCGAGGCCCAGGAGATGGCGAACAGATTGATGAGACCAGAAGGTAGGGGAGGGCTTTATGACTATTGTCAACAATGAGGTTACAAATCTTGGTTATAAATGTTAGTTATTTATGGAGGGATTGCATACATACAGTAAAACTCAGTTATAACTAAGTCCCTGGGACTTATGAAATTACTTTGCTCTATCCATAATTCGTTATATCCATATACAAATATAAGGAATTCCTTAAATTTATATAGCTGGGGATCCAAGGTAACTTTGCTATATCTATGAAATGGCCATTCCCATGTTCTTAGGAATGAGTTTTAGTGCATGTGTTCATTGCTTTTTTAAAAAAATCAGATTTGGTATCTTGAATTTGTTCTCTAAAACTCTGAACATTTGGATTAAGATTGCTATGATGACATATAGATGTGAAGGTGTTGAAAAATTTATATTCGTTTTTGACTATTTTTAGCAAACAGGTTGTTTTGTCCAGAGTATACAAAGGAACCTTGTGGCTGTATTCAGAAGTATATCAAAAATCAAGGTACTATTCTTTACTTCCTGATCTTGAAATTTTTTTTTATTTAACATTGAAAATTGTCAAATATGGGATAAGAATGTAAACAACGGGAAAAAAAGCATTTTACAGAAATATTATATAAAACACAATTCTTTTGCCAGTGATTCTTGATAAAGATGGACATTTAAAAACTGGTGCAGATTGTTGACTTTGCCTTTCAAAAACTTTGTTTTTCTCTGTTTAATTGAGTCGGAAAAAAATCTAATATCTTTTGCATGTATTATACTTGAATTTGATTGTTACATTTTAATCCTTTATACACGTGTACATGTTTATTTGAACTTGCCAATTTAAAAACAATGCACAATACAGAGTAAAATTTTTGAAGAAATAGATTATGATAAGACTTTTCTCACTGACAGGAAACCCAGTACAAGCAGATCTGAGAGCTAAGGAGCTGTGTGATTTACTTCAGAAGGCAACAGAACTCAGTAAACAGAAATGTTATCAGCTTCCAGAACTATGCACTGAAGAGAAACCAGCAAAGAAGAATGCCAGAAAGTAAGAATGCACTTAAGTTCTTTTTAGGGCCCCGCAAGGATTTGCGGGTGCCCTATAGTAATCACTCTGTCTGTCCGTCTGTCCGTCTGTCTCTCTTCCGTCCACAAATTTTCTGTTTTTTTCTAATAACTTTTTTTATGGTTGCCCAATCAAGTTCAAATTTGGTATGGTAGTTCATAGGCAGAAATACATTTTTGATGCTAAGTTTTGTTCTCAATGTCTTCTGGTTTGGAGCTGGGGTGGTGGGGTAGATTCCTTTACTATGCATAAGAATGAATGGGCAACTTTTTTTTTGGTTGCAATCAAGTTCAAATTTGGTATATTAGTTCAGTAGGCAGAAATACATATTTTGATGCTAAGTTTGGTTCTCTATGTCCCCTGGTTTGGAGCTGGGGTGGTGGGGTAGATTTTAACTTTAGAATGCATTGGCAAAGAGAGATAACTGCTGAAGATGTTCCCAAAATGAATGCTGGCTATGAGTCCCTTGGGATTAATTAGGTTTCCTCCTGAAGAAAATCCAGAGCATTATCTTTATCTGTCACATTGAGATGAATTACCACCTTTGTCTGCAAATGAAGTTTGTTTTGAAGTTAAGTCAATTTGGAATGCTATGAACACTGTGAAATGTGGATTTAGGTATAAATTTTTATAATTTATTTTTGTTTAATAGTTATGATTTCATTGAATTCTAAAAACAAGAAATAGATTAAAGAAGATTTTTTGAATTACTTTTTTTACTTTATGTTAATTAATTTTTAAGGTAGTTTTATAAAAACCCCATTCTATCATTAATACTGAAAAAGTTTTATTGTAACTTTAGAAGAAAATGATAAGAGGTACAATTAATCCTTTGGGATCAATTATCTAGCCTTGCAGAAAATTTAGTAGGCTTTTCTTTATCTTTAAGATTAATGAAAACCTTTGTTTGCAACTGCTGTTTGTTTGAAGTTAAGGTCAAGCCTTCATGATATTTGCATTCATTGAAGGCTGGCATTCTATATAACACAAGCTTCATAATTGTTTAATGCATTCAGTGTTAAATTGTTCTTTACTGCCTAATGTAAATACAAGGATATTATTTTCAGGTTTTTGAATATTCAGGAATTTTTAAGAATACAGTTTTAAGAATACAGTTGCTGTTGCTTATTCTTCGTACATTTTTTAATCATTCCGTAAGCTGCACCCTTTTATATTTGCTGACTGGTCAGTTTTCTAGTTTTCTTTTTTTTTTCAAAATCGGTATGCGGTTGTGTGATGCAAAGATAATGGGAAGCTCATTATTATTTAGGCTAAAGTTAACCTTATTTAGGCTAAAGTTAACCATTAAATTATGTATTATATGACATGACAATGTATGTAATGATGTTTTTTGTAAATTTTACATATATGTGTTGTATTTTGTAGAAAAATCTATGTAGGGCTTGGTAATGGGCACAAGAGGTCTCGGGCTTTTGAGGCCTTTGTTCTGGAGAAGCGACAGTACCTGAGGGACGTGATGAAGCTGTGTGAGAGAGGAAGTCAACGAGTTCTCACGTACTCAAATAACTTCCTCCACAAAAGGTTAAAAACAGAGGAGGTAATGTAAACAGTGATCTTTATGAGCAATCATACTTGTCAAATTGTCTGTCTAAATATATTCAGGTGTGATGTAATGTGTTTAAATTGACATCTTTGAATAAATTCACTTGCTAATAACTAAAAAAAAAAATTTTTTTATTTATTGATAACAGTACATGTTTGCATGTATAATTACTGTCCTTAGGATAGCTGTCGTTTAGTGATGCAGAGAAACAAACGTACCATGGGATTGTTGACTGCTTTTGAAGATTTCTCTAAAAATAAATGCTGTGTTGACGGCTGTGTCAAAGTAAGTAACTGTAAAGATCTCTGGCATAAGGAGGTTGTTACATGTATAATTTTTGATCCTACAATTATCCTAATGTCTGTATATGTATTATTTAGATATTTAATACCAGTAGATTGGGAAGGGGGTTAAGGAATATTCCTATTGCTATTTTATTTATTTCATTGTATATGAAGATGGCAGATACTCATCGCAGACTGCTGAGTGACTGGAGAGAAAGAGCCAAGAAAAGCCAGTCAGAGGCCAGGAGGGTCATAGCTGAAATGTTGATTCCATCAGGTATTGACTTTTGTTTGATATAGTTCAATGAAAAAGGAATAAAATGCAATCAAATGCCCATTTGCTTCAGCTGTTAAGCAAAAGAGGAAAATGTACTTTGTATTATTTTGAAACCATCTTTCAATCCTCGTAATGACTGGTGTTGGTAAGATTTGTATTTGTGCTGTAAAATGTTTGGCTTGGTTTATATTCCATATTCACATGTTATATTCATTGCTTAACTTTCAAGGTGAGCACACCTGACAATACAGAATATTCTATTTTCAGCTGGATGTAGAAAGAATTGCTACAGCTTTATCAACATGGTGACTGGCTCCTCTAGAGGGATCATCTCAAAAGTTAATCATCAGATGTTGTGGACAGGAGGGGATAGAGAGCCCCCAGAGCATGGTCTGGTCAAATACAAGAGAACTCACAGCAGCAAGTCCAAAGTCCAATCTCACACTGCTCAGAAACCTAAAGGTGACGGTCGTTAAGTCTACAGTGTAAAAAAAATCTTAAGAGAAAATACCTTTGAAGTGACAAAATGATTTGGCTTTCTTAATGATTATGTTTCTGTATTCAGTCACCACAGTAAATGTGTCAACAACTATAAAAGCAAGACTGGACACAAGTAACACTTATGTACAGCCAGATAATGGATTGGTTCAAGGAACGCCACATCCACATATCCAGACATTCAACACACAAGAACCAAGACAGCCATCAATAAGTGTAAGGCTTTTGTTTGCTACTTTACAAGATGGATTAGTTTACTTGCTTCCTAGAATTTCGTGTTAGGGAACTATTGTGATAGAAATATGTATTGTAATTCTTTTTTAATCTACGAATATGTGTTATGTAAAAGACTAATGTGTAAGAGATCTAAAAGAACATTATTCTAAGTTATGACTATAGTCATTAAAGGGTTTTTATCACGCATAGAAATTTCTTTTAAATTAAACACTAATGTATTCTTGGAACATATAATTATCGTTTAATTATAAAATAATGTTTTAAACTGTTGTATTTAAGCCATAATACGTCCGTAATGTAGGGCCTTCAGATTGAAAATCTCCACTAATTAGATAGGAGTCACATGGTACTGAAACGTCATAGGTGTCAATGGGCAATTAGACCTCGTAAAGCGTATCGTAAGAAAACATCTACCGTATAGATACTTGAAATAAAAAGAATACACCACTAGGTTGGAAGAAATTTTGATATTGAAAATAAAACTTTGGCTATGGATGCTATATGTATTATGGATGTTATATGTATTAACTTCTACAACAACAAAAAAATAAACAAAAAACATACCGTCAAAGGAGGACAGGGCATTGAAGACGAAGCCATTAATGACAACTCCTGGCTTCGACTGAATAGATCGAATTATTAAGGTTTGACTTTTTAAATAATTATAAAAATGGTCGTTATACGTTTTCTTTCTTTGTTATTTTAATAAATTATACATAAACAGATCTTGTGTATCTTCTATCTGTTTCAGCAATGAACATCATTTGATAGAAAGGGCACTTCGATCGTCAATGGCGTCGTGCGCCATTACGAACTTCACAACACTTAGTACATGATATGTGTGCCGGACTTTTAAAATGCCTATTGATAAATTAATATTTTTGAAAAATACTATTTCCATTAAATAGATATTTTATATAATCAGAAAAAATTGTGACGTTCACACGAATGCTCTGAATGGAAACAAATCCACGCACCGACCAATTTGGTTTTTTGGCAGGTAAAAAAACTTCATAAAACCTTTCCTGTGCTGATTTTTCATCCAAATGACACAAATTATATCTAATTATCTATCAATTAACCAATTATCATTTATTTAATTTCTAGTAGGGTTTACATACGAAGCCATTGAGCCGTTTTGTAAACACAAGAGACGCTTGACCAGGACTGACACCTATGACGTCAGAGCAATGGCGCTCAACATCGGCGATCAAAATATGCATATTGAGAAATTTAAACTTTGAATCGCTGAAACACCGAAAATATTAATTTTCTAACAAAAAAAATTTGATGGAGGGTTTTAATAGCATAAAAACTTTGTTATATCAAAAAATCATGATGCATGATAAAAACCCTTTAATAATGAAATATTTGTAGGATTTACCAATGTTCTATTTATTCAAGATTCAGTATACAGTAGAGCCTCATTTATCTGGACGCTTTGGTTCCCAGTAAATTTGTCCGGATATGTGAAGCATCTGGATATCTGAATTACCAGTTAAATGAGACAAAATAACATTAAAAAATTCTGTTCCCATGAATAATCGTGGGGAAACTGAAGTGTCCGGATATCTGAGGGTCCACTGTATCAATACATGTACCCATATCTTTGAGAAAGTAGTGATATCTTTAGTCATGAAAATATAAATTATTTTTACAGAGAATTGAGATTGCTTTATTAAAGTACATTTATGCAAAGTAAAAAAAAAAAAATAAAATAAAACGTACCTGTACCCAGTACTAACTTATTTTCAGCTCTATTGGACAGGGACATAACATACTTTTCTCTTTGATTCATTATTGACCTGCTATTTCTGACAGACTGAACCCCAACAACAACAACTACTACAGCTACAACAGATATTTGAACATCAGCAACAACAGCTAATACAGCAGCAGCTCCTACAGCACACGCTACTGAATGAAAAGATGGAAACCTCCACCACTCAGGTAAGTCCAAAGATTGACATATCACTCCTACAGCACACACTACTGAATGAAAAGATGGAAACCTCCACCACTCAGGTAAATCCAAAGATTGACTTGTATCACTCCTACAGCACACACTACTGAATGAAAAGATGGAAACCTCCACCACTCAGGTAAGTCCAAAGATTGACATGTATCACTCCTACAGCACACGCTACTGAATGAAAAGATGGAAACCTCCACCACTCAGGTAAATCCAAAGATTGACGTATCACTCCTACAGCACACACTACTGAATGAAAAGATGGAAACCTCCACCACTCAGGTAAGTCCAAAGATTGACGTATCACTCCTACAGCACACACTACTGAATGAAAAGATGGAAACCTCCACCACTCAGGTAAATCCAAAGATTGACTTGTATCACTCCTACAGCACATGCTACTGAATGAAAAGATGGAAACCTCCACCACTCAGGTAAATCCAAAGATTGACGTATCACTCCTACAGCACACACTACTGAATGAAAAGATGGAAACCTCCACCACTCAGGTAAATCCAAAGATTGACGTATCACTCCTACAGCACACACTACTGAATGAAAAGATGGAAACCACCACCACTCAGGTAAATCCAAAGATTGACGTATCACTCCTACAGCTACTGAATGAAAAGATGGAAACCTCCACCACTCAGGTAAGTCAACACACTCCTACAACACACGCTACTGAATGAAAAGATGGAAACCTCCACCACTCGGGTAAATCCAAAGATTGACATGTATCACTCCTACAACACACGCTACTGAACGAAAAGATGGAAACCTCCACCACTCAGGTAAGTCCAAAGATTGACGTATCACTCCTACAGCACGCTACTGAATGAAAAGATGGAAACCTCCAGTATTCAGGTAAATCCAAAGATTGACATGTATCACTCTTACAGCACATACTCTGAATGAAAAGATAGAAACCTCCACCACTCAGGTAAAAGATACACATGTAAAGCTTGAAAAGGTGGGGGGAAAATGTTAACAATGAATCAGGAAATAATTTATAGAGATGTTTTTATATTGTACAGAATGTCATCACGATTCAGCAGTTAATGGATCAGATGAGTGCCCAGGTGATGAATACACAGTTACAACTTCAGCAGTCTCTACAACAGCTTATAGGAATGGGAGCTCAGTCCAACCAATCAGCTGTTCCAACGTCAACTGTCAATCAAAATGAGGCATTACTTCAGGCCAATCAACATCAGAGGAACATCCAACTGGAGAACCCACAAGTGATTCCATTTTATCCAATGACGGTCCATTCTAAAAATACTGCTGATCAAGAGAACTTGCATGTGAGTATACTGTGTAATGAATATTGTTCTTTAGGACCAATGTTTGTGGATTTTGTAGGTCTTCCTTACCCATGATATCAATCTACCAACTCATTGAGTCTTCTGTATATGCTAAAAAGCAGAATTTTCTGTGAGGATCTAATAATACCCCCCACAAACAAAGTTTGGGGGGGTATATAGGAATCACCTTGTCCGTCTGTTCGTCCGTCTGTCTAGCTGTCTGTGCTAACGTGTCCGGTCCATATCTTTCTTACGGAGGAATATTAGAATTTACTACTCCACACAAAGATTGCCCACGACCTAAGGGTGTTTCATGACCTTGACCCAAGGTCATTTGAGGAAATTCAAGGTCACTGGAAGAAAAAGTTCATAATTCGTGTCCGGTCCATATCTATCTTATGGATAAACTTGGTAGATTCTAATTTCACACAAAGATTGCTTATAACCTAAGGGTGTGTCATGACCTTGACCTAAAGTCATTTGGGGAAGTTCAAGGTCACTGAAAGAAAAATTCATTATTCGTGTGTGGTCCCTGTCTTTGTTATGGATAAACTTGATAGGTTCTAATTTCACACAAAGATTGCTTATAACCTAAGGGTGTGTCATGACCTTGACCCAAGGTCATTTGAGGAAGTTCAAGGTCACTGGAAGAAAAAATTCATAATTCGTGTCCGGTCCATATCTTTCTTATGGATAAACTTGGTAGGTTCTAATTTCACACAAAGATTGCTTATATCTTAAGGGTGTTTCATGACCTTGACCCAAGGTCATTTGAGGTAGTTCAAGGTCGCTGGAAGAAAAATTCATAATTCGTGTCCGGTCCATATCTTTCTTATGGATAAACTTGGTAGGTTCTCATATCATACAAAGATTCCTCCTGATGTAAGGATGTGTTTTGACCTTATTTCAAGGTCATTTAGGGAAGTTCAAGGTCTCTGGAAAAAAAAATTTCATAATTCGTGTTTGGTCCATATCTTTCTTATGGATAAACTTGGTAAGTTCTCATTTCACACAAAGATTGCTCATGAACTATGGATGTGTCATGACTTTGGGTCAAGCTCATCTGGGGAAGTTCAAGGTCACTGGAAGAAAAATTTTATAATTTGTGTCCGGTCCATATTTTTCTTTATTATGGAAAAACTTGAATCTACTACTTCACACAAACATTGCTTATGACCTGAGGTTGTGTCATGACTTTGAACCAAGGTCATTTATGCAAGTTCAAGGTCACTGACAGAGAAAGTTCATAATTTGTGTCTGGTCCATATATTTAGTCTATTTTATTTATTAGGCTGCGCCTTCATTTCATTTATAAAAAATATCATGAGCAATTACATTTGCACTAAAAATGTTTTAGCATTTCTCTCTTCTCTTAGATTCATAAAATATTCATGATTAAGCACTTCTGAAAAACCCAGTGGGGGTATTTTGTCCCGTTTGGACAGTTCTAGTTTTGACATTATTAGTGAGAGGACTGGGATCTCTAAAAATTATTTGTGTTTTATTTGTAATTGCTTCTTTAGTGTTTAATAATGGTTTTTAGTTTAATAATAGATTCTTATTGACTAGAATTGCACCTGAGAAAAGTCTTGAAATTAATTAAGATTTTTATTTCATATTTTCAGGAAATACCTGCTGATGCCTTAAATAGACAACAAGCAGTAGAACAGCCTTCTCTGTCAGGCCAGAGTCAGCAGCCAGTGTACATTCAAGTGAACACAGCTGGTGGTCAGGGTACTTATATACAGGGATTCCCTCAGAACCAGGCCTCAGCCAGTAACCAGTCTGGTGCAGTAGTCTACTCTAGTGAACATTCAATGTTCATTCCATACAACCAGACCAATATTAATTCTGATATTAGTACACCCAGTGTTTTGTCTAGTGGAAATTTACCTGTCACTCAGGCAGTCAATAGACAAAATCAGACAGCAGCAATGAGTACAAATTCTCTACATATGAATAGCAGAAAACCTAGCAATTCAAGCTCAGCTTTTGTAGCTGTGTCCAAACCATCAGTCCATATGGCCACAAGTAGTCAAAATGTGGTCCAGCCATCACAAATAACAATTGTTTACCCTGGGTGCAACACTTTTGTGAAGCAGTGTGTTCCAAGATCTAAAAGTTCTGTAGTAACTGAAACAGTAGCCAATGTACCCAGGAATGTTAATGTAAGTGTCCTAGGTAATCCCAAAACTCAGACTTTATCATTTGTTCCTCCTGCCAAACAAGTGATTTCTCAAAATATGGGAAAACAATCATCTGGTATCTCAACAAGTACCCTGACTTTAAATACAGCCAATGGAGTGAAAGTAGTTGGAACACCACAACCTGTGCCATCTGAACAAATCCAGCAAATGTCGAATGGTTTGCCTCAAAGTTCAGAAAAAGTGATTCAAGTACATACCATTTCAGATCCAAGCATGCTATTGAAGCTTCTGGAGCAGACACCTGGTCCTCAAGCACAAACACCTGTGCCTGCTAGTCTATCAAAATCTGTGCCTGTTTCCACAACATTAAATGTGAATGGTGTCAATGCAAGAATGAATTTAGTTACAAACACTGGGCAAGGAAGTGCAGTAGTTCAAGGAAACCCGTCTCAAGTGATGCAAGTCTCAAATGTTCAAACAGGCCAGTCATCCAACCCTCCTTCTTACACCTATATCATTAACCCCACTGTTCCCTCAGCTCAGCCTGTGGACGTAGGACAACAAACGGTTGTGTCCCCATCAAGTGTAGCCCCTCACACCCTTACAACACCATCAGGTGCAGCTGATTATATCAACCCTGCCACTCTGGGACTAGCTACTCCTAATCCACCAAACTCACAACTGGTTGCCATTGATCCCAATCTGTTAATAAGACTTTGTCAACAGGCCTTCTCCTACCAAGCTCTGGACCCCAGCAAGGGAAAATCCCCAAAATTCCCTTGATCTAGTATTGAATTTAATGAAATTTTGAATAATTGTTTAAAATTTGTTATATGCATAATTTTTCATTGAATAAATTAAAGTTTTGATTCTATTTTGTTGTTCCTGTATGTGATGGAGGACATTCAAGATGTTTTCTTCATTATTTGGAGTTGGTAAAATTCCAAGATACCTTCCATAAATTATCCCCTCGCAAGGGAGTTGGAGGAGATAAACATGTAGTAAAACTATTTTGTGTGCGTCTGGTTTTGAGTTATATACTGTGCAAAAAGGAAGTGACGTAATTTGAAATGAGATCTATATCCAATGTTGCTTTAATTTGGATGTGCTCTTTGCAAGGAGAAGCTTCACTTTGATACTAGTATGTTCTTTTTTAGGTCACCTGAGTCACTCAGGTGACTTATTGCTATCCGTTTTCATTGTTTGTAGTGTTTAACATTTGAACATTTTTAGCTTCTTCTCAGAAACCACTGAACCAATTTCAACTAAATTTGGTATACAGCATCTATGGGTGAAGGGGAACAAAAATTGTGAATTTCTTGGTCCCTGCTCCCCTGGGGCCTTGGGGCCAAAACCACTAAAATTAATGAAATCTTTAAAAATCTTCTTCTTTACTCCTGGACATCAAGCAGGCAAACTATTAGCATGAATGTAATGCGCACTGAGTCCTCTACCAAAATTCTGAAATTCATGGCCCCAGGGTCAGGGGTTCTAGTGCTAGTTGGGGCTATATAGATTATATAGTGAAAATGCATTAATTCTTTGAAAATTTTCTTCTCTGCTCCTGGGTATTAAATAAACTAAGTTCATAATTATAATGAGCAAGAGTGCCTCTTCCAAAATTGTGAATTTTATGGCCCCAGGGTCAGGGGTTCTTGTGTAAGGGCGGGGCTCTATTGATTATATAGTGAAAATGCATTAATTCTTTGAAAATCTTCTTCTCTACTCCTGGGTATTAAACTAACGCATGGTATATAGAATTATATTTTTTTCATTTTAGTGATCTATTTTCCATTATCTCTCTTTCTCTCTATTTTTGAAGACTAAGACAAATAATGAAAGATATTTATTTTTATTTCGTAATATTTCTTTCTTTCTCTCTCCTCTTCTCTCACTCTCAAACAAATACAAATACACCTCCTTTGTAAGAAGAGTTCCAATAAGTTGGTCGTAACTCGCCAGTCGTAAGTGCTACGTTTACGATAAGTTTTGTGAAACGCTCGTTTACGTGCACCTCTAGCAATCGTAAACGTTATCGTACGTTTACGATTTGCGATTTGTTAGTGAAACGGTCGCCAGCTGGGTATTAAATAAAGTAACTTAGTACATAGTTTTGATTAGCAAGAGTGCCTCTTCCAGAATTGTGAATTTCATGGCTCCAGGGTCAGTGGTTCCTTTGGGGTGAGGTGCACAACTGTTTATAAAGTGGAAGTGCATTTTCTCTTTTTTACTCTGATCTACCTCTGGGTATTAAGTAAATAGAGTAAGCATGCTAAGTTTATAATTATGATAAGCAATGGTGCCTCTTTCAAAATTGTGAATTTCATGGCCTCTGGTTTAAAACAGAACCAAATTCAATTGTTGAAAAGTTGTTACATGATATTCAGGTGACCTATAAGGCCCTTGGGCCTCTTGTTATTAGATACAGTTAAGTAAATTTAAATTTGTCCCACTTTTATAATAATTCAATGTAATAAATATCTGGTAACATCCAAAACAGAGAGTAAGACCATTCCAGGTTTTAGCTTACCTCAACGAAGTATATATATCCCTGAAAATTCCAGGAGTGAGATCAGATGCCTAGTATGAGTAAGCATCCCCTTTTGATTGGGGCCGGGACACCCGCCGTGAGCCCTATGTACTGATCTTACACCCCGAAATTGCATACTCAAATTCATTAAAAAAGAAACCTTATGACTGGTACATCAAATATTAATATCAATGATAGGTTATTTAATTACAAAGACTTACAATGTCAATAAATACGAAATGCAAACTTTAAACGAGATTGTTGAAATCCCTGTGAGACCAGCTTATCAGTAAGCCTGCCTCAATTTAAAAATCGATCGTAATCGTTGCTTGGTCTAGCGTTTGAAGAAATTCGGGAGATATATGCACTCCGTCCATGTGATAGCGGACATTAGTACATATATAAGGAAAATTTACGACGGAAAAGCCGTGATCAAATCTTTTGACATACAGTCTAGTTATTGGTTGGTCCTTATCGTCTAGAGTCGGTAAAACATCCAAATATGATGTGACTGGTTCTGTGGTGTCTTTTACTTTAAGTTGAATGAGAGATATGGAAACGAAATATAAAAGGAAGTAACTATTGTAAATAGATAATACTTGTACTCCGTCAGTATATGTCGAGTAGTAGGCCACATCAAGTGTTTTATCTTGTAGAAGTTTTTGAGGTACACATGTAATTCTGCTTTATAAGTCGGGTGTTAAAGGAGCACAATAAGTGCCTATCGAAATTCCCATAATATGTTGGAAGGCCTGGTGATCGAAACATGACTACATGAACGTTGTCAACGAGGCACTCTGGCATCCTTTTAATTAATGTCAGCTTCCGAGTGCTGTGTAACGTTCCACAAAAAAAATTCCAATGACCAATCACAAATTCAGATTATACGAAAATGTCCGACTTGGTTTTTTAAAATCAAAATATCAGTTGCTTATGATATCACAAAGCTTAGATTTTTAATTAATCGTGAGGAATGGTTGTATTTGAAAATGTAGAAAATTTATAGGTTTTGTTTTCAACTGACTTGAGAGAAAAAACTGACTCGTAACGTGACTAGTGATATTTTACGATATTTTAACTTCAGGTAGTACAAGGAAAGGTAGTTTGGACTCATCTTGGTTGATTGGAATGTTAATCTATCAAACATGGAAACGTGATTTTGAAGAATTTCATCTCAAAAGAAGTTGAGCTGCGGGCAAAAGGATTTCCTTTCCAGACGTAGAATTAAAAACCAAGTTCTTCTAAAATACAGTTACAAAAAACGATATCGTTATACAAGCCTTGTCTTATGGAACCATATTGCAGACGGAGAGTGCGTCATTTTGTCTGAGATCGAACATCTTGTTGCAAAGCCCAGATGAATGCAGGACCAGGGCAGACTATTTACAGCTTAATGATAACAAGCCTTTCTTACAAGCCCCTATAAAGATGTCGGAGTAAAGACAGCTTCATGATCTATTTAATCTTTACGTGCTCACTGAGAGTCCAATTCTATAAAAACAAGTAATAATAGGATTACTTGTGTAATAAATAAATTTAATGATGTGGGAAGGAGCCAAAATATTCTCCTTGCAAATCTTAAATGGCTTTGTACACGGACATAACCTTTACAGCAGATTAGCCCTTGCACGCATCATTACTGATAGAAAAATCCATAGCCTCTTAAACCTTGACCAATTCTCTGCAATTAATTCCTTGAAAATGAGTTGAAATGTCTTTGAAATACATACATGTATAGACAAAATCGATTGGTTTTCCTTAGATAACATTTAGATAGCCTGAGCGGTTTCCTTTCTGTTTCAATTTTCTTATAGAGAGCCTACTAGGTCAAAACACGTAGAAAATGTATCTCTTTTTTGGAAAGAAGTTTTTATTATAATAAAAATAATTTATTGCATATAGTACACAAAAGCATTGGCACGGGTACCAGTGGATAAATGTTGCGATATTCATTTTTTTCAACAATTGGAAAGTAGAAAAATAAGAGATAAACACAAGGCGCCATGTCGGTTCCATGCTCCGTCCACCTCACAATGTCGTCTACATGCAGTTTCCGGTAACTTGTTTGTTTTGAGATCCTTTGTCATTTGAGAACCTTTGCCTTTCTCAACATTTCTTCATACTTTTTCAGCTGTTTCATGAAACCCTCGTTGGGGTCGATTGGATTCATTCTACGTTTAGACTGCGCAAACTCCATGGCCTGCGTCATCGTCATTCCCTTTGTTCTCATGACGTACCCCGTGATCATGGTTCCAGCGCGCGAAATCCCAGCGTTACAATGAACAAGTACCCTGCCTTTGGTTTTCCTTGCGTCGTCAATGAACTTAAAGGTCTTTTCAAAATATTGCAACAAGTTGGTTTCTTCCAAGTCCTCTTCTTTAATTTTATAGTATTTTATAGTTTTTGGAAATTGGTTATCGAAGTATGACGCCATGTTGACGATGTGGGTTATTTTGAAACTTTCCATGAGATCCTTATTCTCTGCAGGATTGCAACCAGCTGTAAAATAAAAAAAAACTGAAAATGCATAAATTGAAAGACTAATTTTTTTTATTGATATTCATTTCAAGTGTCCAATGGAAATGCAATTGACTTAAAATTGAATTGACTTAAATATCAAATTCTAGTTATTTCACAGAACTATACTAAAAGAATGAGTTGTCTATGACTCATTAACACCAACAGTGTATATAGTGATACAGAAATACATGCATTTTATGCAACTTTGTCAGTCTTGTATAAAACCAATGGGTTTCTTCAAATAAAAAAGGAAAACTAAAAGCATCTGGCTTCTGCTTCTCGGTCATAGACAAGAAATGTAGTATAGCCCAAGGCGAGCAGGTATCGCTTTACTGGCTTTGACCATTTATAAGTTAATATAAAATTTGAATGATATTTCGTAATTTCCATTAACAATTGATGCATTTACGTTCAAAGTTTTGAGTTGCCAGGGATGATGGATGCCGTGATGCAAATTTTTCCAGAGAAGAAGAAAATCAATATCAAATTAATTCAAAGCTAAAAATTATTTTCAATCTACTAAAAAAGAACACATTTCGTACTTACAAAGATATAGACCAGGTAGAATTTCATCAATGTCCATTCTTTGATATTTGTCATATCTCATTTGTAACAACATCCGAGGCGTGGAGTTTGCCATCGTCTGCAAAGATAATATGCAGAAATGTACATATGAAGAGTAGATAAGTTTAAGCACCACAGACCTATCAATAAATGAAGTGATCAGAAACGGTCGTCACACACTTGTTGCGGTCCTGTGTTTTGTGGAGTGTCGACCACATCATCTTTTTCTTTTTTCTCTCTCATTGTAATCAAGTTTAGCACTAAATATCGATCTCGATTTATCACTATGCATCCTAAAGGGATAGCTTTTCTTTTGATTGATTTTTTCATTATTGCATTCATATGACTTTTTTTTCAACTAAAGCAAACAAGAATGTGATAGGAGAAGGGACATCCATGTATAAATGATATGTAAAGTGGCCATGAAATGATGCCACTCTCTTACATGTGTTAAGATGAGTACTGGTAAGCAGCACTTTACCCGTAATAATAGCAACACTGAAGCACATGTATTAGGCCTTTAAAACAAAATTACCATTTACACACCAGAGCAATTGAATAAACCAGAAGCCTCTGTTGAGACTTAAGGACATACGCAAGGTACCTTATCTACTGATACTTTTTTAAAGATATTCTTAATCTAAGATTATAGTGCCATCAGATGTTCATAGACAAAGAAATCAGTATGCATTACCAGGTGTTTTGGAAAGATATCAAATTATGAAACATTTTGCATTATTCGAAGAAAAATATACAAAAATTACAAAACATCTTTTTTCATCAACAAGTTTATGCACAGAATTGTGTATCTTAGTATAGTCTACTTGTGTACCAAGTTATATTGAAATAAGACCAAAACTTTAGGAGAAGTAACATTTTGAAAGCATTTCACAAAAAATTGTATTTTTAGTACTAGTAACCACGGCAACATCGATCATCTAAATCAAAGACCGATGCACAGAATTATGTATGCTAGTTTAGTCTACTTGTGTGTCAAGTTATACTGAAATCAAACCACTCTTAGTATAGTCTACTTGTGTTCCAAGTTATATTGAAAACTGACCAAAACTGTAGAAGGAGTAGCATTTTGGAAAATTGTTTACAGACAGACGGACGCATCACTATCGCATAAGCTCTTCTGGTCTCTGACCAGTAGAGGTAATCACACATATCTCTTAAATTACAGATATTTTCAATTCAAGTACAGATATGTTCTATTAAATTATACCTATCTTTAATTCATTTGAAGATTGGTACAATTAATTTAAAGTTTAGAACGATTTATTTAAAAATAGCTACAATGAGATATATCGAGATAAGTTTTTAAACTCAAAATTCCATTCAACCAATGCAAATCAGTAACAACGCTGACACGGACCTACAAAACATCAGAGATGGGATCAGGTGCCATAGAGGAGAGGTCATCCCCCGTCGACCGGTCACTCTCGCCGAGTGCTCTTTGTCCGGATTGGGAAATAACTCATTTAAACCAAGATTCAAGCAATTAAAGATAGGTTAAATTCTCTTTCAATTTGAAGATAGATATTATACAAAAGGGCGTATAAATCTTGTGTTGGACATCGCTATTATAAAGGATTTTCAAATGAAATATGAATGGGAGTCGAGACAACCACATATGAGAGGGTTTTTTTTTCACTCACTGACGTTTTTGTACAACACAGATGTTACTTTAATTTTCACAAATCTGTGAAATTTGACAGATGCCTTCCTTTTGTTAAATCAAACATCTGTGTATATTACATTTGATGTAATACTTATTTATAAACATGAGATCACAATTGCGACCGTATATAGGCCAAGAGAGACTAATTTCAGGAATTGGGTTAAAATCTATCGTCAAGTATACATTGAGTAGAACAGGAAATTAATGAGGCTTGTATTAACTGCACAAGCAGGCCCTGGATTAATGTCATTCCATTAGTTTTAGTAAACATGTTATGTAGCTCTTGTTCCATTAATGCTGGTAGAATAAATCATCTATGCTTCGAGTTGAATTCGAGGAAGGGCTACTGCAAATATAATACTTGTTCATATGTTTGTCTCTGGTGTGAAGGGCACTTTTCACCTAACGGAATAAAAAAAATCATTTATTGCTTGCTTATATATTCCTCTCTCTTTTACGTTAATCATAAATGGATGGTAATATGCTTTTCATACCCCCGGATCTTATATATTCTTTTTGTCATGTCTGTCTTTTTGTGTCTGTCTGTTGTCAACTTTAATCTAGCCAATAACTATTGCGCTGTCAAGGGTACCCGTAAGTGTATAGTACCACTTCAGTCTACATTGTGTTAACATTGGGAGCATAGTGTTATTCCTAATCATCGAAATGAAAAATAGAAACTCTAAATAGAAAACAAATAAAAAATGTGTAAAAAATATGCACATCTGGTTTATTAACCATTTTTCCACTTAAGGAAGCCCTAAACACTGCATACTAATGAGTTCTACTTATAGCGTAGTTATAGCGTAGAATGATTTGCCCTTTAGTAGTACGATTTTAAAAAATGCTATTTACAGTCAATTACACGATTTGTAATAGACGAAAATAGTTTTAGCATTGTATAAGACCATAGATAAGTAATTGAACTCATTATTTTCATTAATTTTCCGAATGTAAGAAACAACAGCAATTTCTGCTCACAAAAAGTCCATTGTATTTGAACATCTTATAGAAGAGGACTAGCTCCTTCATCTTCATGTCACTCTATTGAGTTATCCTTGGAGAAACATTCCCCGTCAACACCTGGAATCGTCTTTTTTTTCTACCCTTGCAATCTGTTTACTCGGGTAGCTAGACATCTTTCACAGGATGTGCTTTAACGTGTATACTGTTGGGGTTCTGAAGTTGTTCACTTGATAACACCATTTGCAATCAGTTGCTTTTCATATTTTTTAAGTTCTTTCATGAAGCCGTCGTTTGGAATGGTCGGATTGTTCTTCCTTTTGGACCGAACAAATTTCAAAGCGTCTTTAAGACCCAAGCCCTTGCTTTTCATGACATAAGCCGTTACCATGGTTCCTGCCCTTGACACCCCTGCATTGCAGTGAATAAGTGTTCGTCCCTCTAGAGTTAAAGAGCTGTCAATAAATCTAAACACTGTAGAAAAATGTGTCTGAATTGGTTCATCTTCAGTGTCTTCTATGTTTATTTTTAGATAGGAAAACGATTCCGGAAACTTGTTTCTAAATAGGGAAGCCATGTTGACCACGTGGGTTACCTGAAGACGCTTTAGAATTTCCTCATTAGCTGCAGGACCACATCCGGCTGAAAGGGAGAATTAAAATATTACGGTCTGTTAAATCATTATAACAATAAAATAAAAATACTTCGCCATTATTTGGAAATGGAATCCTTTGACGATTGCACGTGCAAAAGAGTTATTATTTAGTTGGGACTAAAGAAAGTACTTATGGTACCAGAACTAATGAATTAAACAAGAAAACGACTAATCACTACAACAATCAACTGCAAACACGTCATTTACAGGTACATGTAGGTAGATACAGCTTTACTTTTGTACAACTGACCACTAATGAGGAGATTTAATTCCGTTATCTTATAAAAGGGTAGAACTAATCAGGCACGTAGTATCCGGGGGGGCCAGGCCCCCCCCACTTTTTTCCCCCAACATTACCTTTACTATAGAAAATGTCCATTGAAAAGGTGGTTGGCCCCCTCACTTTTTACCACAGTATATACATAGCAAGGAAATATAGGAAAAGATTGGAAGTGAAAGGAAGTTTGCCTTGAAAAAAGTTGGCCACTTTAGAATTTCCCCCCCCCCCCCCCCCCCCCCCGGCGAAATAGGATTTGGGTAAATTTCCTTTTTTTTTTTTTTTTTTTGCTTGGCAACTTTTTTTTAGGTAAGTAAAAAATATTTTCTCAGGTTGGCCCCCCCCCCACTTTCAAAAACGATGCTACGTGCCTGCTAATCAAATATTTACTATTAATCAACGTTTATCACCCATATTATTCTAGTGTGTCTGCTATCGAACTTTGCTGTGGTCCTAGGACCAATCGTAATTAAAGTTCAATGAAATTAACATGCAAGAACTTGGTGCTTTAAAAAGCCATTTTTCTGTTAGTGGGGTAATTTAGCAGGAGGTATTCATCACGCTTTACTTGGTTTTATAAATATTAAATTAAGCAAAATAAACACGAATGCATGTACAGACCATCTAAAACCTCTACCTCATATACAGTACAACGTTCTCAGATTTCAAACAATCTAACCAAGGATAAAATAAAACAGATATGGATCATTATTTATTTAACAGCTGATTTAGTTTATTAATCATAAAACTACTTTATATTATCTACTAATATTCAATTAAGGTTCATTGATACACTGACAAGAGAGATAACTCTAAATGACATATTATTAAATTTTTTTTCCTTTATAGATTTGTCAACTTGTTTTAATTTTGCTCCGCAAAATATGATGAAATATTTTGCATTTTACTTATAAAATACATTTCCTTCAGAAAATCATCAAAAATAAAGCAAAGTTTAATATGAGCGAGTTTATGAACCCTAAATAACATTTTGGTTGTGAGATCTGACATACCCCCAGTATGACAATACAGTTATCTTAATCTATTTATTTAGTTAAGTCAAAAGGTTTTCTTTGCATCTTTTTTTAATGTCTATATTTTTTCGCCAATGAATAATATTGGAAACTCAATTTTAAAAAATGGCATCATTATGAGTGTATTTGTAAAGGAGGTGGGATGGCATGGGGTGGGGGTTATACACATTGAATGATCTTGGAAATCATTTATGATATAATATTGTGCTCTCTCTTTATCATATTATGAGTTCTGAGCATTCGTGTTATTACCAAAATAAGTCATTTAGGAATTATTTTGCTTGAATTTTTCCTAATCCAATTTCGAATTCAACTTTACAAATACTGAATGGTTTAATTAATGCAGGGAAATTAAATCTTAAAATTTATCACATATTAGTTATGAAAATTAGACAGTTAAAATTATGTCATACAAGGTCATTTGTTACATTTAAAGAATTCGTCAATTTATTTTTGAAATCTACAATTCCATTCAATTACACGAGAAACTTTACTTACATATGTATACGCCTGGAACGATCTCGTCCACATCCATTCTTTGATAATTGTCTATTCTTGATCTTGTTAACCAGGTCATATTTTTATATCTGGGTCAACATAAGAATAAATGAAATAGTGCACTAGATATATTCACTGTTATAATTTGCAAGGAGCTACACGTGAGAGAAAATAAAAAAAAAAATCTGTCAGACTTACCTTCGAGGTAAATCATCGTTGTAAGGCTCATGTCAAATGATCGGAAACAGTATGACCAATGAATGGAATCCACTGCACATTTAACATATGTATCCAATTAATCTTGTTAAGTACTGAATAAATGGCATTCTCACGCCAAATTCTTCCGAACAAAAGAACTACACTATACTGTCACGCGAAGACAGAGGATCAACGTACGGTGTAGCTTTTTAGTTGCAGATTAGGCCGCGTGATTTTACCGTTGTAATCCAAGAAAAGTAACACATTTTGCAATACCTACGTATGTGCGAGTAAATATATTGTACACATGATGTAGCATTAAATTCACATTTGTACACGTACGTACAATAATTTGACGAATTCTGAGTATATATCTTTAAGTTTTTCATGAACAAAAATGCTCATCATTCCCAAATAAAGCCAGCTGGGTAATTTAAGCACAAATCTACCAACTTAAGTCGTACAATGGATTAAAATTTAATAATACAATAATATATGGCATTTTGAATCGTCAGTTTTGAATATACATACAAGTAATCTTTAAAATTCGTTGTTCATGTCAAAGTAAGTTTTATATATTAATAAATAGTTGATTCAACATGTTACAAAACGAAATGTTTGGAATTACTTACGCTCTAAATTTAGTCCGAAATATCAGATGTTTTCCATGCGTTTTTTTTTTTTTTTTTTTTTTTTTTTTTACGATAATCATATTTTGACATGCATTAAAAACAAGAGGCCCAGGGGCCACATCGCTCACCTGAGCAATTATCTAGGAAAAAACACAGATCAGATCAGAACTGAAAGTTTACTAGGGGGGGGGGTGGTGGTGAAGGGGGCTTGAATTTTTACCCCCCCCCCCCCCCCCCCCCCGACCTTTCCAGATAATCATCATTTGAACAAACTAGAATCTACACTACCTGAGGATGATTCCCTATAAATATCACTAAGCATGGCTTTGAAGTACTTGAAAAGAATATTTTTAAAGGTTTCCCTATATATTCCTATGTAAAACTTTTATCGGCCATTTGGCCCCACCCTACCCCCGGGGGTCATGATTTGAACAAACTTGGATCTACATTACCAGAGGATGATTTCACATGAGTTTCATCTTTCCTGGCCCAGTGGTTCCTGAGAAGAAGATTTTTAAAGATTTTTCCTATTCCTATGTAAAACTTTGATCAGCCATTTTGGCCCCACCCTACCCCTGGGGGTCATGATTTGAACAAATTTGAATCTGCACTACCTGAGGATGATTCCACATGAATTTCATCTTTCCTTGCCCAGTGGTTCTTGAGAAGAAGATTTTTAAAGATTTTTTTCTACGTATTCCTATATAAAAATTTGATCCGCCATTTTGGCCCCACCCTACCCTCAGGGGTCATAATTTGGACAAAATTGAATCTGCACTACCTGAGGATGATTCCACATGAGTTTCATCTTTCCTGGCCTAGCTGCAATAATGTAGCCCTCTCCGATTTTTTTTAATCTGATGTTTTCTGGAGAGGGCTACAATTCCATCGCATCTCCGTAATGGTGCAAATATTTTTTTTTAATAGGAGCGACTGCAGGCAAAATAAATTATTTTTACATTCAACTTACTTCTAATAATACGAATTTTTTATTCACTGTCAACAGTAGACCCCGTTAAATGCGAAAAACTTGTAAAATAACTCTGCATGTTTCCTGGTAGTTTACTTCAGCAGCCATGACAGTTCACGCGTGACGTAATGAGACTTTCGCTTGAAATTTAGAACAACTGAATAAAGCAATTATCGGTGTTTATAAATGTATGTGCTGAATTTCATCACAAAAACATAGGTATATAAAACCATTTTAAGTGTTATTTTTATGCAAGCAGCGATATTTATGTTTAAAATAAGGGAATTCCAAAAAGATCCGCTCCTATAGAACCTAAATTCTCATTGGCTGTCCCAAAATACAATCTATCAAGGTCAGTAAACATGGCGGATAAATTCGAGTTGTGATGTTGACATACACGAAAAATAAGCGATATAGGGATCGTTCTGTATATTTTTGCATTGGTTTACGTCTTGGATGACTACTTATTTGGAGTCAAGGTAAGAAATGTTAATAAAATAGCCATTTACTGTTAATTTGAGCCGAAATCCGTGCGGGAGCAAATCACTCCCGCAGCTGCACCATTATGGAGATCCTAAGGAGTTGTAGCCCTCTCCCCCCCCCCCCCCCCCCCAAAAAAAAAAAGGGGGAGGGCTACGTACATTATTGCAGCTATTCCTGGCCCAGTGGTTCTTGAGAAGAAGATTTTTAAAGATTTTTTCCTATATATTCCTATGTAAAAATTTGATCGGCCATTTTGGTCCCACCCTACCCCCGGAGGTCATGATTTGAACAAACTTGTGTAACGGGGTGGAGGGCGGACGGTACCTCTCCTACTACTGCTGGGACCGCACTCCCTCACTCTATCTATAGGGGCTGTCTTATCTTTCGTGGCAAGGCTTGCCAGGGTTGCAAATAACATTTAAACCTTAGGGGCCATGTGGGCCCCCAACTTCACAAATTTTACTAGCCCACATTGATTTTATGGGGCCCACAATTTTTTTTCACTTTGTAAAAATTCTTTTCATATGAAAACATAAGAGAAAAATACTTTATGGCCATAGTATTTCATTATTTCTTTTCAAATTTTTCCTGCAGACTTTTACACTATTAAATGTATGAAATTCCATGTCATCATTCAATTCAATTTTGTTTCTTTTGATTTAAGTTGTTTCAGGGCATGTATCTTGAATTAGGCTTAAAAAATATATTTGATTCTTGTAACATCCCCAAATAACCAAGGGTCAGTATGTCGTTTTTTTTTTTATAAATAAAGGAGCCAAACATACCTGGACTGAATTAACCAGGTGTTATATTTACAATGGACACCCAACATGGCTGCCTTAATAGCGGCAGAAAAAGAATGGGGGATTCTTGTTACAATAATGATTACTCTTTAAATTTAAGGTAAACGTTGACTAGATTGACATATTTTGTATCTCAAATAAAGCTACAATTATTATTTGAAAAATCAGCTGAATGATCAAACACAGAAAAATCCGCCTGGGATATGAAAACGAAAGTACATTGGATAAATGAACCAAACTACGATCTGATTCTGGAAAAGGTCCGATAAAATTCTTACTCGCCATGTGGGCGATAATATTCTCAAGAGCTGGTCGCCCACAGGAAAATTTACTCGCATTTGCGAGTGGGCGAGTGGTTATTTGCAACCCTGCTTGCGTTACACAGCTCAACCCGAGCTCAGGAGGGCTAGTATGGAACAGTGGTTAAAAACTCAATACTCTTTAATCTTATATCACCACACACTAAATTATCTCCCTTTAATCAATGAACTCAGATAATACACCACTGCCCAAAACCTAAACCTCCTTTTATTAACCCGCGCTCTCTAAGTTACACTAAATTTATTAATACACGAAATCTCTCTGTTTTACTTCTCTATTTGTCAAGCTTGTTACAACCTAGACCTAAGGAAGTCACTATAAATTCTCTAATACTCATTTATTTCATTACTCTGTTCTTACTCTTTTATATCCCACAATTTCCATCTTGTTGGAAAATCACATACTTTGATAAAACCTTATAAATCTCTGTACTTGAAATGAGACAAAATACAGTTTTACAATTTATTACAAGAATTATCTCTCAATTAAACAATCAACAAACAAATTCTAAGCTCTGTCTCAGTCTGTCTGTGTCACCTATTAGTCCTGACTTACCTAAAACCAACCTCAATACAACTCACAAAACTCTTAATTCTCAGAACTTCCTTCCAGACCTCCTGGATGAAAGTAAAAACCAATAACTAAAACTTAATCCCTTGAACCTAATTAATTCCTAACAAATTTCAAACACCAGTAATTCCTGCAAATTTCCTAAGTCTTAATTTCAGTTAAAAACAGGAACAAAATTTAGAAATACACTAGCTTCCTTAGCTTACTGTATAAATTACCTAAACAATTTCAAGTAGTTCTAAAATTTAACAACAATTTACCAAAAATTCAAACAACCAGCAAAATTTAACCAAGTCCAATTCTCAGTTAAAATTCACTAAATCCTGACCAAAACTTCCTATAAAATTCCACAAATATTCCAAAAGTTCCTAAAAATCCTTAAAATAACCCTGGCTCTTCTTAAACTAAAACTAAAAAGTCATTATTAAATCTAATTTAAAAACGCCCAACCCATACTAACTCCTTACCCTAAAACACGACTTCTCTAAACAAACCAACCTAGCAGAAGAGCAAAAATTCCTTGAATCTCTCTCTTTTATACAATAACATGACGTAAATGTTGGAAACTGTTGGACTCATTGGAAAACGTTGGAGAATCTCTCGTGACATTTCCCGTAAAATGCAAAGTCTATAGAAAAATCTAATAACTACATACAAGACAACTTTTCTGAATGAAAGTAATCTCTAAATACATTCTTCAATTAGAATAAGTAAATTAATCTCCATTTAAATCAACAAATAACACAATTAACTCCAAAAATCCGAGAACTATCGTAACTTTTACGATCGGGCTCGACATACACAATTTACGACCGCCAATTTCGTAAACAAATCTACCAGTCTATAAACTGCCGATAATTAACTGAAAACAAGTTAAACTTCAAGAAAACATGATTCCATCCATAAATCAATGGTTAATCTTCTACAGAAGACCAATTAAAGTCCCTGAAACATGAAGTAAGCTAAAATAACACCACAACTTTACTACTGCTATGATCAGCTGATTTCTACGTAACTCAAAACATGTGCACAAACTATTTCAACTCATGTAGATCACTTAAACTTGTCAATAATCACCTATCAATTACATGCAAAGCATAAATTAATACATATTCCTGCAATATCAAATAATTATAACACTTATACAAATTCATCTCAACTCTCCTACAAATGTCAACAATAATCAGGTTCAATAACTCTGTATAAAACTTATCTGTCAAATCTCTGGACCGTTACACTACCCTCCTCTCAAAATATTTGTGTCCTCACAAATGACTTACCTCCAGTAAATGTCAAATCTAAACATTAAGGTCAAAGTGTCTACCTTACAATGTACAATCATCAATACATTACAATAATATGACATAATTACATCTAAATTAGAACTTTGGCTATAATTTACACATATCAATGCTTAAATTTACCGTCCTTTATTCTTTCCTAGAATAGAATATCACTTAGCACAGTTCCATTTAACACAATCACACGCGATTCCTGGTCCTTCTTACCAAGGT